GTAGAGCTGGGCAAAACGATTTCGACTTCGGGATCGAAATGATCGCTGCATCTCAAATATTCAGAGTGACCCTAAAAACTACGTCCTTCCTCACGGGGAATAGCCTGGATCCGCTTGCTCCAGGCCGCTGTGGCTCCACACGACGAAAGGAGTGAAATGACTTGTTTGCTTCGTCCTCCTGTTCTGACAGTGAGGAACGCAGCAATGATCCTGAGAAGGCATCCTGAAGTCGTAAAAAGGAAGACGTCTAAACAAAAACAAAACAGCTCAAATCAAAAGTCCTTGTGGCATTTTTTGTAGACAGGCTTGCACTGCGTGTAGATTTCGCGTGCTCTGCACTTCGCATGCGAGAAGTCACGCAAAGCCGAGGTGAGGTTGGTCGCGTGTGTGCAGCAGGATCCCACGCGACTGCGGAGTTGCCCCCTTGCTCGAACCCAGACAATAATAAGGGGATCGGTCTATTACCATGATTACTGATACCAGTAGGCAGTAGCTAAGACTAGGCCAGGGTGAACATGGTGAATGGCGACGTGAGTACTGAGTACTACTAGTACTACTGACTGCAGACAGACTCAGTGTTTGTGCTAGTTCATCGCTAATCCACCGGCACCAAGTAGTTTGGAGGCAGGACTGGAGTGTCAGACTACGTTACCAAGTAAGTAGCGTTGCTTTGACGATGTCGCAGGCTACTGATGTTATCAGTAAGGCGGTGGAAGACAAAGCTGACTCGCTTCAAGAACTCAGTGGCAAGATTTGGTCCCACCCAGAACTTTTCTTTGAAGAGAAGTTTGCCCATGACACGTTGACAGAGTTCTTGGAGAAGAATGGCTTTGAAGTGGAGCGCAAGTACAAAGTGGATACAGCGTTCAAGGCTGTATTCCGACAGGGCAGCGGTGGTGCGAATATTGGTCTGATCTGCGAGTACGACGCTCTTCCAGACATAGGACACGCGTGTGGACACAACCTTATCGCTGAATCAGGTTAGATACATGTATGTCACCTGCATGTATACCATGATAATTATACTACTACCGGTACTGGTACTTTCAACTCCTGCATGCAGGCACATGAAGTCAGATTGGAAAAGCGATTTCCACATCCATTTGATTCGTCCTTGTCCATCATAGCCAGGTGAAATGAAAATTCACTGTTACCATCCTCCTCACCACCTACCCATTCTCCCCCCCCCCCCCCCCCCTGGCTGAAACCCGGGTACGTACGGGGCCCACGATTTGATTAATTCACCATGGTTTGTGTGTTCTATAGGGCTTCAAAGTGCTACGTCACAGCATAGCAACAATTTCCAAAATTCAAAAATTGGATCCACTTGGATCCTGTTCTTGTATGGATCCAAGCACATTTCAAGCGGTCTTACTCACAGCAAGGTGATGTAGCCAGTGAAACTGACTGATTTGGCTAATCGGGGCGGGGTGACACCTGGTGGCAAAGTAAAAGTCACACATGCATACGACATGAGTGCGTTGTTATGCACCCACATACTGAGAAAATAGCAAAGTCACACCTTAGTGGATTCAAAATAGAAATCTGATGCCAACTTACTACTCCCGGGCCGTTTTTGACGTCATCACTTTCAAGCCCAATTGTTCACTATGCCCACAATCTGGTCTCAGAGCTGTACACACAACAGTCGTGTGTTTCAGTAATAATTCAGTACACGGCCTCGGGGCCACTACAGTCCGTTTCAAAAAGATTTGCAATCCTGGCGACCGCCCGCGGAGTTTGGCGTCTTACCGTATGAGCACTCGAGCGCTGACTGGAAAAACTCACTGTGAACTCGAAGAAATATTCCGCGCGAAAGCAGGAAAAATGACAACTCACTCACGTTGATACAGTCACGTCTGGTTTGCAACAAACGAGTTCTTCCTCGTATCGATAATGTAGTCAGAGAGGACATGTCGAAACGAAAGTTTGGTAAATGTTGACGAGCGGAATGGGTCCCGTTTTGTTACCAAAATAGTTTCTTTGAGCTGCGATGCAATTTACTTACCGTGTGACGAAAACGACATCGACACGGACTCATTCCCAAGGCCATGACTTGGCAAAGCTAACCGTGTGACTTCGACGACATTTTGAGAAAAGCAGACGCTTTTGAACCATGTGAACGCTGATAGAAGACGGCGTTGACTACTAAATTCAAATAAATTGGCGATCTTGAAATACTAAAATAAATCTCAAAAAGCTTCAGCGCGATGACTTCCTTATTCACTCACGCCATTGCAGTGTTGTGGGTGTGTTCACATGGCGTGAGCCAGTCAAGTGTCAGTCAGTTCGGCAGGAAGCGCGAGCTGCAACAAGCCGTCTGGTGCAGCCATCTTCTTTGTCTTGTACCAGCTTGATCACCAAAACAATGAAAAAAGGTTTGTCTTGAGGATACGTTGGGATTTGAACTCACAACTTCATGGTCAGCAGACAGCATTCATAACCACAAGGCCAAAAAGGAAGGGATAAATCGTGGGTTTTGATAAAAAATCGATACTGGCTTCCTGGGCAAATTGTAAACCATGGGAAAAGGCCGGAAACCTGGCCAAAATTCTAACTCCTTAACGGCTGGTCCAATTGTTCCGAAACCTTCACAGAACAATTTGCCGTGTCCTAACAAGCCATTCTATGTACTTTGTTGTCCAAATTTCCCTTATCTTCGTACTTTTTAAGACCCAAACCTGATTGTAAATCTTTTTGAAACAGACTATAGTAAGCGCGAGACAAGACAAGCAAATGGTGAGCAGTCGGTTATGAGGCAGGCCTGCCGGAAGCGGGCCGGTTGGTCAGACCAACTTTGTAGCTGCCAACCAATATTTTCTTCTGAAGAGGGCCTACATCCCACCATATTAGACAGAAAGTATGAAATACTATGGAGCGACCGGACCAATTGAAAACTGCTTCTGGCAGTCCTGTGAGGTGATGATTAAGTAGCTGCAGTGGAGGTTGTGCACCTCAAATTGTTTTCTTGGTACTTTGCTCTTGTGCTGTCCATGAAGGTGCTGCTGCGGCGATAGGACTGAAAGCTGCCCTCGAGGCAAGCCCAGCCACTTCTGGCACAGTTACGTTGCTTGGAACACCAGCTGAAGAGAGTGGTGGAGGAAAGATTCTTCTCATCAACGCGGGTGCGTTTGTCGACATTGATGTTTGCCTAATGGTACACCCGGCAGCTATGAACATGATGGCAACGGGTTGTCTCTCTTGTATGGCTGGAAACGTAGTGTTCACTGGAAAAGCTGCGCATGCCTCTGCCGCACCATGGGATGGCATTAACGCACTGGATGCAGTCATCAATGCATACACGGCATTGTCAACTCTGAGGCAGCAGATCCACACGAACTGGCGCATTAATGTTATTATCACAGAGGGCGGTGTTAAGCCCAACATCATCCCCGAGAAAGCTGCGCTAGCGTTCAGTTTGAGAGCCCCGACGGACAAGGAGCTTGCTGTACTGAAAGGGAAGCTGGCGGACATTGTGAAAGCTGCTGCGCTGGCAACTGGTTGCGAAGTGGATCTGCAGTTTGCAGTTGACGACAGGATTGCCTACTACTCAAACATGATTCCGAACAAACAGCTTGTGGAGCGATATCGTCAGCACTGGCTTTCGTTTGGACCTGCAGACAGCACTATAACACCGGATCACTTTTGGGCATCCACGGACATGGGCAATGTTTCTCTCGAAGTACCTTCCATTCAGCCAACATTCAATATCGGAACGGCAGCCGATGTACATACCAGAGATTTCACGGAAACGACCAACCAGCCCAAAGCACATGCGGCCACGCGCTGTGTGTCCAAGGCAATGGCTGCCGTTGGCTGGGATGTACTCACTGACAGTGCCTTGCTGAAGGAGATAAAGGAGAGCTTTCAACAACAGCTAGCAAGCTTGAATGAGTAGCCTGGCCTCGTAAAGTGACTCCGAGTCTGTATCAGAGTATGTCGTGAAATTCTAGGATTGGTCGAGATCACCATACGATGCGGCACCAACCAGAGTCTGCCCCAAAGAATATTGTTTTTAACGCATATATTGGACACTTGTCACATGACTGGTAATGCTCATTACTCATCATAGTATTGGCTTGTCAGATGCTGGTTTGGATTCGTGGATCCCTATGCTGAATGCATCACGCTTGGATCATCCTATGCTGCATGGGCCACGCGTACTCCGTGGCATCCTGCGGCGGATATCTGTGAATGATATTGGTTTGTTGCAGGTGCAATCTTGATGAAAGACGCTCTATCTGTGGAATACCTCTTTTTTTCTTCATTTCTTTGAAAATGCCAAAAATTATCCATACAAGCTGCTGTTTACCTGGCCACAGTTTATATCAAATTGATGTATTGGTTTTGTTTAGCTGTACACATCTATGATGACTTACCGTTTCCGTATAGTTTATGTCCATTTTCCTTGCAACAGTGACTGTTTTCATAGTAGCGCCATACAAGTGGTGCTCTCCAGGCACAATCTTCCTCGGGCTACTCAAGTTAAACTGGTGAGGGGTGAGTTCCCCGAAAGGATGTGTATCGAGCAGGGAGTGATGCTTTCGAGCAGGTTTGCCGAGTGGAAGGTTCTATGGATTTCTCGTGTGCTCTGGATGGCAGGACTAGGGCTGAGCCAGTCAAGTGTTTAGTCAAAGTAACACGTTAGTTAGTTGGCAGGAAAAGCGCGAGCTTCAGCAAGTGTGGGGAGCAACCAACTTCCTTTTCTATGCATGGTCAGTCATCATCGTAGAATCGCTAGAACAGTTTTAGACACATGAACTGGTAGGTCCTAGACTCATGCCTTTTGCTTTGCCGCAGTGGAATTAATTATTTGGACATCCAGGTCCAGGAGTTAAAAACAATTATTACATGATTGTATTTCGGATTATGTCACTGCACTGTCGACATGTCTGCATAATGCACGAGTGTTGCTCATGATGATTGTCTAGTTGTACCAGTGCTACTGAGGGTCTGTAGCACTCAACTTGTAAAATTTAATTGTATTGTTTTGTATTGTATTGATTTATTTGCGGTATCTCAACAGTACAATGTACAACTTGGGAAGATCCGAATGACATAGATAAACATTAAAATTACTGATGCAAGGAGCAAAGACTAGGCCTGCAGGGTGAACATGGTGAATGGCGACGTGCTTCGTCAATACTGAGTACTACTGCTGACTGAAGACAGACTCAGTGTTTGTGCTAGTTCATCGCTAATCCACCGGCACCAAGTAGTTTGGAGGCAGGACTGGAGTGTCAGGCTACGTTACCAAGTAAGTAGCGTTGCTTTGACGATGTCGCAGGCTACTGATGTTATCAGTAAGGCGGTGGAAGACAAAGCTGACTCGCTTCAAGAGCTCAGTGGCAAGATTTGGTCCCACCCAGAACTTTTCTTTGAAGAGAAGTTTGCCCATGACACGTTGACAGAGTTCTTGGAGAAGAATGGCTTTGAAGTGGAGCGCAAGTACAAAGTGGATACAGCGTTCAAGGCTGTGTTCCGACAGGGCAGCGGTGGTGCTAATATTGGTCTGATCTGCGAGTACGATGCTCTTCCAGACATAGGACACGCGTGTGGACACAACCTTATCGCTGAATCAGGTTAGATACATGTATGTCACCTGCATGTATGTCACTTGCATGTATGCCATGATATACTACTACTGTACTGGCACTTTCAACTCATGCAGGCACATGAAGTCAGATTGGAAGAGCGATTTCCACATCCATTTGATTCGTCCCTGTCCATCATAGCCAGGTCCGGAGTCTGCTGAGCTGGTTGTTGCTGAGGCCCAGGTTGCTCGCATGTGAGAATCTATAAATTGCAGCAGATTATTTTTATTATAAATACTGGACATGGACATTTTACAGGCTACGTTTTATTATTATTATTGTAAAGTGAACAAGCGTTTCGGAGATAGCAGTTTTATTATAGCTACAAAGACAACTAATTGCACAGTAAGCATTTCATATAATATTATATCGACATGTATGTGTTAAATGTTGTACGATTATCGCTTTTACACATACTTGTCGACTATACTTGTCGATATAATTATATGAAATGCTTACTGTGCAATTAGTTGTCTTTGTAGCTATATTATTGTAAAGCTTTCCTTTTGATCTTGTCTCTCATTGTTGTGACCTTTCCACAATATTGTATTGCATTGTTTAAAAATAAAATAAATAAATAAAGGCAAAAAAATCATAGTCAGGTGAAATGAAAATTCACTGTTACCATCCTCCTCACCGCCTACCCCTTCTCTCCCCCCCCCCCCCCCCCCGCCCCCGCCTGAAACACGGGTACGTATGGGGCCCATGATTTGATTAATTCACCATGGTTTGAGTGTTCTATTGTTCACTATGCCCACAATCTGGTCTCAGAGCTGTACACACAACAGTCGTGTGTTTCAATAGTAATTCAGTACACGGCCTCGAGGCCGCTATTTATTTATTTATGTATTTTATTCCAAGCAATACATGCTAGTAAGTGCGAGACAAGACAAGCCAATGGTGAGCAGTCAGTTATGAGGCAGGTCTGCCGGAAGCGGTCCGTTTGGTCAGGTTAACACCGGACCAACTTTGTAGCTGCCAACGCATATTTATCTACTGCTGAGAAGGGCCTACATCCCCACCATATTAGACAGAAAATATGAAAGATTATGGAGCGACCGGACCAATTGAAAACTGCAGTTCCGACGGTCCTGTTCAGAGCCTGAGGTGATGATTAAGTAGCTGAAGTGGAGCCAGTTGTGCACCTCAAATTGTTTTCTTGCTATTTTGCTCCTGTGCTGTCCATGAAGGTGCTGCTGCAGCGATAGGACTTAAAGCTGCCCTCGAGGCAAGCCCAGCCACTTCTGGCACAGTTACGTTGCTTGGAACACCAGCTGAAGAGGGTGGCGGAGGAAAGATTCTTCTCATCAACGCGGGTGCGTTTGCCGACATTGATGTTTGCCTAATGGTACACCCAGCAGCTATGAACATGATGGCAACGGGTTGTCTCTCTTACATGGCTGGAAACGTAGTGTTCACTGGAAAAGCTGCGCATGCCTCTGCCGCACCATGGGATGGCATTAACGCACTGGATGCAGTCGTCAATGCATACACGGCATTGTCAACTCTGAGGCAGCAGATCCACACAAACTGGCGCATTAATGTTATTATCACAGAGGGCGGTGTTAAGCCCAACATTATCCCCGAGAAAGCTGCGCTAGCGTTCAGTTTGAGAGCCCCGACGGACAAGGAGCTTGCTGTACTGAAAGGGAAGCTGGCGGACATTGTGAAAGCTGCTGCGCTGGCAACTGGTTGCGAAGTGGATCTGCAGTTTGCAGTTGACGACAGGATTGCCTACTACTCAAACATGATTCCGAACAAACAGCTTGTGGAGCGATATCGTCAGCACTGGCTTTCGTTTGGACCTGCAGACAGCACTATAACACCGGATCACTTTTGGGCATCCACGGACATGGGCAATGTTTCTCTCGAAGTACCTTCCATTCAGCCAACATTCAATATCGGAACGGCAGCCGATGTACATACCAGAGATTTCACGGAAACGACCAACCAGCCCAAAGCACATGCGGCCACGCGCTGTGTGTCCAAGGCAATGGCTGCCGTTGGCTGGGATGTACTCACTGACAGTGCCTTGCTGAAGGAGATAAGGGAGAGCTTTCAACAACAGCTAGCAAGCTTGAATGAGTAGCCTGGCCTCGTAAAGTGACTCCGAGTCTGTATCAGAGTATGTCGTGAAATTCTAGGATTGGTCGAGATCACCATACGATGCGGCACCAACCAGAGTCTGCCCCAAAGAATATTGTTTTTAACTCATATATTGGACACTTGTCACATGACTGGTAATGCTCATTACTCATCATAGTATTGGTTTGTCAGATGCTTGTTTGTATTCGTGGATCCCTATGCTGAATGCATCACGCTTGGATCATCCTATGCTGCATGGGCCACGCGTACTCCGTGGCATCCTGCGGCGGATATCTGTGAATGATATTGGTTTGTTGCAGGTGCAATCTTGATGAAAGATGCTCTAAATGATCTATCTGTGGAATACCTCTTTTTTTCTTCATTTCTTTGAAAATGCCTAAAATTATCCATACAAGCTGCTGTTTACCTGGCCACAGTTTATATCAAATTGATGTATTGGTTTTGTTTAGCTGTACACGTCTATGATGACTTACCATTTCCGCAAAGTTTATGTCCATTTTCCTTGCAACAGTGACTGTTTTCATAGTAGCGCCATACAAGTGGTGCTCTTCAGGCACAATCTTCCTCGGGCTACTCGAGTTAAACTGGTGAGGGGTGAGTTCCCCGAAAGGATGTGTATCGAGCAGGGAGTGATGCTTTCGTGCAGGTTTGCCGAGTGGAAGGTGCTATGGATTTCTCGTGTGCTCTGGATGGCAGGGCTAGGGCTGAGCCAGTCAAGTGTTTAGTCAAAGTTAGTTGGCAGGAAAAGCGCGAGCTTCAGCAAGTGTGGGGAGCAACCAACTTCCTTTTCTATGCATGGTCAATCATCATCGTAGAATCGCTAGAACAGTTTTAGACACATGAACTGGTAGGTCCTAGACCCATGCCTTTTGCTTTGCTGGAATTTGGCCGGCTACGTTGGGCAAGATCCTATTGTTTAACAGTTATAGGATTGTTTCTTTCACTCACAGGAGTCACTAACCTGATGCCTGCATGCTCGGAACCAACTGCAGACCACTGGAACAGTAGAGCATATGAAGATGTTGTGTGTAGAGGATTGAAGGAATGCTTCATTTAGTCAACCGCCCACCGCCATCACATCATGTCATAGCATCATGCAGCTGTGCCAGCACAGTCTCTCTTCTCTTCTTTTCTTTTCACTTGAAAGTCGACTAAATGTGCTCAGCCCCACCACAATGACATTCCTCTTTTCTTTTAGTCATAACTATCACAAGATGGTGATCAGTGGAGTATGGAAGTTCTGAAGAAAGAAAACAGACAGTGTCATGCGAATGCTGGTCCCTGCACCGGTACTGTTTGCGCAAACAACAAAAAATGTACACCAGCCTTTGTAAAAGAGTGTTGAACCCAGTGGGTGGTAGAGTCTACCCTCATTTCCAGTCTAGTCTGACCAATACCTCAAGAGTGATCTCTACAGCATCTACCGGAAATACCCATCCCCAACAAATCAACAAATCTCAACAAATACAAACACAAAAGAGAAAGACCAAGGAACTACAAGTTACGCTATACTGTCCACTAACACTGTTGAAGGCTGTTGGAGTGCGCATCTCAGATGTGCTAGAGCTGTTAGCCAGTCAGTTGTAGAACGTCAGTACCGTCGGTCAGTGTCGTGCAATGTTATCGCATGAGCTGATTGTTTAGTAACTGGTGGTGTTAGTGGACAGTATAGCGTAACTTGTAGTTCCTTGGTCTTTCTCTTTTGTATGAATTAAACATTGGCTCTCCATCTGAGTCCAAATACAAACACCAACGGAACTACCTAAAATACCTTTCCAGATTCTGCCATCGCTGCTACATCCGCAACCTCCGTGCCACGATATCTTCCACAAACCCTCGCCCCCCCCCCCCCCCATCCCTCCCTGTGCTCATTCGTCAACTACGAAGCCCTACCAGCGCCCGGGTCATACCTTCGAAGATGATGGGCCCCAATGGTCGACCAAGCACCTCTCCGGCTTCCATTGGTAACTTATTGAACCGCCACTTCGTCAGTGCTGGCGTACAGGTTGACCCTGATTCTCCTATTCCCACTATTTCCTCTCTACCTCCACCAGCAACTACATTGCACTCCCTGATCATCACCTCATCGACTGTTTACAAGTATATCGCAAGGCTGCCTCTGAACAAATCCCCCGGAGCCGATTGGATCACCAATGAGATTCTCAGGAAACTGAGGTACTCAATTGCCCGCCCACTCTCCATTCTTTTTAACCTATCCCTCTCCTCTGCCGCATTCCCGTCACGATGGAAGTCAGCCACTGTCATTCCAATGTACAAAATAAAGGCGACAAGAACAACCCGTCTAATTACCGACCAATCTCCCTCCTGTCCTGTGTCTCCAAACTGCTAGAGAGGACAGTGTACGACCGCCTGGTATGACCATATCTCCCCTCTTCTTCACCCGTCTTTAATCTAGCTTCCGTCGTAAGGACAACACATCCCTGCGCATAATTCAAGACCTCTGCTCTCTAAAAGACCAGCGGCAGGTCTCCTGCATCTGTTTCTTTGACCTCTCCAAGGCCTTTGACACCGTGTAGCACAAGGGCCTCATCGCCAAACTTCGATCGTGCTCACCGTGTCTCCGGCTCTCTACTCGCCTGGATAACTAGTTATCTCTCCTACCGAAATCAGCTCGTCACAGTGTATGGTCACTATGGAACTTTATCTGACCCCGAATCTGTGACGTCCGGAGTTCCCCAGGGCTCCATTTTGGCTCCCCTGCTCTTCCTCACATACGTTACTGACCTCCCCTATCTCAATATTTCTTTGTTTGCAAACGATACCACTGTCCTTGCTTCCTCCCCATCTCACGCCACCCTGTACCCCAAAGTCCAGACCTGCATCAACATAAGCGTTAGCCTTTGGGTAATCCTGAAATAAAGATTATTATAAAGATTATTAACAACGTTGTCCACTGGATGAGCACTTGGTACCTCAAGCCAAATGTGACCAAACCCGAGCTCCTCCTTTTTCCCCAGCCCACAGATCATGTGCCCATCTTCCACTTTCCCGACGCCCCCAGTCACCCTATTTCTGTAGAGCCTCATCATAAACACCTTGGCATTGTCATAGATTCCGCCCTCTCCTGGTCTCACCATGCTGACCATGTGTCCTCACGCGTATGCCGATCTGTCGGCATAATGACAAGTTCTCCCATTTGCCCCACAATTGCCGGATTAATTTTTATAATTAATCATACATTCTCCCCCCTCTTCACGTACGGCTTCCCTGCTTGGTCCACCATTAGCAAAACCCAAATCGCTAAATTAGAAGTTCTTCATCGCCATATACTGCGCATAATATTTCGTACTGATCGTTACATCTCAAATCCAGACTTGAATGCTGCTGCATCCACTACCACCTTGCAACGCTACCTTGATGCTTTCAAGTGCATCCTGGTTCATTCCATTTTTCTTGACCAGCACCCTGCTCATTTGCAGTCACTTATATGTTTACATCGGGTGGTACCACCCGAAGCCGCGTTCGTCTCCCCCTAGCTAGGTCTACCCTATTCGTAAATTCCCCTTTCTCTTCCTCCTACAAGTATTGTAGTCCTACTCCAAGTGGCTCCAACTGCCTCCCAGTGTTAGGCAAGCTCCAGATATGCCCAAATTCCGTACCCTCATCAGACTGCTGTCTGATGAGGGTACGGAATTTGGGCATATCTGGAGCTTTTAAGCTCCAGATATGCCCAAATTCCGTAAAAGTATCTTCCAGTGAACAAAAATTCACAGTCACACCACTTCCACTGCGCGCGCGTGTGTGCGTGTGTGTGTGTGTGTGTGTGTGTGTGTGTGTGTGTGTCCAATGTCAGTTAAACTAAAGTCAACCAGAAGAGTCATGCACGTCCTTCATTCTTATCTACTAACCATGGTAACGACCAGTGCAAACAGCGCCAAAGCGTCACCTTGTCCTTGGCAGGTACCTTCCCGAGACAACTAACAGGAAGAAACAACGATATCGGAGCGCCATAAATTATGGTGGTGGTGGTGGTGGTGGTGTGTGTGTGTGTGTGTGTGTGTGTGTGTGTGTGTGTCGTGTGTGTGTGTGTGTGTGTGCATGCGTCCATGTGTGTGTGTGGTGTGTGTGCCTGTGTGTATGGGGGGGGGGGGGGGTGACGGCACCACAGCGTGTGCGCGTGCGCGTGCGAGCGTGTGCCTATCATCAGTGCACTGCCACTGGTTCGTGTGATCGTGCAGTGATTCCCCAGGCCACAGACACTGAGTATTTGTAAATTGTAGTACAGATGCTGCCATTGCTGGCTCTGGCCCAAGCTGGTGGTCATTGAATCATGACGACCTTCCATGCTTCGGCTAGCACTTCGCGGGTAACGTCGTTTAGTAGGCTGATCTGGGGCTGATCAGTGATCTCTGGCGTGCCGACAACTGGTTGTTTTTGGTCACGGTAGTTTGCCAGCGGCAGCCATTGCATCGCTAGCACACACTACAATGTAGCTGCTGTTCAGAGTTCAGTGTTGTGCAAGGTTAAACTTAAAGCAGCTGCTGTTCTTCATGATTACTCAGATTAGTCTACCCATATGCCTGGCACCTTCCATACTACCAAAGTTACCATACTGTCTGTAGCACTGTTACTAGCACTAAGTAGCAGTGCATGCCGCCGCGCCGTGCTGGCTGACAGAGCTTACTACAGTCTACACTCGCACACATGAGCTGCACACGTTGTTATGGAGTAACACTACACTATGGCTATATCAGGGAGTCGTATAGACGACTCCCTGGCTATATCATACCGCCTTATCGGTACGAATAGCAGTACAATAGTACACATGTACTGCAGTCATGTAGCATTTTTAATAGTGTGAAGTGGTTAGGTCTACGGGTAGTAGCTGTGCCTAGTATAGCTCAGGCTTTATAACACAGCCAGCATACATGTAGGTGGTGCCTGTTGGCCAGCGCCAGTCTAGTCTACGATGCGACGGTCTCTGCTCTCTAGTACTACTAGTACTAGTCTACATTCTATACTAGCTCTGATCTCTGATCTGCCGAAATTCGCAGGGCAAGTATCAGCGTGGTAGTACGCTCGACGTTGTCAATCTGAATCAAGGCATGGAACAGAACGTTCCCTGCACGCTCCCTTGGCCCTGCGCGCTCCCGGCCCATCTCGTTGCCCACAGTGAGAGCGCTCCTGGCATGGAAGTTGGATCGGTATTTTAGTGTCGTTGTAGTCCCTGGCTCTCGTATGATATGGCCGTACTAACTGAGCGACGCAGCGGCAAATTCTACCACGACTGGCCTTCCTACCATCCTAGCTAAAAAGACGGAAAGCCCCTGATCACAACCGCCTCGGGAGGTCGAGGACAACGTCAAAGAAGCGCACTGTCAAAGGACTCTGCAACAAGCTGCAGTAATGCAGACCGCAAACCCCCCGACGACGAGGATTAGTATTAGGACTGAGCAAGCGCATCTCGTGACCAATTCTCAAGAGCCCATACTAGTCAGTGCAGGTAGGTTAGCATGCGTAGCAGACCAGTGTAGTCCTACCAAGAGTAAATGCCAGCAGTCTCCTCGGGCAGGTTTTTTAACCGTTTACCATGGTTCCTGGTGTACCATGGTTTACGCTTTACCTTGGACAAGTAACAGTTAGTTGGTTCTGCCTTGTCCTACTGTGTACTGCCTCCAGCCTGCACTACAACAATTTTAATAATAATATTGTAGGCTGTAGGCTCGGAGCCAGCTCCCGAGAGGCGGTACGGCCCCAGCTAGGTTATTACCATGATTACCCTCTACCAAGAGTGTGTACTTACGTACTCTTGCCTCTACCAAGAGTACATGAAAACTCTTGCCTCTACCTAATACCATGAATACTAGTATAGATAACTATTATTTAAATGTTACTTGCACAAAGATTGTCTGGGGTGGTACCGTGGAGACGGGACAAGTGGACCTTCTCACTATCATTTAGAAAAGCGATCCTGTCAGCTTTTCTATTATTGTGTTCACATGGCAGAAAAAACGACATCGCTATGCTACGTAAGTTTCTACGTAAGGTGCTCGGTATTTCACTTAGGCTACGTAAGTCTCTACGTAAGGTGCTCGGTATTAGATCTACCAACGCGTAGTAGCCGTGTGCTGTGCACGTGCACGGCAGACATTGTGTTCAGTGCATGCATGCAGTCCGCGGATCCGTGTTCGGATGTGCATGCGCGAGGAACTTCCTTCTTTGGAACTGCTTCTTGCATGAGCTGTTTCGGATATTTCGTCTCATGGCCTGGCTTATTTCGTTTCGGCGCTGCTGAGACCTCCTTTCGCGGAATATTACTGAATGACAGGTGAGTTGACCAGTTGCCTTTGATTCATTTGCTTGTGTTGACTCTTTCATTCAGGAAAAGTGTGCTGATTTTGGGGCGGAATGCAATAAATAATGGAAAAGTTGACAGGATCTCTTTTCCTAATTTTGCTTTTCTGCTGCCGACCTGCGAGGCCTCCTTTTACGGAATACTCGATGACAGGTGATCTCTAAGTTGACCGGTTTCCTTCGATTCATTTGCTTATGTTCACCTTTCATTTACGGAAACGTGTGCTGATTTTATTCGGATTTAGATCCATTTTTATCTCTTTGCCCTTGTCTACAGTGTGCGAAGAACGCGAGTTCAACTTCTTGACGGTAAGGCTTATGTTAGATGTGTTGTCGAAATACTCATTTTCATTGTACATTGGTACGTTACAAATAAGGCGCTGGTCAGTGGCATACTATCGTTGGCAGTTCCCAATCTGGAGGGAAAGGTTCAAGTACCAATTGACCGAGTTTGCAAAATAAATTTGCATATCAGGGGAAATCTCTATTGTGGAGAGGTTCAGTAACTTGTTTGTTTCATACGAAACAAGCCAATGGGTGCAGTCTCATCTCGTGAAAATCTCGTACTTGTATGATTGGATTTGTTTACTCAAGTCTGGGGTGTTTCATTTTTATCTCTTTGCCCTTGTCTACAGTGTGCGAAAAACGCGAGTTCAACTTCTTGACGGTAAGGCTTATGTTAGATGCGTTGTCGAAATACTCATATTCATTGTACATTGGTACGTTACAAGTAAGGCACTGGTCAGTGGCATACTATCGTTGGCAGTTCCCAATCTGGAGGGAAAGGTTCAAGCACCAATTGACCGAGTTTGCAAAATAAATTCGCATATCAGGGGAAATCTCTATTGTGGAGAGGTTCAGTAACTTGTTTGTTTCATACGAAACAAGCCAATGGGTGCAGTCTCGTCTCGTGAAAATCTCGTACTTGTATGATTGGATTTGTTTACTCAAGTCTGGGCTGTTTGATTTGTGAGTACCGCCGAGATTGCACTGCCTCAAATAAAGTTTCGTGCCGCCAAAGCAAGAATTACGATCTGCAATCTGTTTGTAGTACGTACCTGTAAGAATGTGGAGTACATGTATCGTACTTTCTCTGTTGCTGTTTCAGTTGCCGTCATGTTGCTAAAGAAAGGTTCAGTAGAGAGGTTCTGCAAAACGAAAATTCGAACGAAGTTTCGCGACAGTCCTTGCGGAAGTGTGTGCGAATTTTTGCACGAACTTTGCGTTCTGCACATTTTCGTAGTTTGCGCGGGCCAAGTGCACTTACGCCATGACCCGATCTCACGAAATTTCCTACGACAGTTCATTTCGCGTTCCCTGCAAGTTTCGCACTTCATGATGTAGAGCGAAAGTTTGTACGCATTTTCGTTTTGCAGAATCTCTCTAGTGACTCCATTGCTTCATACGAGAAGAGTCAATGAGTCGGTGTGGCTTAGAATCTTTCGCTGTAGAAGAAATCTATTCGTATGTCTATTGGAGATATAATTGTATTCTCTGGTTATAAAATAGGTTAAGCTCACAGAATAAATACCATCGGTCCCTTGGTGTTCGTCCTAAAGAGGTTCGACTGGATATCATTCATACTCGCCAAAAGATGTGTAAGATTTTATTATTGTGGAGTGCCTTGTTTATCTCTCAGTACCTCCAACCATAGCCTTGCCCCTTTTATCCTCAGGATTTGTGTAATGCAATGTATTTGTTTACATTTTAATACATGTTTATTGTTCCTCCTTTGCTGTGTTGTTTTAGACAATCGTGGACTAACAGTCTGAAGTCATTGAACTACTTCCAAAAGTTGTATCGACATCAACAGGATTACGATTTCAGTTTCAATATGATGCTGGATGACCTTATCACGATAACCCATGACTATAAACCATTATAGACACAGAATCAACAAAAAACATCTGCGACCCGCACCTGCCGCATGGCTACATTTCTCAAATAAATCTGATTGAGGGTGGAGTAATCTGACAATTTTATGACAGAGTCATGAAATTCTGCAACAGCAACGTGCACAGAATGACCTCCGTATAAAAAAAGTATCACCACCACTGCTCACATGTTTCCCCGCAGAAGAACATGCATTATGCTAGTGCCATTTTCTGCAAGAAAAGGCTTGCACATCAATGCGTATAATATGGTATTGATATGATGTGAAGGCCATCATTTACATATTGATATAGGGCATTCCATTGATTGGTGGCAGAAAAAACAAAAGAAATTATAGCAATAAAAACTGCTTTATGGCAGTTTTCTAAAAAAAGTTATTGTGTTCTAGTCCATGGACCCCGTCTAAAAAGTAAGAAATTAACGAAGTGTGATAGCTGAAAATTTAAATTTCACACAAAACCTCACAATAATCACACACAGAATGAAAAGCTACATGCAGAAGACCTTTTCCCCTCGCGATCCTCTTTCCTATGCATGCATGTTGCCAATTATTGGTGCAGTACAAGTTTAGTGTTGAAAGCAGGGAGTAGTATTGTACTACTCCCTGGTTGAAAGCAGCATTTCAAGTGCTGTGATTATTGTGAGATTATTGTGAGGTTTTGTGTGAAATTTTAATTTTCAGCTATCACACTTCGTTAATTTCTTACTTTTTAGACGGGGTCCATGGACTAGAACACAATAACTTTTTTTAGAAAACTGCCATAAAGCAGTTTTTATTGCTATAATGGCCATGGGATCGGGAGGAGGAACCTCTAGCTCTATGCTACATCATCGTCACATGTACAGTACATCGTTTCTGGTTGTTTCAGCTCCACACACACACATGTCACTATTCCGCTAGCAACAGATAGACTGCACAGTAGTCCTCACTAGACAAGAAGAACAGTTCAGGAGGGAGAGACTAACGAGGGCCTACTTGTAGGGGTGTACGAGAACAGCTACATGTACATGACTGTAGTGTCAACACTTCCACATTAAAATAATAATAATAATCTCACACTGAACATTCAACGGGAGCTGGATTTGGTACCGGTGGCGCCGGCTCTGACAGGCGCTAGGCTACAGTTCTACCAAGAGAAAAATAATAATTTCCCCTACAACAGTGTAGCTTACTCTTTGCCCTGCCCTTGTCGTCACAGTAAGTCGTTGTTCGACTGCAGACTACCCTGCCTGTCAAGACTCCAGTTCCACCAAAAGTACACTGCACAGTGCACTGTACGAGTACTTATACTGGCAAGGCCAGGTATGGAAGCTTTCAGCCAGGGAGTTTGAAAGTGATGACGTCAAAACGGCCAGGGAGTAGTAAGTTGACATCAGATTTCTATTTTTGGATCCACTACAATATATTATATGACTTTGCCATTGCCTAAGTATGTGGGTGCATAGCAACCCACTCATGTCGCATGCAGGTGTGACTTTTATTTCGCCACCAGTTGTAACCCCGCCCCCAGTAGCCAAATCAGTCAGTTTCACTGGCTACATCACCATGCTGTGGGTAAGACCGCTTGAAATGTGCTTGGATCCATACAAAAACTGGATCCAAGTGGATCCAGTTTTTGAATTTTTGAAATTGTTGCTATGCTGTGACGTAGCACTTTCAAGCCCTATTGTACTACTCCCTGCTTTCAGCTTTACCGAAGCTTCGCCTTCGGCTCCCGCTAGCTATCGCTGGCGGTCGACCAAGTCGGCGGTCGCTGTGGGTTGTGCGGCCTTCGCGGCGTTGGTTCCGCAAATCAAGCGTCTGCATTTGAAGTGATGACTATAAATAGACTGATCATTGAGGTTGAAAGAACAGAAGTAAACTTGTACTTTCAAAGATCCTTTTACATTGTAGTAAATAGCAGAAACTCATACTCAATCCTATCTCCTTCCTAATCTATTATGTCGTCACAAGCAGTCGACATTATCAGTAAGGCGGTGGAAGACAAAGCTGATTCGCTACAAGAACTGAGCGGCAAGATTTGGTCCCACCCAGAACTTTGCTATGAAGAGAAGTTTGCCCATGACACGTTGACCGAGTTCTTGGAGAAGAATGGTTTTGAAGTGGAGCGCAAGTACAAAGTGGATACAGCGTTCAAGGCTGTGTTCCGACAGGGCAGCGGTGGCGCTAATATTGGTCTGCTCTGCGAGTATGACGCTCTTCCAGACATAGGACATGCCTGTGGACACAACCTTATCGCTGAATCAGGTGAGTCTGAATTGATCTCTAAAAGTAGAAGTGCAACGAAACCCAATAAGCAATAGAAATATAATGTACATGGCCGTATCAATAGAAATAGAATGTACATGAATCAATGAAGCTTTGCTGGGCTGCTCATGCAAATGGGCCCTTTTAGCAGTATGCTAGACACAGAATACAATGCATTTGTCATCACCCAACCAAGAGGATCAGTTGGTATTTCAACCAACACTTGACCGCCACGAGGGGTGAGGTTCACAACTGCACAGGTTATGCACGCCAACACTCAACAGTCCGTTTTGCCCACACGAAGTAAGGACCCCATGATGTTCGTCAAAACATCATCTTTTTGGACTTTTGAACCTCTTCCAAACAGAAGTGCCATTACTACCAGAGTAGTGTTGCCTCTGCCCATTCCGCGCTTCGGTTTTCACCTCAGCCTAAGGATCTTAGCCACCTGTATATATATATATGAAACCATGTTGACGCGGCCGTGCGCCTCGTGCATGCATACATAAACACGTCCATGTGATATGGCTTGCAGTGGTGCATCGGATACAGTGATATTAAAGACACTGAAAACAACAGGGTACGCTATAGCTGATATCGACTGTACTGGCAGCACATTGTACATGAACAGTGAAACCGTTAAGAAGAACACTGATACACTGATACACTGATACACTGATACACTGATACACTGATACACTGATACACTGATACACTGATACACTGATACACTGATACACTGATACACTGATACACTGATAAGACGAACTTTCGCTTGATAAGAACAAGTGTTCATAACTCTATTGGATAGATCACTGTCTATTCACTGGGTATAAGCTGTGGATAAGAAGAACTTCCATTATTGCAAACAAATACCACTGGTCCCTTGGTGTTCGTCCTAAAGAGGTTTGACTGTACTCGAAAAGGATAGCTGCCGTCACTGTGATTATACTGTACACATGCCCTACTCCAGGTCTGCAGCTTCTGGTCGAGTATTAGACACGCTGGCAGAACTGGTATAAAAAAAGAAAGGGATTAGCTGAATACATGTACATGAATACTTAGTTTTGTAGATGCTTGGATATTGAGCGGGGGGGGGGGGGGGGGGGGTACCACTTCTTGTTATTCACAGTCTCCCAAATTGAATTCTATAGTATGTAGGACTGTGAGGTAAAGCACTCTGACTTGGATGCTGTGAGCAGATTTAAAAAGGCTTTGCTGTTCAAGAGACCTCATTGCAATCGGTTCATCCGGTCACTCTGAGCTCCACTGATGGGACCTTACAAAGTTGAAACAGTTAGCTGTCCGAGATTGAGTGTGTAGAACTGTGAGGTATATCTGACGTGATGATTCATCACATGATTCATAGAATCATCATATCAGATATACCTCACATGATTCATAGAATCATCACGTCAGATATACCTCACATGATTCTAACGGTTAGTACACCATGGATAAAGTTGCTGGCATTGATGGTCTAGGGTCAGTCTAAATGCTGTATTGTTCTACTAGTACTGTGTCTTGTGTGGTGTTTTGTCGTGCTGTGCTATGGTGGCTGGTGCAGGTGTTGCTGCTGCATTGGGACTGAAAGCCGCTCTTGAGGCAAACACGTCCACATCCGGAGTAGTAACTGTGCTTGGCACGCCAGCTGAGGAAGGTGGTGGCGGAAAGTTGGACCTTATCGAAGCCGATGCTTTCAGCGATATCGACGTCTGCCTCATGGTGCATCCGGAGGCCACGAATATGCTTTCACCGGGAATTCTCTCCGTCAATCACGCGTCTGTGACATTCACTGGCCGGGCTGCACATGCTTCTGCCGCACCGTGGGAAGGTGTCAATGCCCTCGATGCCGCAGTCAATGCCTACACTGCCATGTCAATGCTGCGACAACAGCTACGCCCCGAGTGCCGTCTTCATGCAGTCATCACCAACGGAGGTGCAAAGCCCAACATTATTCCGGAGAAAGCTTCCATGAAGTTCTACATCAGAGCTCCCACTGACAAAGAGGTTGGTGTCATGAAGGAGAAGCTAACATCCATCATGAATGCTGCAGCACTTGCCACTGGCTGTCAAGTAGAAATAAAATACCAGGCCGAGGATTCGCCTGCTTTCTACTCCAACATGATCACAAACTGCCAGCTTATCGATCGCTACTGTAAGCATTGGCAGTCGTTTGGCCCTGCAAATGGCACACTCGCTGCTGATCGAGTTTGGGCTTCGACGGACATGGGCAATGTGTCCTACGTTGTCCCATCCATTCACCCGACATTCAACATTGGAACGTCGGCAAATATTCACACGAGAGACTTTGCTGCTGCTGCTATGGAGCCCGAAGCACATGCTGCTACTCGCTGTGTGTCCAAGGCAATGGCTGCTGTTGGTTGGGATATTCTGACTGACAGTGATCTGCTGAAGGAGGTGAAAGAGAGCTTCAAGCAGCAGCTGGCAAGTATGGCCTAAGCCTTCCTGACCATGGTTGCATCACGCCCAAACGGTCTCGGCTACAGTCCAACAGGAGCGCTGAGCACTTTGCATTATTCCCTCCTTGATGACAGTTGGTGACCGGGCCCACACATGTGCTTGTCAGTATTCTACATGTACATGTACATTGTACTGCAGTGTTGCTAGTTCTCATCAATGCACGTTGTAGGATTGAGTCGAACCTTTTACACATTTTTTTTGAAATGCCATAATTATCGCCATGCCCCTAGGCCCTGGAGACTACAAGTACCCCGTAACATGTACCGGTTTGTGTACAATGAACTACTACTACTACTACTCATTGCGGTCCTTACTCAGTTTTGCCCTCAACATTTTGTTCTACTCTTTTTGTCACTTCCTGTCTGACAACTCTGGGTCAGCGGCCTTCGTATTTTTAAAACTCAACTCAAAATACACATGTCCTCATATAACAGCTCCTCATGTAACCATGGTAACATTTATGTAAACTGTCAGGGATTGTCAACTGCCAGAAAATTTAATTTCTCTTTTAGAGATTCCGTGTTTTTCTTCTTTTAGAGATTCCGTGTTTTTCTTCTTTTAGAGATTCCGTGTTTTTCTTCTTTTAGAGATTCCGTGTTTTTCTTCTTTTAGTACAGTGTTTTCATGTACCCTGCGTTTAGAATTGTCTCATGTATTATAAAATAATGTATTATAAATGATAATAATGATAAGTTTTGATCAAGCCATTCCCTTGGACTTTCGAGCATTCATTCCTTGATCCGAGTGTCTGATATTTTGTTGTGACCTCGTGCTGTGACCTCGCCGGGGCATTTTGCAGCTTTTACGCTGGCTACTTGCAGGTCATCTCTTGGGGCACGGTTTTGTTGTGCCAGCTGACGACACCTGCTTGCATATGTGCCACGAAGAGTATGACATAAGTGTCCAGCTGCTGTACTAATATTGATAGTGATTTTGCTCTCCTATCTACAAATGTATACCTCCCTCACATTGTGTGTATCTGGAAACCAGGCTGCAGTACTGCAGTATCCGTACATGTACTAGTACCAAGAGTGCATAATCCATAAGCTTCCAAGATGCAAGAATACGTCTTGCTTGCTTGTACAAAGACAGTAGTACGTCAAATACCGGGCCCTACAAATACATTATCATACGCCGCTTTCAGATAATTGTGTACCGCACCATACATGTACCAGCTCAGCAGCTAGCTAGCTGACCTATATCCGGATACTGTATCGGGCTAGCAAGTAGACTTGTACATACACTGTACGTCACTACATGTATATGTAGCAGCATGGCCGGCCTACACGTGTACAATGCATGTAATACACCTGTAGTAGCTACAGATGCCGTAAAAAATAAGAAAGGAAAAAACCCAGAGAGAAGTTTTTTTGTACATGCATGGACTGGATTTGAAATCCGAAATAAACCTCGTGTGGTTTTACAGCTTGAGAAACGTTGACATGTCGACACATGGGTGACCTGGCCTGGTTGGTTGACAATTTACTTTCGAGACTACTACCACGTAGTTTCGACGTAGACGTACGGACGTGTGTAGCATCTCTTCCTTCTGCGATTTCGTCGAGTGAAGTTTAGTAAGTATTTCCTTCTTCTGCCGGCGGCACAGCACTACCTCAATGCCAAAGAACACTTGTTTCGTCAAGACAGGGCAAGGAGTAACTAAATTGCTGAGACAGAGGAGATGACGCCTTATCTGCCACTTTTTGTGGCTTTGGCTTGGCACATGTTGGTGTGTTTGACGGGAACGGATGGTCAGTTGCAATGGAGACGATTGCCGATAACTAGCAGTGTTTCCCCTCCAGTCAGAAAAGACATGGGTGTGGGTTATGATGATGAGAAACGCATCCTTTACGTGTATGGTGGTCGTGGAAGAACCTCTGGTTCTGACCTCTGGATATACAACTTGACGTCGCAGGCATGGCGACAGTTGAACTATATCGGGAATGGTCCAGCAGCAAGGTTCTCCATGGTCAGTGGATACTCAGCTATAAGTAAACAGTTTGTAGTGGCCACTGGAGAGCTCATACCAAGGGCGAAGCGATTCGCTAACGACATCTGGTCCTACAACATCACCACGAATCGCTGGACGGAGCTTCCTGCACGCGGCACAGTTCCACATCCACGCTATGGTGCCACAGGAGGACTGCACACGAATGGCACCAGTTTGTATGTCACCCACGGCTTTTCTCGGCGGAGATATTCCGACACGCTGCGATACGACCTGTCCTCAAATCGCTGGCACACCGAGTTTGGGGGCACCAACCCCTACTCAGCCACACTGCCGAAGCCAAGATGCCTCCAGGGCGGTACAATGGTAACGCCCGATGAAACCGTCTTGTACGGTGGTTGCTTGAGGTAAGCCTTATAAGGAGTGCTGCTTACTTAGCACTCTAGAAAGAACAATGGAACAATATTTTAAGATTTGAACGTCGTCTTCATGCGATCACATGAAAACGACGTTCAAATCTTAAAATATCGTTCCATTGTTCTCGTGGTATGAGTGCGCTCATTTTACTTTCATCGATATTAGCTTTCTTGTCTCCACTCCGACTTTTTAACTCTAGAAAGAGTTTGGATTAACGAGCAATCCGCCGAAAAATTGATTAGGGTTTCATTAACACCTGCGTTACATCGCTCTGAGCCAGAATCCGGAAAAAAAGGTTTTGCTTTGGAACAAGTGGAACCGGCATTTTGAGGGTATGCACGTCTCCCCGCCATATTGCCTTTTTGATGACGTCACTAGTGCAATACCTACATTGTACATACAGGTGTTGTAGAGTATGAACAAAGAACCCAGCCCCCCCCCCCCCCCTTCCACGGTTATATTTTCTTCCTAAATTACAATGGCTGTGGTATCTTTGAGCTGTTGAAATGTCATTCTGCTCGCGTTGGTACAGAGCTAGTTTCCTCCAGCACATGCTTGGCTATTGCCTACGTTTACAATTACGTCTACAAGTACACTGTACTGCACTAGTGACGTGAACAGTACAGTAGGGCATTTTAGCAACGAAACACACCCTAAAATGGACGGTCCTCTCGATGCGGAGCGAAACCCGTCTGGATGTGGGGTCAGGGTGCTGTTAGTTATCAATGGACTGCTTTTTTTTAGTTCATCTCTTACTAGTTTCCACTTCGTATTGCCACTAAGGGTACTCCGTCCAGCAACATGTACCGTATGAACTATTGCCCGAGCTCGCGTGCACTGCTGGTGGATGATATCTGTACAAACTGCGCAAGCAGTGGGTGCAGATATCGGAGCTGACACTGCACGCGTGCGAGTGAAATAATTATATAATTCAACTATTTCCTTGATCTTATCCAGCGTGGCGGTTGCATGCACAGTAAGTTACTTGACCTCTTGGCCATATATGGCACGACATGTTGATTGATTACCGCATGCAGTGTAGTACCTAGTACAGTGTAGTAGTATCTGATGTATTTGGGTACTTTCAAACTACTTGTGCATGTATTGTTGGTACAACTGTCAAGTTGAAAGTCCTTTTGTACTTCAAGTACTGTAGTATGATATAATTGCCAGTTTTTTTATTCGTGTGGTTGAGGGGGTTGAAAACGGAATTATTTGTAGGTAAGTATTAGTTAAAAAGACAAACTCCATGCAGTATTGCGATGCTGCATGGGATGAGTGAAGTTTTCCTGTGCAGTATCGAAAAAGTGCTGCACGCTCAGGAAGTGCGTTGATTGGATTGATCAGACTATGGCAACATGGTCACGTGGGGCACGATGAACGAGTGTGCATTGGCTATGATGGTCTTGCACACTACATGTGCTGCCTGTTGTCCACCACACTCACATGTGCGTCTCTAATGCTGTGGAGAGAATGGGTATGTGCACCCCAAAACCGTTCTTGGCGATGACGTATTCTTGCTTGCAGCTACTTGATATCTGCATGAACACATTTTTGTTGATGTTTGCACAGTGGTGGTCAAAGCGGTGGCCCGTGTCCTTCAGTGGACTCCTGGGCCAAGCAACGCGGCTCTACATGGAGAGAGATGAAGGAGTGTCCATCAGCAAGAATGTTCTCCGGTATGGCACCATGGCCAATGAAGACGCGTACCGTTGTCATGTTTGGTGGATTGGAGAAGCGGGCAGGCCTGATCTCCGTGAGTCATACATGTGCTAGACAACTCGTGTGTGTATGTGTGTGTATGTGTGTGTATGTGTCACTGTGTGTGTGTCACTGTGTGTGTGTGTGTGTCACTGTGTGTGTGCGTGTGTGTGTGTGTGTGTGTGTGTGTACGTGCGTGTGTTCAGAGGTAGGGGAGGGTTTGGAGTCTGTAGTGGGACATATGCATTAATTTCCCGCCATTAGGTTTTGCGGGGAAAGTGCACTACAACCGTACATGCCTTGATACCAGCTCTGCATAGAAGGTCATGAACTTTGCAAGGTCATTCTCGTAATTGTGCTATAATAGGTTGTACCTGCCAAGTATGGGGTAACTTGCCCCGCAAAAATGTGACAGCCACCTTAGATGCATACCTCCCATTGTGAAGGCAGGGGCGTTGGAACCGGTGCGGCAGGTGCGGCTTTGGCCGCACCAATAATTTTCGATTTTTTTTTTACATTTCAACCTTGTTGGTGGCTTGTCGACTCGTGTACAGGTACCATGTTTTACATCGACAATGCGGTGTATCATCAGCATGCATATTCTTTTTATTATTCTATATGGCTTTTTAGGCCCAATTTTCAAAATTTTCCCGGGGGAAAACCCCCGGATCCCCCTCTCACACTTTAGCCGCACCAATGTTAAACTCCTTCCGACGCCCCTGGAAGGTTGGCATGTTCACCAAACTGCTTTTCATGCTGCTGCTGCTGCTGGCATATAAAGCATTTTGTGGAAGGATGTGACTGCGTAGCAGCAGTCCACCATGTGTACAGGGCAGGACCAGTCACACTAAGCTGCCATCCGTAAATACTGATATTTAAAAAGATTTTCTGGCAGTTCACTTCCGTGGCTGTTTGCAATGAATTTGAAGTTCTCCCATATCCCATACAATAGATCACTTCCTTCCCCTCTGATAGTATGTTCCAGAAACCTACTGTCGTTGTGACCCCGGGGATGGGGGGGGGGGGGGGGGAAGCCCCCTGTGCCATCAGTGTGTGTGCCACATCAGGTGTGTAGCCGGAATGGTCTGAGGGGGTTTCCCGATAGAGGTCTGTGGGGGTTGTTCCCAAATGCCACAGACTTGCACGTCCAAAACTAGCGACAGAGGATAGTTGACAGTACAATCATTTAGTATATATGTCATATCCGGCAATGCTACAACTGTGACTTTTCCTACTCATGACTAGATGTATGTTATTATTATTGTTGGCCGCGAGCATCATGCATGCAGAGCTGTCCTAACGTATCCCCTTACCTCTACATCTATGTACTTGTTGTAATGTACTAGTAGTAGTATTGATCCACGCCGCCATCATCTTGCCTCTAGCTCTCCCCTGACAAATCAGTTGGTGACAGTGCGACATATTCATACCTGTCACCGTCGTTATGGTCTGGTGCGCATATACATGTACGTCCGTACTAGTACTGAGTACTCTTAGTCCCGCTGATGACAACGTAGGACCTCACCGTATAGCCGGTGCTATTGCTGTTGCACTGAACAATACATTAGCAGCGTAACTGCTTCTCAGCTGGCATGGTCGTTCGCTATTGCATTATAACCCGCGCTGATGTTTACTTCATGTTTTTAGCTAAGCTTACAATAGGAGGTGTTCGTAGCCGCTAGGGTCACTCCTCGTGTCTCCCTCTTCTTGTCCGGAGCAATAAACGTCCTTTAGGTTACGGTGACCTTGTTGTGTGAGTGGTTGGGCAGTAGCCGTATATTGCGGCTGAACGCTACTACTAGCGGGATACCCGGTTACGACATTTGGCGCTGTGAACAGGATCTGCCCACCACTCTACAAAGGATGGCGGAAACTAGCAATTGCCAGGCAGAAGAGGTCCGGAGGGCGCTCCGCGATGGAGCGGCGGCCTTGGAGGCAACCGGGCGCGAACGGCCTGCCACGCTGCTGCGGAGGCTGCGTGGCGAGCTGGTTCGGTTGCAGCGGTCATCGGAGGGCTTCTTCTCCTCCTTCGTCGGTGCGTATGCCGGCAGGAGTGAGGATTCCCCTCCGGTACCAAGGCGGAACGGTTCCCTACCCCAGAAGCGGCGACGAGAAAGCGAGGAGTCTGCCAACGTCGCACCAGGAAAGAGGTCCTGTTCTGACCGACGGCGGGTGAAGCGGGAGGAGCGGTGGCAGGCGCATTTGGCCAAGCGAGGTTGGCCTGCGGAGAAGCCTCGCGGTGAGGCGGCGGCAACAGTTGCTGCGACTACTGCTGCAGCTGCCGTGGTGGCAGCGGGAAGTGTGGCGGGAGTTGTCAATGCTGCACCTCCCAAGAAGCCCTCCTATGCTGACGCGGTCCGCGGCGGGCCAGAAGGTCAAGGTGACCAGGTCGCGATGGACCTGGACACCGATCTCGATTACGGAGGCACGGAAGACGAGGAAGAGGTCAGCGCAACCTACACCGGTCGGCTACGGTCGGTGGTCGTTAAACCAGTCCGGCCACCACCGCCACCACCGCCGGCACCTTCAGCGGAACCCCAATGAGCGCCTGCTCACGCGGACATCGTGTATACTGACTTGTATGTATTGCTAACGCATGATCTACATGTGCATGTATCATGATGTATGTCTACCTGTCCTTCAATGAACCAATGCTTGGATATGAACTAGTCTGCGGCATGCTGTTGTGCTGTGTGCGTCACCTGCTTGCGGTTAGCAGTCACTTGCTCGCATGGGTTCAGTTACGGGTCGTGACGGAAACTCTGGCAAGGCTTTAGACAAGGTGTGGAACTGCGGTTAGTTCCAAATCATGTATCAGCATTGACTGTGGTTCTGATCAGTCTGAGTAGGTGTCATGGTTGGTTGCGTTGTCTGTACGTCTAGAGGCTTGTTGTTACCCTTGAGGGCATTGGTGGTTTGTTCGGAACAGCGCTCTGATAAGGGTCTAGTGGTTGTGATTCGGTGTGATCCGATGGAGTTGATGTATCCTGGGAGCCTGTGGTTAGGTCAGGTTACAGTTGACGAGGATAATTTATTAAGAGTCTGGTGGCGCCACCAGGGATAACGATGTACTAGGGTACTGTGTGCGTGTGTGTGTGCGTGTGGACCGAATGCACAGAGGTCAGAGTGTCGGGACGGCTAAGGTAACAATGGACAGTTCTTGATGAGCTGGTCGTGGGCGATCGGGAGTATCGCGCGAAGACCTGGGTCTTCGGTGGGCCGCTAGGAAGTGCTAGCGGGCCCAGTGATAGTATAAAGCAACGTGTTCGTCGCTGGGGAGTCAGTTGGTGGTTGTTGTACCTTGTTTCCTGACGGATTGTGCCTGGGTCCTGTCGTCCCGGGGTTTTATTTTTATTTTTGTGTTCTTAATTTGTTGTGTGCGTGAGAGGTGCGATGGCTCAACGAGGGCAAAACCAGGGTGCTGCCGGTGCAGCGCCCGTAGGTGGTGGTGGCGCTGGTGCTGCGGGGGCAGCTGCGCTTGGAGGTGTTCCTGCTGCAGGAGCCGCTCCAGCGAGAGCAGGTGGCGCGGTTGCTCGGCCTGCTGTTATGCCAGAGACCTTTGATGGAGAAGGAGATTGGCAGGAATACTTGGCCTATTTCATACAGTGTGCGGAAGTCAACGGATGGCAGGATACGCAGAGGGCCCAGTTCCTTGGGGTGAGGCTGCGCGATGCGGCTCGCCGGTTCTTCACTACCTTGCCTGCTGCTCGACGAGTGAATTGGCAACATCTCTGCGCTGATATGGGAAATCGGTTTGCCTCTGCTGCGGTTGCAAACCAGTACAAGGCCCAATTCCGTACGCGGCGACGGAAGGCGGGTGAGGACCTACTGCGGGTCGCTGATGATCTTCGTCGCTTAGTCGTCTGGGCTTACCCTATGATGCCAGATGCGGTTCGCGATGATTTGGTGCGAGACCAATTTATCGAATCTCTTACTCCAGTGGCACACTTGCCTTGTGTATATTGACGACATCATCGTCTTTGGCCGTACGTTCGTTGAGCAGCTTACCCGGCTGGAAGAGGTGTTCGCCAGGCTGGCGACAGCTGGACTCCGTCTCAAACCTAGTAAGTGTCACCTCTTTAAAGATGAGGTTGAATTCCTAGGCCATGTTGTAACGCGGGAGGGAGTTAAGACTGACCCCGCCAAGGTACACCAACTCGTCCACTGGGCCCGTCCTGCTACAGTTTCAGATGTCCGTGCTTTCCTAGGCTTCGCTGGGTATTATCGTCGTTTTGTTCGTGATTTTGCAACTCTTTGTCGGCCCCTCCATGCCCTAACTCAGCAGGGACGCTCGTTTGAGTGGACAGACGAATGCGAGCACGTATTTTGTACATTGAAGGACAAGTTGTCCCGTGCCCCAGTGTTGATGTACCCTCGTTATGGGTGCGATGCCCCACGTTTTGTTCTAGATGTGGATGCTAGTGGGGTGGGGTTGGGCGCGGTGCTCTCCCAAGCTGATTCTGAGGGCTGCGAACGGCCCGTGGCTTTTGCCAGTAGATCTCTTACCGACACGGAGCAGCGGTATGCGTCCACAAAGAGCGAGTTGCTCGGCATTGTTTGGGCCTTCCGGCACTTCAGGTGCTATTTGCTGGGTAGGCCATTTCTGGTGCGCACGGACCATCGCGCGTTGGAGCACTTGTCTCGGTTTAAGGATCCCCCTGCGATTATCGCGCGTTGGTTAGAGTTCCTCAGTGAGTTTGATTATGTTATGCAGTATCGTGCGGGGCGGTCCCATGCCAACGCCGATGGCCTATCCCGACTTCCTGGGAAGGCGTCTGCGGTGGCTTCTGTCTCTGCTAATACGGTGGCAGAGCATGTAGTACCCTCACCTTTGGTGCAGCGTCGCGGTTGGACGTTGCAGGACTGGCGCGACTGCCAGAGCAAGAGACACGGATTTGTCTCAGTTAGCTACGTTGCTCAGCGGTGATGAATCTGCTGAGGTCGCGGACTTGACAGGTGTCAGTCCTGCTTTCCCGTCTTACTGGCGAGGACGCCAGCGCATGTTCGTTTGGGAGGGGGTGGTGTGCAGAAAGTGGGAAGATCCATGCGTCTCTGTGCCACCCAGGACCCAGGTACTGGTTCCGGTGAACCAGAGGACTGCGGTTTTGTCTGAGTACCATGACCACGGGGGTCATTGGGGAGTACAACGCACGTACGCGCAGTTATCGCTAAGGTTTCACTGGTATGGAATGAAACGGGACGTCGAAGACTGGGTCGCAAGCTGTGAATCGTGTAGCCAGAGACGTAAGCCAGCGCAGAGAGGGCGAGGCGCCCCTCTGCAAGTAACATGGTGTGGCTACCCTTTCGAAAGGATTGCTATGGATCTTATTCCTAACCTGCCTGAAACTGTGAGAGGCAACAAACACATCTTAGTTATCGCAGATTATTTTACTAAATGGGTAGAGGCCTACCCACTACAGAGGATGGACGCCGAAACCATTGCCTCAGCATTTGCTAGCGAGTTTGTTGCACGCTATGGTGCGCCGGAAAGTATACATACAGATCAAGGCCGGAATTTTGACTCTGCTCTGTTCAAACACGTGTGTAGCCTGTTGGGTATTAGAAAAACACGCACCACAGCGTATCATCCAGCCAGCGATGGTCTCGTGGAGCGTTTCAATCAGACGCTCGAGAAGGTCTTGTCACACTATGTGTCGGATCACCAGCGGGATTGGGACACACACTTGCCCGCCATGTTGTTGGCGTACAGGGCCACGCCACAAACCAGTACCGGAGGAGGTCGAGCCCGTGGGTGATTCCGGATGCAACCCCGCTAAAGTTCGACAACCTGAAGCGTACCAACCCGATGCCACAGACCTTCTGTACCGGGACGAGTGCGATAATGGCGAAACTTATGGTGGTGAGCCTGCCGTTATGGCACAAGCGCATGCTCCCATTCCTCAGCTGCCACCAGTAGTTCAGCTGCCACAAACGCCTTATGCCATGGCGCGGCCGCAAAGGAATCGTAGACCGCCGGCACGGTTCTGATATTTCATGTTCTTAGAGAAGGTGCTGTGAACTATTATAATAATCATGTGGCATTAGCAATACCATAATTACCGTTCCTAAAACGAAAGTGTTAGTGAAATACGTTGGGTAGGTTTAAATTCCCTTCTTTCCCCTCCATTCATTGCTTGCGCTACGCGGACTCTCTGTACAGTCTTTTCCATTTGTTAGTTATTCCACCTTTGCAAAACACGAGGACGTGTCTTTTGCGAAGCCGGGGGAGATGTCATATCCGGCAATGCTACAACTGTGACTTTTCCTACTCATGACTAGATGTATGTTATTATTATTGTTGGCCGCGAGCATCATGCATGCAGAGCTGTCCTAACGTATCCCCTTACCTCTACATCTATGTACTTGTTGTAATGTACTAGTAGTAGTATTGATCCACGCCGCCATCATCTTGCCTCTAGCTCTCCCCTGACAAATCAGTTGGTGACAGTGCGACATATTCATACCTGTCACCGTCGTTATGGTCTGGTGCGCATATACATGTACGTCCGTACTAGTACTGAGTACTCTTAGTCCCGCTGATGACAACGTAGGACCTCACCGTATAGCCGGTGCTATTGCTGTTGCACTGAACAATACATTAGCAGCGTAACTGCTTCTCAGCTGGCATGGTCGTTCGCTATTGCATTATAACCCGCGCTGATGTTTACTTCATGTTTTTAGCTAAGCTTACAATAGGAGGTGTTCGTAGCCGCTAGGGTCACTCCTCGTGTCTCCCTCTTCTTGTCCGGAGCAATAAACGTCCTTTAGGTTACGGTGACCTTGTTGTGTGAGTGGTTGGGCAGTAGCCGTATATTGCGGCTGAACGCTACTACTAGCGGGATACCCGGTTACGACATATAAAAGGAACGAACATTAGACTGAAGAGCAGAAGAATCCAAAGAACACTAATCATTTCCTCCCAGATTCTCCTAACGCAACTCCCCTTACAATGCACGGGTTGCCCTAAATACCTCTGCTGTAGCCTAGGACATAATGGCGTACACGACGCGCCAAAACTGGCGCTGCACATGACAGCACAGCCTTGCGCGGTACACCCTCGGGTAAAACAACATGCATGCAACACATGTAATGAATACAAGGTGTGTGATGACCTATGCTGTGCACATGCACCGGTACTCATTTACTAACAGGGTCAAGGTGGCAAGACCCCTTGCGGGGGAGGGCTTCAGTTTCCAAGCTTCTGTGAGGCCCAATCTGGAACTTTTCATTACCATTGTCAACGTGTTGTGGTTCAGGTTTTACTGTAGTTTTCTACGGTTTCGGTGTCTGTGCTGCACCCCAGGGGAGGTTTCTGGGTAACCTGGAAACACTGACGGTTACGCGCCTGCACGTGTTGTGAGCTGCCTTTGGAGTGACAAACTTGTCAGCGCCTTCTTGGTTGGGCCTGGTCCCACAGCTCAGCTGGCTAGAGCATTGCTCATGACAGCAAGGTCCCAGGTTGAGTCCTGGCGGAGTTGGCATTGTTCCGCTTTCCCGACAGCTCGCTTCCCTGAATGTTTGCAATGAATTCTAAAACAATGATTTGTATCCCTGGAGAGAATGGATTTGAAGACTCTGCTGCAGCTGTATTTGTGGTGGAATAGGATGGTGGCAAAAACACATCTGGCGGTAAATACACGCCTGCTCTCTAAGCTGCAAAGATACAGTCTGGCACAGAGCTCTCCTTCTCACTACCACCGCCGCCACCATCACCGCCACCACCACCACCATCAGTTTGCCCGTAGCACCTGGTCAATGCATGACTACATGTAGTGATATCACGCTTACGTAGCTGGCTGGTACGTCAGGTAGCACTTGATGCATAGAAGATAACACAGCTACGACCATGGCTTCGCAGCGTAGAGAGCGTGTGTGTGTGTGTGTGAAATGCAGGCACGTATTTACCTCCGTTACTAGGTGTAGCTTTGTCACCATATTATTCAACCATATACCATACTCACTTGATTAGAAGCCACAGGTTTCTATTTTTCTTCATTTTTTACGTTGACCAAGCAAGGATATGATTGTGCAGGCATGAGTTTCAGTTGCTAACTTTCGCTAATTTTTCATCTTCGCACAATGACAGTTTGGAATAATTATATTGATTTTACTCCTTTGCAGGCAAAGGCACTATAAAACTGCTTCCCATCACCAACCATTTCAATATTTGGTTCCTTGTCTTTTCATTCCCATGTTCTCTCTGTCAGAATAAGGAAGGCCTACGTAATGAAGTTGATGTCCTGGACATTGCCTCTGGCCAGTGGAAGCGTGTTACAACGGTATGTTGGCAGTAACTCTCCTGTTCTCTTTCTGCGAGCCCATTCTCTTCCTGCGAGACTCACGAAGTTTCTTTAGAACCCCTGCATGACCACAGGCTACATTCCAGATGGCCATGTCTAGGTATGCAGTGTCCTGACGTCACCATTTGTATGACTTCAAAAGTGAGTCATGATGTTACTTCAAGTAGGGGGACACAGAGCTGCGATTGATCTCTCCGATACTGAACAACACAATGTCTTGCTTTCGGTCTCTCTCTCTCTCTCTCTCTCTCTCTCTCTCTCTCTCTCTCTCTCTCTCTCTCTCTCTCTCTCTCTCTCTCTCTCTCTCTCTCTCTCTCTCTCTCTCTCTCTCTCTCTCTCTCTCTGGTTGCTGCAATGTAGGAAGGAGACGCACAGCATGGTGTGCCAGCATGGCGAGTAGGGCTGCACCTCATAGCCACTCGCAACAGTGTGCTGCTCTATGGTGGCGATCCACAGTAAGTACCAGTAGACTGATGTAGTGCTCGTGTCTATTGCAGTGTACTATGGACTATTGTCAAGTCAGTATAGCTCAGCTGACTACAGGTCAGACCTCGCTATAACGTAATCTCTGGGGGATGGGAGAAATTATGTTATAGCGAGGTTTATGTTATAGTGAGTTGGGCACACCAATATGCAATATGTATGTCAAAATGATGCTCTTCACTTACTGATTACAACTGTACTGTTTTACATACAGGTATGATGATGACTAGCAAAGATGTGTACAGGCTTGTCAGCAAAGGGGTGACAAGAGTCATGTAGTGCGTGTCTTGTACATGTGACAAGATTAGGGCATATAAAAGTCATGGGAGTAGTAAAATACCGGTATTTTACTACTCCCTGCTTCCGAGGTGGACGGCTCAGTCTCAAGAAGGCATGCATGCCGTGTACATAGTCATTTTCATACGAGTTTTTACGTTATGCTGAGGTCTCCGTGCGCCCGGGACCCAGCAAACAGTGCGTTATAGCGAACATTACGCTATAGCGGATTATGTTATAGCGAGGAAATTTTGTACAGAAGTGATGCAGTTTCGGCAGGGACATTCACATTTGTACGTTATAGTGAGGTTTATGTTATAGCGGGGGTCGTTATAGCGAGGTTTATGTTATAGCGGGGGTCGTTATAGCGAGGTTTATGTTATAGCGGGGGTCGTTATAGCGAGGTTTATGTTATAGCGGGGGTCGTTATAGCGAGGTTTATGTTATAGCGGGGGTCGTTATAGCGAGGTTTATGTTATAGCGGGGGTCGTTATAGCGAGGTTTATGTTATAGCGGGGGTCGTTATAGCGAGGTTTATGTTATAGCGGGGGTCGTTATAGCGAGGTTTATGTTATAGAGGGGGTCGTTATAGCGAGGTTTATGTTATAGCGGGGGTCGTTATAGCGAGGTTTATGTTATAGCGGGGGTCGTTATAGTGAGGTTTATGTTATAGCGGGGGTCGTTATAGCGAGGTTTATGTTATAGCGGGGGTCGTTATAGCGAGGTTTATGTTATAGCGGGGGTCGTTATAGCGAGGTTTATGTTATAGCGGGGGTCGTTATAGCGAGGTCTGACCTGTACACTAACTCTACTGTAAGCTAGCAGATTTTTACCAACAAATGTATTAAAAATAAATGGCAATGAGCACTATGAATTCACGACACCTAACCTGTTTAAAAACGGGACAATCCACCCGGATATCAAATAGAGGTCCACCGATGGATAACATCACCCTGAGCCAGAATCCGAAAGGATTTTTTCGTCTCCGTCGAGTGGAACCTATAATATTTGAGGGTGTGCTTTCCTGCTAAACCACCCTATCGATGGTGTGAGCACATGTAGAGCAATGCCCACATGTACCCGTACAGTGTACGTGCATACACAGGTTTTGTGCATGAAGCAGGAGCCCAGTTTCTGGTACCCCCCCCCCCCCCCCATGACATTTTTTCTTCCTTTTTAAACACCGTATGTCTCCATACCTTGATCACCATGGCGGTATATTCAAATTCTAAAGCCATTCTCAGCTATAAAGCCATGGCTTTTGTAAATGTGACTTCATCCGCAATATGTTTGGTAAAATGAAGCGGTAGTTAGTAATTCATTTTTTCCTTTACTACATTTACAAAAACTCCCAGCCAAGCAGAAAGGGCAAAAAAGCGGATTTAGATTGAAAATTTTGTGTGAACTTTGACTTTTAGGCCATGGCTTGTTAGGTGGGTCATTCCGCATCTAGAATAGCGAGGGAAACAGCGATGAGTCGGTTTAAAAGGCCATGGTTTTAAAGGTGCAGACATAAGGTAGCAATAGATTTGGTGGCTCTGTGATAACGGAATAGCACTTTGCTCACTTTCAAACATACTTCCTCCGCTAATATAAACTTTATGACTTTTTTATTCACATTCTAAGGAGTTACTTTGCTGAAGAAATTTGATCCACTGGAACAAAAACACTTCAAGACAATGCATGTCCTTCTTTGAAGTACATGTACACGTGTGTACACTATTTTACGTAATAAATTAGCACCGTGTGAGTCTCGCTCTGAGTCATCATTTGCTCGATTCCTCAGAGCTCAAATTTTCACCCAGAATGCACAGGTCGATTTAAGTCACGCTTTTTTTGTTTCCGGATGAGGTACTGTAGATGTTTCCCCTGTTTTACCTGCTCATCCTGGGGCAACAGCTCTGTGCAGAAGTGCTGCCCTGGTGACGTCAGCTACAGGGCAGTTTAGTAAGATAACTTTTCACCAGTTCTGCATAGCATTGAATGCAGCAGTGTTGATGTGTGTGTGGGCTATTCTTCTTCTTCTGCTGTTGCTGCTGCTGCTGCTGCTACTGGTCTGTATAGAGTGGACAGTTATGTTTGGGAGCTCACTGGTGATATAGACCTAGCACCGAGTGCAGGCAAATGTGGTCCGCACTGGTTTGCTTGGCCACATCTACACGGACTGTTTATGATCTTGTCCTGGGGATTCCTACTTCAAGCTGGCGCTTTCATCGCCCGTTACTTCCGCGACTACAAGCCGCCGCTCTGGTTCAAATTACACCAGGCACTTCAGGTGAGTCACCGTGAGTCACAGTGAGTGGCATGTGTATGCTGGCCCCCTCTGCTGGTTTCCCCCGGCAGTATTGTGTGTGGCTTGATGACTCCACCTGCTACGATATGGTAATGTCTTGTGTTTGAAACAACGGTGTGTGGCCCCATCTTATTGCCAAGTACAATTAAAGGGTCCTTTTCTACGTGAGCAATTAACTGTTCACAATGCGCATGCACCATGCACCATGCCATGCTGTGTCTCTGCCTTTCTTACTTCCGTCCGGTTTTATCAAGCTCCACATGTCTTCCTCTCTCTCTCTCTCTCTCTCTCTCTCTCTCTCTCTCTCTCTCTCTCTCTCTCTCTCTCTCTCCCTCTCTCTCTCTCTCCTTCTCCTCCTCCTTCTCCTTGTTCTTTATTTCGTCTCTGCCTTGTAGATATCTGGTGTGGTAGTCAGTACCCTCGGTGTGGTGTTCGTCCTGCCTGGGACCCTGGCAGTTCCCAACTTTGCCCACACCATCATTGGCGTTCTTATCCTACTCTGGAGCATCCAGCAGACTATCAATGGAATAAAGTAAGTGCACACTCGTGGCGAGTCGAATGACATCTATGCGATTCAGCATGCCTACTTCATCTTCAGGGAGAAGTGTGTTATTAGTACTTATTACATTACGTACCGGTGTGCCAGTAGAGTGAATTCGTAAGACAGGTGTTACGTCCAACACACCTCTGCATTAAGATCCGCCAGGATTCCACAGGAAAGTACATTCACTACAAATGATATACAGTACTTGAAGTGAAAAAAAGAGGACCATAACTTTACAAGTTATCCCCGTTTTGTCCAACATTTATAAGCAGGATACTGTTGGTCCTCTTTTTTTTTAATTTCAATCCTTGGCTCTCCATCCGAGTTTAGTACTTGAAGTATTTAATTTTAACCTCTCAGGGGTCATAGTACGGATTAATCTGTATGTCACACATGCAGTGCTTCGACAGCCAATTGTTGTTGATTCTCTGAATTTTTCGATCGGATTTTTGCAACCGATTCTCAAGATATGTTTCTGCTCTTTGTCTTCCACGAAACGTCATCTGAAGGCAAGGCACTTAATATCCGATGATCTGGAACATCACAAAAAAATACTTGCAAGTACCCGATATGGTACCTGTGCTGCACGAATAGAAATACCCGAGCGCGTTACTCGGCCAAACCCCCGCCCATTGCAGCTCTACAGTCCATTTTAAAAATATAGACACGCAGTGTTTTACAAAATTCGATGGGATTTTTTTGATTTTTTCAGTTTTTCTCCAGATTCCGCCTCTGCATCGCCTCACAATTTTGGCTGTATACTTTATTTTCGCTACAAAGGAAGTTTATTTTAGGCCAGGTTTTCAAGTTTTACAATCATCATGTAATTTCTGGTTTTAAGGGTTTGACCAGTCTGTTTCGGATTTTTACTCTCGCTGAGACAGTGCTGCGCCCGCTGCCAAGGCCATCGCGGGTACATTTTTGTACGGGTCCTGGTAGCCTCTTGGTTTCGAACTTTCGATCCGTGATTCCCAGTACAAGTGTGGGACATTTAAATCCCATCACATCTCTTGCCTTTTTTCTTCTTTTTTTCTATATCCCATCACAACTCCTGCCTTTTTTCTTCTTCTTTTTTTCTGTATGTTTTGGATCTTGGTTGGTGAAATACAGTACGCGTATACGGATGATACATTTTCTTTTTGATACGATTTGAGCCTCCTTTTCTTAAAAAAAAGAAGAAAGAAAAGATACATCTATAGTAAAGAAAAAAGGACGAAGAAACTACAAGTTACGCTATAATGTCCACCAACACCACCAGTTACTAACTTGTAACTTGTAACGTAACTTGTAGTTTCTTGTCCTTTTTTCTTTACTATAAATGTATCCTTGGCTCTCCATCCGAGTCCAAAAGATACATCGTGCGAACATATTAGAGAGGTTCCGGGTAGGCCTGAGCGGCTAATGCTAGTTTTTTTGGGCAAAAATGCTTTTGCCTTTTGGCAATGCTAGTTATTTTGGTTGCTAATGCTAGGTTGAGTGCTCGTTTGCAGCATTAATGCTAGTTTCAGCACCAATAAAAAGGAAAGAAAATGGTGTACAGAAATACTTTTTCGGATGGTCTTGTGTCTAATTTCATTGTAGACACGATCAGATGAAACAGGGCACCATGGTAAATTAAAGATAGAAATGCGATACTAGTAGTCGATGCACGGTGGACAATGTCTGGCAACTATCTTCGTGTCCCATTACGGCTTGGGAACTCACAGCTCATGGCCGAGCCGACCACGGTTGTACTGGAGCATGAGCTCCACTTCCAGGTGGTCTGTCAGTGTTGAGGCTTGCTGGCTGCTCGTTGCTGCTTCAAGGAGCGAGAAAACTCTCTCGGCAGCAGCAGATGATGGCGGCACAGTGATGACGATCCGGGCAGCATTCTGCCACACCGGCAGTTGAACTTGGTCTCTCCACCAAGAAAGGCGGTCTTGGCCAGGTTGAGTATCAGCAGCAGCAACCTTGTAGGCTGCAAGCTCCACCTTGAGCTGTTGGATAGTGCCATCTTTATCCAGGGGCGGAAAGGCACGGAGACCATCCACTAGAGCGGGAACTGGATTCGTCTTGGCAACGAATATTGGGCAGCACAGCCTGGCAGCCTTGTATGCCAACACATTGGCAAACAGCGGTGAATCCTCATGGTTGAATTTTGTGAGGAAGTAACGAATTGCCGGACGCACGCAACCATTGGCATGCTCTTTCAACTGGTTCTGGCGGCCAACATCGCTGGGTGCAATGTCCTTCACAAGAGCTTCAACATTGGGGTAGACTGCATCTTGGGCAGCAGTAGCCACCTCTTGCAAATGAGTGTATGCATCCACACTCAACATGCCGTCGCCTTCAATGATGTAGGTTTTGCGGACGAATGGTTCCCCAAAATCAACGGTTGCAGCCAGCTCCATACGAAGCATATCACAGCTGTCAGGTGCCATTTCGTTTTGCAGGATGGAAAGGAGGCGGCGACAGGCATTCGGGCTTGATTCACATTCCTCCAAGAAGGGCTGAACATCCCCGAAGTATTTGAGCAGTTGTTCCAGCACTTCCCACAAACGCCACCACCTGGTTGCACTGTGAGACTTCGGTGATACACCTGTCCGTGTCTTCCAAGCGAGTTTAGTGGCATGACTGCGAGAGAAGAGACTGACCCACCATTGGCAGAACTCATCCAGGGTGGGGGTATCAAAGTGGTCTCCAATGTTGTTCAAACTGTGGGAAGCGCAAACTACATCCATGGGGGTACAGCAAGTCTACAACATGCCGCACTGCAACCGTGTTAACAGATGCTCCATCTCGTACGAAGGCAACTGGCTTATTGGCAGGTATCTGAAGGAATGTGCTCAGGCAGGCAATAAGTTCTCTGGCCATCTCCGTTCCTTGCATGCTTTTGGCAAGCACATGCATTCTCACCAGGCGTTGCTGGATGCACCATGATGCGTCCACATAACGAATGATGATGGCGAATGCCTCGCCAAGATGGGTGGTACCGTCGAAAATTACTGCAACATGTTGTGCTTGCTTGATTTCCTCTTTCAGTTTCTCCAGCTCCACCTCAAGCAGGAAGGGAACTAGCTGAGCCATATGTGAGCTGTGCGTGAGGTTGAGATTGTTATTCCCCAACAGTGGGCGAAGATGGTCAATCTTCGTAAGTGCCACACCAGCCTTCAAGAAAGACTCAACGACATTGGCACGTCGGAGTACGGTCGTATCACCTGTAGCCTTCGTGAGACCAGTACCTTTGAGCTCGTCTGCTTTCTTCTTCTGGTAGACCTTCCAGGATTTCGTGATGGTCGCTTGGTGGTTCTTGGATTTCACTCGTCGTTCTTTCGACAGGAGATGGTGCTTAGAAAGCACATGGGACCTCACAATACTCTTCTTTGTCTGTACGACAGTGCGACACACGCCGCAGAAGAGCTTCCCGGCTGATATACAAAGATGTTCGTTCGGAAATTCCACTATTCTTTCATTGGGATTAACACGAGGTGCACGTGTCGATTTTCCTTCGCGGACTCTTGTTCTATTTTGACTCTTTGGCTTACATGACCGGTTGAACGAACGATCTCTAGCAATGACTGCTTCCTTTGCCTTTGGTAATGTGTTGGCCACATCATCATCATCATCATCATCACCAGTATCTAAATCCGTCTCGTAATCATCTTCTTCCTCTGAAGGATCAGAGTCAGAGAGGACAATTTCAGCTGCCTCCCCACAAGCACTCATGACCAAGGTTTTGACTTCCGAAACGAAAATAACAAGCGCAACAGCAGACTTCGCATGTCTTCTGTACAAACTTAAACTAACAAAGTCATCAACTCGAGAGAGAGAGAGAGAGAGAGAGAGAGAGAGAGAGAGAGAGAGAGAGAGAGAGAGAGAGAGAGAGAGAGAGAGAGAGAGAGAGAGAGAGAGAGAGAGAGAGAGAGAGAGAGAGAGAGAGGTCTCCCCAATGAAAACCTTGAAAACGGTGTGTGTAGCGTAGGTTTGGCGTTTCCAAATAGGCACCCTTAGCATTGAGACGATAACGCTAGCGGTAACGGTATTTTGACTGTGGCCGGACAAGAGTACCCATTTTGTTACTGTATGGCATATATGTACCCTTGAATCCTGTTGTGCACTTGCTGTGTGCCAGAAGAGGCCCAGACTCCATAATTGGTGCAAACATTACCATATGGATCATTGCAGCGTATGCCTTGGAAAGGTTTTTAGCCCCCAGGCCCCTTTTAATGCTTTTTACCCCATAAAACCTGCTTGCAATGCTAGAGCAATGCTAGTTTCCAAAAAAGGCCTTTAATGCTACTTTTAATGCTAGCATTAGCCGCTGAGGCCTAGTTCCGGGTACGATTTTCCGTGCCAAAATCCGTATGGGCGCTACGGATTTTTTCCAGGCGTGCTCCATACGATTTTTCGGCACGGAGAATCCGTGTGGACTGGCTTTCATACGAACCATGTTTCGTATGGAGATTTTGCGTCATCGGGTGCAGAAAGATTTTTCGCGTACAAATTTGGTACGAGAAACATCGATTTTCCGCGGGAAGTTTTGATTTCGGTACAAATTTTCAAAATACAAAAGAGGCATAGTGCGGGAATGTGACGTGTTTGCGATCTTAACCTAGGCAATGACGGCAAACACATAAGTTCCGTACCCCGGAACTTTTCACTGCTCGAAAACGACGTATAAAATATCAGTAGCGCCTCCACGGATTTTGGCACGAAAAATCGTACTCCGGAATCTCCCTAATATGACTGCAATTCCCAGTCTCATTCAATAAAAAACACCACAGCAATTTATATACCTGAATTCTCTGCCCACAACTCCGAAAAGCAGCGGACAAGTGAAACCAAACATTCCCAAAACTACTCATCAACCTTTCCCCGACACTCTGGTGGCTCCAGTGTACATCCAGGTATACCATTCAAATCACACAAAAGAGTTGGTTTATCATTTGCAAGGTAAATGTCTCAGCGAGACAATGCCAGAAACACACGGCGGTGGTGACGGCTCAGGAAGGCAGTGGCGAAACCACACTCCGTCACACAGGTGAGACGGCTAAGCAAGGCAGTGGCGAAACCCATGCTCAGTCAGAAAGGCAAGACACCCAAAGAAAGCAGCGGCGGCTAAGCAAGGCAGTGGCGAAACACACACTCCGTTGGAGAGGTATTCATTCCGAGTCACTTGAGCTGTTGCTATCGCCGCCCAGGGTTATGACTATCTGCTCACATACCTCTTCTTGAAGACCGTCCGTGACCCATGCTTCATCGATCAGCCTGCTGCAATGCTCAACTGCATCTGCCCATTGCTCTGGAGGCACCTCAGCCATGACCACCTTGACGAGCTCTCTGACGTCCGCAATCTTGAAGGTCTTATCGCATTTCCCAAATTCTCCCTTGATCCAGGCCCACAGCAGCTCAATGGGATTGAACACACACTGGTAAGGGGGAAGTCGCAGCACCATGAAACCCTGCCGGGCAGCAAGGTCGTCACATCTGTTAACTGGCAGGGAGGGGGGGGGGGGTTGTGGGCCTTCACCAGCTGGTACAACTCCGGTTTCAGCATGTCCTGGGTCCATGCTACGCCTTTCTCGGTGAGCCGGCTTGCATATCGCCTTTCCCGGTGAAAAGTCCTGGTTTCCAGTTTTAACGGAGTGATATGGTGCAGGGTCCATGACGATTACAGCACCAGGGGGTAGATTTGGCATAAGCTGATCTTCCTACCATTCTTCAAAGTGAATTGCATTCATTTTGTCATGGTAGTCTGCGCTTTTCGTGTTACCAATGAACACCAGGTCACAATTCGGGAGAAATTCACCTTCCCATCCCGCGTTCAAAATGACGAGACGCTTCCCTTTTCCAGACGGTGCCTCCAGTGGCTGCATGTTTACTACTGCTGTTCCTTCTCTTCCATACCACTGAAATGGTTCTGTATGGTCAGCATTGACCCATGTCTCGTCAAGGAACACCAGTTGCCTTTCTTCAGCACGATACTCTCTATACTCTCTCAGAAATCTGTGACGCCAAGCTACGATGTCTGGGCGCTCCATCATGGCCTTCTGATTACCTTCAGTTCGCTTGTACGTAAATCCAAGAGACTTGATGGATCTCCCAAACGCCGTTTTTGACATAGATGGTAAGTCGGGAATCGACTCCACACACTTCTGGCACATCTTTTCCACTGTTGGAATTTGTCTCTCTAATGAAAAAATCCGTGAAATGCCTGCATCACAGAACACTGCGTGACTTCCACCTTGGGCCGGCCTGGTTTGGCAGAAGACTCGTTTGGCAGAAGGCTCGTTTTGATCTTCGCCTTCAGAATCACTACGATTCCCATCAGCAGCAAGATAATAGCCAACTCCAGAACTTTGCCTGACACAACGAGTGACAGTGGTTTCACTCACGCCAGTTGCAAGGTGAGTTAAACGACGAGGATTTCGGACACTCAAGAAGTAACTGTGAACACGACTAACCGTATCTTTCTCGGCATCACTGAGATTCTTACGGGCCTTCGAAGCCATTGCAGTCAGAAAATACAAACGAAAAGAAGATTCATTTGAGACTTTCCTCACACCAAGAGTTCATAACCCCAAGAGTTCATAACCCCCAAGAGTTTATGAACTCTCGCGCACCTTTTCATTTGCGACTTTGCATCTTTTGCGTCTTTTGTATTTCCCGCTGCGGCGAAGAAAATTTAGAAAAACCTGAAAAAACACATGCAAAACTCACAGCTATAGTGCGCTACGTGACGGTACGACTGGAATGGATTTGCCACGTATGAGTTCACACGTCTATATTTTTGAAATGGACTGTAATATTAACTCTCTTGTCTAATGTAATCGTGACCAACACAATCATATAATCTCTCTTCAAAGCGGTTCCAAACCTACTGTTAAAATAATCTCATTTCACTTTTCAGTAATCTGGTGCTCCACTTCTGTCCACTCTGTGTTGCTCGTCACACAGGCAATTTGAATCTGGAGTCTTAAACGGTCTAGTCTGGATGCTGTCATGTTTGCACACTCTCTAGTTCATCTCTACTATTCTGTTTTTCTCTCACACTCATTCTCTCTCTTTGCTCTGTCTCTCTCTCTCTCTCTCTCTCTCTCTCTCTCTCTCTCTCTCTCTCTCTCTCTCTCTCTCTCTCTCTCTCTCTCTCTCTCTCTCTCTCTCTCTCTCTCTCTCCAGGCGCCCTCACAAAGAAGATCCGCCAACAAAAACGCGACAACATTGGGAGGTGTTTCACAAGTGTGGTGGCCGACTCTTCCTCATCCTGGCGCTCATTAACATCTTCTTGGGCCTGTACTTGGTGATGGCCCCTGCCGCGGTCATTATCATCTGGTCGATTTTCTTCGGCTTACTTGTTATTGCTTACGCAGTGTTTGAATACCGCCTGCAGCATCAACGCACCGCAGCTCCGGGCCCTGCAAAGTTCTCACCCTCCTCAGTATCGGTTGCAAGGACTTCATGATGCTTGTACGGGTTGTGTGTGCGCAGCAATGGCCTCTTTTAAACTTTTGAAGTGTTTGAGCCAGAGTCAGTACTCTAGATGCATGCACCAATGTGCTGGCACATGGATGTTTGTGTTTTCTCCCAATGCGTGTAATTGCAGTATACTACGCACGAGCTCATTCTATCATTCTATTTCTGAAATATCTACAATGTGTGTATCTGCAATGTGTGTATCTACAATGTGTGTATCTACAATGTGTGAAATGTACAGTAAGTAGACACTGACAGTTATCTTGGTCAAAGCATGCTTTGCTTTATAACCAATCTCCTAACGAACGTCACTTTTTAAAGTCAGAACCCCCCCCTCCCAACACAAACACACACACGCGCGCGCGCATTCACTTCTACTTCAAAGGGTATATTTTATTGGCTGTTGCATTTCTTTTGTGCAGCATGTTTGGATGAGATGACTGAGCATTTTCTTTTCCTATCTTTAGACCGTAGCTCAACCATATCAGTACTGACACTTGTCCCCGCCGTTTGCGGGATCCTCCTCCTTGATTAAGCCGCACTGAATCATTTTTAAATTAGTTTCAAGTCTCGACCTGCCGCAATGATTGGTTTTACTGTTTCAAGGTACACTGTACATACCGGTATGCACCATGCATGCCATTCGTCTAAGCCAGGAGTGCAGCTCTGGATATGCGGATACTGGCAATTGCCGGTGCCAGTGTTCATGCTGGCGAAATGCACAATCCAATTCGCAAAATAGAATCGAGTGGAAAGAATGCACCGACTGTCCACACATAGAAGACGAGAAGCCTCGAGATTACTGTAGTTGCAAACCCAGAGTTTCATGGCTGCATGGACGGACAATCTTCAGGCAACTGACAACACCGTGATGAGAGAGAGAGTGTGTGTGTGTGTGTGTCACGTGTGTGTGTGTGTGTGACTGTGTGTGTGTGTGATGCACGTGCCGGGTATTCTGCATTGCAGGGTATGCATGCCATGGTACTATCTGAGTACTGTCTGTACCAGTGGCTGTTGGTATGCCAGGGAGTACTATTTTTACTACTCCCTGGTTGGTACTTTTCTACACTGGCTATCCTGGAGACGGAGGCGCTTTTGCAGGGTTCCCGGGGTCTTCTGCTTCCAGGTAGGGCCCCTGGTTTGAGGGAGTTACTGGGTACAATATCCTTGAGAGGGGTAGGTGCGTTTTGTCGTACTTATGGTGTCTCGAAGCTCTTAGCTCCAGGATCCTGGACACCCACAAGCAATATTCTTACACGCATGAACATCCAAACATTAACCACATACGCCAACATGCACCTTCTGGTTTTTATCTGGCGTTGTCTCCATGACTCCTCTAACATCAGCATGTTGTTCGCTAACTTTTTCAGCCGCAGTAATTCCACTCAAACTCGTGGTGGACACAGCAATTTACTGATTGTCCCAGCCCGCAGCCCAACTGCATAACTTGCCAAACGTGTTACCTATGCTGGGACCATCTTGTGGAACCAGCTCCCCGCTGCGGTCAGGCAAGAAAGAAGACGCAATCGCTTTAAAGTCAATGGCCCTTGCCTTTTTGCTTACCAGATAAATAAGCCTCTTTACAAATGCTGTATGCACTGCTCTTTCCGTTATTTTCTTCCTATGCAAGTCGCAACTCCTGTTTTGAGTTGTTTTTCTTCTCTCTTTTTCTTTCCCTAATACTAATAGTTGCTGTTACACGCACTGATCCTTATGCACAGATGCCGAGTATACAGCATTCCCTCACTAGTGGGACCATTGTTATTAGGCTAGGGCCTGTTTTGGACTTCCCACTCTAAATAAAGAATACAAACAAAAACAAAAATCCTGTACATGTCAGGGGACGTCTAGCGAACACCGCTCGCCGTGGGGATGTTGCCGCCTCCGGAGTGTTTCGAGCTACCCCCCCCCCCCTCCCCCCCCCCCACCACCACCCTGTCTTTATCTTCTTGTTCACGGTTCCCATTATGGCCCAGACCACAGCTTTTCTTACACTCCTGATACCGGAACTCACCGGGCCATTATTCCGCACCAAACCTAAGGTGATGACTTCCCCGCTTATCCTCCTCTTGTCCTGATTTTGTATGCCCCCCCCCCCCTCCCCACCACCACCACCAGTTACCCGAAGATCGGCAAAGTAATTTTCCTCTCCTCTACTGTGCGTACCCCATGGATGATCTCAAGCAGGCAGAAGTGAATTTTTTTTTACTGTTCCCTGATTTGTAGTTTAATAGTCGCACCCAGTAGAGATCGTTATAGTCCCTTAGGTCTGGCGAGTGTACTGAGTGGGCCCCACCATGCACCACCATGCACCACCATGCCCCACCATGCCCCACCATGCACCACCATGCACCACCATGCACCACCATGCACCACCATGCACCACCATGCACCACCATGCACCACCATGCACCACCATGCACCACCATGCACCACCATGCCCCACCATGCCCCACCATGCCCCACCATGCACCACCATGCACCACCATGCACCACCATGCACCACCATGCACCACCATGCACCACCATGCCCCACCATGCACCACCATGCACCACCATGCATCACCATGCACCACCATGCACCACCATGCACCACCATGCACCACCATGCCCCACCATGCCCCACCATGCACCACCATGCACCACCATGCCCCACCATGCCCCACCATGCCCCACCATGCACCACCATGCACCACCATGCCCCACCATGCACCACCATGCCCCACCATGCACCACCATGCACCACCATGCACCACCATGCACCACCATGCACCACCATGCACCACCATGCACCACCATGCCCCACCATGCCCCACCATGCACCACCATGCCCCACCATGCACCACCATGCCCCACCATGCACCACCATGCCCCACCATGCCCCACCATGCCCCACCATGCACCACCATGCCCCACCATGCACCACCATGCACCACCATGCACCACCATGCACCACCATGCACCACCATGCACCACCATGCCCCACCATGCACCACCATGCCCCACCATGCACCACCATGCCCCACCATGCACCACCATGCACCACCATGCACCACCATGCACCACCATGCACCACCATGCCCCACCATGCCCCACCATGCACCACCATGCACCACCATGCCCCACCATGCCCCACCATGCACCACCATGCACCACCATGCACCACCATGCACCACCATGCACCAGCGGTTATAACGTTATACTAATCCTCTTTTTAGTAGTAGTAGTATATTTTATTATTTTACTAGGGGAGTCCCAACAGGCGTTGCCTTTTTACTGGGAACCTAGGTGAATTTTTACCATGTTTACATACAGAGTAAGAGACGGGTCTTAATACGAAGTAACGTTACTACGTGTACATTGTACAATAACATGTGCTTGCTGCAAGAGTTATAAGCATTATACTTTTCGGATACTGACACATACCGGTACCAACAGTTACAAAGCAGCACAAGCGGCCACGGTTCCACCGGACCACGGCATTAATTTAATTAAGCACTCTCAGCGCACTGGGTGCATCCTCCGTTCCTCTTGGTAGGTACTTCAGGAGAAGGGTGGACATAGGCCATGATTCAGGATGATAGACCGACCGTTCTTTGACTTTCAACTGCATGCAAAAAGGCAGGCAGCGGAACAGCTTATGGACACTATGCATGCACTGATGCAGCGTGAGTCGCTAGTGCATCGCTGTGCTGCGACTTTGCCAAAGCATCTCCACTGATGATGTAATCGCACATCCTCTACTTGTATATTAATAGCCGTGCAAACTTGATGAAACTATAATCAAATTCATAAGATAATTGAGGGAGTTGAAACAACATCAGCACATGTACAGGCAACAAGTTATTTTCGTCAAAAAGGACTTGCTAGCTTCAACATGCATGCCGGCTTGCCATCACAATCAGTTTGCAAGGAGAAGTGAAATAGCGCAAACATGCATTGTGTCCATGGAGGAATTGAAGGTTAGCTCGGAGTGAGTGGAAAGTTGACATAGTCTAGCGTTGGCCCAGAATAACAGAAGTGTCTAAGTACTGACATGCACACATGCATGTGCATGTCATGATGAGGATGATGATGGTTGCTTAATTTCACAAATCCAAACGGTAGTTTCGTTTCAGTAACAAGGTAGGGAAGGGATAATGCAACAAGCTCTCCTCCTCTTCTCCTCCATTGAACAGCTGAATGGTACCGTTCACAATTCTATAGTGAAGAGAGAAGGCTAAAATGTGTATATGGGGGGATAGTGTTGGAGTCTACTTCTCCATAATCGGTCTCAGTCTACGCCATCAACACCAGAAAATGAGCTGGTTGCAGTTATTGTGCAAGTTGATGGAGCTGTTGATGGAATAGCTGCGGGTAAGCCGGGGAAGCAGGGTACCTGTACCTGTTACGCACACAACCCGACACAACAGACACTTGACAAATGCTCAATGTGTGCAAGTGTGTGTGTGTGTGTGTGTGTGTGTGTGTGTGTGTGTGTGTGTGCAAGTGTGTGTGTGTGTGTGTGTGTGTGTGCAAGTGTGTGTGTGTGTGTGCAAGTGTGTGTGTGTGTGTGTGTGTGTGTGTGTGTGTGTGTGTGCTCTTCCGAAGTTCAGAAAATGCATATTGGTTACCATGGCTGCAGCTTGTGCTATCCGTTCATAGTGCGGAAAGCTCATGCCCATTGCTTGTCATTGGTCACACTGCTGCTGCTGCTGCTGCTGCTGCTGCTGTCTCAACTCTTGCTGCAGGAGGTCATTGAACTTCTCAACCAGCTTGTTCTTCAGCGCATAGCTGGTGCGCGAATGACAGTGCCAGGCGTAATCGGCGAGCGGAATGGCAACTAGGAATATTTTCAAAATGGCCTGGCCTCCCTGCAGGAACTTGTCGAACTCCAGCAGAAAGCACAGGATGCCGATGAAGAGCACGGCCTGAAACATGGCATAGGCAACACTGGAGAGAGTCTTCTCCCGTATCAGCTTCTTGAGCACGTCCTCCATCTCACGCCAGTGAGAACAGCGTGATGACATGCGACACAGCCTTCCAGAAATGTGTGACGATCGTGTGTGAAGTGAAGACTCTGCCAGGTCACTGCTACTGCTAGTCTCGGATGGACAATCGACAGCACAGTATAAGTAGCTGTCCTCCAGGAGAAGCTCTGAGGCAGCTTGGTAATCGCCAGTGCTTTGGGTGTCGGTGCGGGCGCTATTGCCGTTGGCCGCGTCATCACCACCACCTATCAGTGAAGTGACCAGACTGCTGCTTACTCTGCCTGCATTGCCACCAACACCACTATCTGCCAGCAACCGGGCTTGATGTCTCGCTGGATTGGAGATTCGCACAAGCCGCACTGTACTACCAGTGTTGAGAACTTGGACAGCTTGCCGCCGGTTGCCACTGCTGCCCACAGTCTTACGCAGCTTGGCCAGTGCTGTTTCCAGGCCAGCTGCAATGAAGTTGCACCAACGCCAGGGTAGGTCTTCCAAAACCGACGGGATCTCCAGCGTGTCAATGTTGGATGTGGCCTTCTCATAGGACAACACCAGGAAGGTCTCAGCGGCAATCAGTCGCAGTAGCTCTGAGTCTCGCTCCTGCTCAGTCCCTGGCTGAACAAAAGCATTGGTAGTGCAACCGTCCCCAGAATTCACTGGATCTGCTAGAGGACTGTTCATCAAGCGCTTGGAAATGTCCACGAGCTGATCAAAGCGAATTTGCTGGTAATGGTCTACGATGGATGTGTGAATGGAAATAAAAGGTTCATAGAACTGATGATACTGACGACGAAGACGAAGGCCGACCGTTGAGAAGATACTGACAAAGATAACGACTTCCGCATTGTAGTTGATGATCAAACCAATCAACGTGAAAAACGTATAGAGAAAGATATCCTGAAAGATGAAGTTGAACGTGAACAGCAGGGGGTAGCACAGTGCTAGAGAGAAGAGCGGGGCCAGTATGGAGCCTTCCAGGTCAAACAGGGGCCAGACTGCACCAAACGTAGTCAGCGTTGAGAGGCGCAGAAGCGGTACAGACTGCAGTGCCAACAGCACCAGGTCATACACAGATTTGCTGACGTCACCGGCTAGGCAAACGCCGACGCAGAAAAGGGAGACCAACGCTGTCAGTGGCAGCAGCAAAGCCACCACCAGGCATCGAATGAGATCGGGCACCGACGACGGTGAGTACCGGAACACGGCCCGGTTTGTGTTGACGAAGAGACGTGGGAAGTCCAACAGTATCCTGCGACCAACTCTACTAAGCAGAGCATGTAGAAGGCAAGTCATGCTGGACCAGGGTTGCACTTTCAGACTGCCGTCGGCAATTTTGCAGGCCGTAGCGCAGCGCAGCTCTTTCCGTCGCCGTTCATCCTGCATTGCCGACGATTCCACCAAGTAGAGCCTGCGTCGCTTCTCCATGCAGATCCGTGCGATGAGGAAAACCGGCGGTGCCATTAGTATGAAAGGCACAAAGACGTGCTCATAGCTGAAGGCAGCGCGCCCTTGATAGCCTGGCTCGATCCATTCACAGACGTGATGTGGTGCATCCGATCTCAGCGTATACTTCTTCATCAGCACCAGCTTGTCCACGATTGGCCAGCCAATATAGACAAAGAAGCAGAGAGCCAGCGAAATGCAGTTTTTCACATTCTCTGATGTCAGTAAACCGAGCATTGGCCAAACCTGCGACGACCGGAAGCAACTGGGCATCGAGGCGCCTAAACGGTAGCAATCAAATATCTGACACCCGGCACTGCATCTTTGATGATGATAGGCGGCTGAGGTCCTACCTCCACTGGCTCCAGTGGCAGTGGAGCATTGTCTGCTTGCTAGTGTAGGCATCGGTAGTGACAGCGCCGAGTCTTTGGTGCAGGTTAGCGAGTGGTTTTTGTACATCCGATGGTGAGCGTCGATTATAGCCTGCAGCTTGTTCAGCAGAAATGACATCAAGCATAGCGGCGGCAATGGAGCCAGAAAGAAGACACATCCTAGAACAAATATGTTTAGACAGAGCGTGCCGATTCGGAATCGTGTTCGGTACTGCTGTGTAGCGTTGACATTCCTTCTGTCTATGCACTGGAACAAACTCATATTCCTTGCCCTTGGGAATAGATTACAGCCTGCATACTCGAAACTGTGCTGGCTAATGGCCAGCGGAAAAGCTTTGCTTCTCGATTCAGACCTGCTAGGAGTGTGGTACCAAAGTTTGCTGGCTGATTTTTGGCTTCGCAGTAAAAAACCTCTGCAGCCCAAGTGCTTGATGATCAGATGTGTCAATTCATTGATACGTGCTGTTGAGTTCAGTTGATCGGCGCACGTTTTGTTGTGGACTTTGACCTGTAAGTGCTGTGGTGCAGCTTTGACCTTTCGACCCATTGAAGAGGCCGAATAGAGGTAGATCTGGGACACACACGACGCCATTGTCAGTAACATCGTGCCGAAGCTTTCTGTGGTCAGAGCCCAGACCAGTGGTACTCCAGCGTTAGTGCCCGGCTGCATCTTCACCCCGGATGACCGATGCCAACCAGGGCACATACCGCCGGAGTAGATCGTATCATTGTCTACATGTAGATCCACGACAAGTTTGTAGAGAGCAACTGACGAGTTGATCCTAGATGAGTGGAACGTTTCGTATTCGCCGACGCCAGCCGCAGTGCACGAATGGTCTCCCGACTTGGTTGACTCTAACCAGCTGTACGGTTCGCACGACAACGCTGTCGGAGATTGGAACGCTGCGAGCGCAAGGAGCCCTGCGATCAACTGCCAACATACGGCAAGCGGGCCAAGCCAGCTACCTGTGCCATCCATAGCAGACTACTCCGTCTCAGGCGTAGATCTACGTCTAATCTCAATCTCTTTGTTTCTCTCCAAACCAATGCTGGCCGCAACAGGTACGTAGTAACTGATTCTTGAACTGCTCTAAATGCCCGTAGCGTCTAGTGACTGCAGGTCGTACAGGAGACCCATGCGGGGATGAGATAAAATAATGAACTAGTATTGGCGTGCTGGGACACGAGTTTTATGCCGATCGTATCTTCCGGTGGGCAGCTGGATTCGGACCCCCGATACAGCCATGTATATACATGTACATTGTACATATACCGGTATGTCACGAGTTTCCTCGGTGCCATATCCCTGTTACCCATGATATCTTTTGACTTTGCCACACTTTGCCACACTTGCTTGTACTGTTGTAGCAGGCAAGGTGACGGATAAGGAATGGTTAGTGCTCATTACTTACGGCCGGTCGATAGGAACCAAACGATTTCACGTGAAAACTGTACTTGTGCAGTGCGGTAGAGAGTAAAATCCCCTCTTGCTACCAACGTCACCCGATCACGCCGAGTCACAAGTTATTCTCCAGTAGAGTCTACGTAACACGAGTGGCGTTGTGCTTCTCGGAGAATAATATTCCCGAATCTTTAGCCTCCAGATTGGGGGCTGGATATCGCAGATCGCCGATATGCGGGAGCAAAGAAAGGAAGATCCGGCATTTGTGATGCCGTGGCCACCAGATGCTCTAGCCGTTTTGCATCCACCATGACTGAGTCTGTTACATGAACCGGTAGACGTACATGTTCCACATACATGTGGCCATTGCTTGTCTTGAAAGGGCCTTGGCAAAGACTGTGTCACAGTGTGTGTGTGGATCTACACCCTGCGCAGCAGACCGCGCGCACTACCGGTATGGCATGGCCACGGGCTAGAAGACAGCTTGGCTATCAAGTATCATCACAGCCTTCGAGAAATACATGTAAAAGGGATGATCCTGAGAAAACACTTGGCGACTTCCTTCTCGGGCTTAGGACGTCCTGTTACCTGTCATAACCTGTCCCTCCAGGAAATCGCGATTCCACGGATGCAACAAATTTCGCGATTTTGGCCCAACAGTGACCCGCGATTTTCAGCAAAATCCGCGATTTCCTGCGTTTTTATGTTGTTTTCTGCACCATATCTCACATTTTTATGCACTTTTCACGCAGTGTTTTCCATGATATGATCCTGTAGGTTATTTGCACAGCACGACTCGTACTACTCCCGAGTAGATATACGATGCAACAAATTTCGTGATTTGGCCCAAATCCGCAATTTTCTGCAAATAATTCCGCGAATTCCTGGCAAGTTCTGCATCATTCCGCACTTTTCAGCGCATTTTTTGTTGTTTTCTGCCGCAATTTCTGGCGCAAGTTTTCGAGAGTTTTTTCCGCAAATTCCCGCAGGGACAGCATAACGATGACAACGCATTGCGCTTTGCAACGTTACAACGACTCTGGTACTCAGTGGCAGTGGTACCACGACAGCACTGTATATTATAACTAATATAAGGAGAGCTCTGTGTAGTCCGCAGGCCAGGGTGCAAAATTCGTACTTTTCGCTCCGAGCAGAAGGGTACCAAGGTTTGACTATACGAAATGATAGAGTGGTGCTAGGGCTTTCTTATCATGTATCTCTTGTCCCGGGATTCTTGTCCTAAGTTGACCAAATCAAAGGAATACTATTATTTTGATGTTGCCATGGTAACGGAAGTCGAAATTCAAATTTTACCACCTTTCCTATGCTGTAAGCAGTTCCAGTTTTTTGCATTGCCAAAGAAAGACCAAGAACCACCGGTATCCAAGGTTTGATGATAATCGTGCAACTAGAACCCATGCTGCCGGGTCGCCCGCAGTACGACAATTGTGTGCATACAAAAGGTCAATACCATTGCACTGTAAGTACAGTAGTTGGGTAGAAGGGGGGTGCTCGGCCCCTCGATTAGGGATGCAGAATGGGGTGGAAGGGGAGGCTCTCCCCTCGTGATATACCTGGACATTTTACAGTCTTTATCACTTGGTGGGCCTTGTTTCACAATACAATTCAGAATGCCCTTTGGTATACAATAGCATTACAATCACTGATAAGATTATGTCCAATACATGGATCGTCTTTCGTAATGAGCTGTAGCCAAATCACATTGGGGATCGTATGTACATCAGAAGCAAAGAACAGAGTGCTCATCACAAGTATTATAATGTACATGAAATACACATGTAGGTGGGCTTCTCCATGTGACTGGGCCATCATCTGAAACAAACTTCGGCTGTTATCAAATCAAAATGAAGGCGTAGAAAATATAAAAAAGACAAAAAGAAGAGTATGCCATCACATGGGCATTGGACAATGTACAATGTGGGAGGGCTATCCGGCAATCGCTGCCAACTCAGTAATGGACTTGAGCGGGGAACTGAACATGCACAGTATATGCTGCTATGCACAGTAGATTCTGCTAAGCGGCCAACAAAATATGGACGCCGAGAGATGCACATAAATCTGACGTAACAAAGATGTTGGCTTTGCATTATTACCAACCACATACTCATACTACATTGTTATACACTATACACTATACACTACGTTGTTTCAGAAGCCAGCAAAAACACTCAGCACATACACGTGTAAGCAACAAGTAGAGGTGCCTGACTTTTAACCGCATCGGTCCACTAGTTTTGAGCACATACTGGGTAAACCGACGTGATCCGCACTTGCCATTCATTCAATTACCTGCATTGACAGACCATAGAATCATAGAACTCACTGACTCACAGTACGACCTTACATTGTAGTCACCCATGAATCAGAATAGGGAAGCATGTCACAACGTGAACACAGTTCTGTATACCCAATGTTTAGAGTTGAACAGTTACATGTAACATAAAACGAAAGTGCATTATCCGTGTGTCCATAAATGGGTGACTCACTGCTGCTCGGTGTCAGACGGAAGATCTCCCTCATCGATGGCCTGTACTTCGTCATGTCCAGGAGCAGATTCCACCGGGCAGTTCTTGCATGGAACTGAAGCATGATGGTGACAGCTACAAGCATCTGTACACACGAGCATGTGACGCCTGCAGGAGCAATTGCCTCCTCCACAGCCAGTCTTACAGCCACAGCTGAGAAACTCGAGGACAGAGTGGGGAGCGGGTGGTATACTAAGCCAGTCCACAGCTAGATCACCGTTCTGGTCAAGACACCAACCTGTAATGGGGAGAACAAACAGATGGAGGAATGCAAATTATTTACTCCATATATCAGAAAAGCTTCTTACACTACAACAGTCAATTACTTCATGCATGATTGTGTTGATAACACAGCTGATTCACTCTATTGTATAAGTAGCAACATCAACGAACATGTCTTGTTCAGAGAATATCCATCATTTTCATACTGCAGTCCTCCTCTACAACTGCATTATATGCTACAGTCAGCTCACTCACCTTGGCCATTATCTTGTGGTGCTGGTATCGCAGGCTGGGCCACAATGCACTGGCGCCAAATGGCAGCTTGGTAGTTAGCTCTCGCGGCATGCTTCAGGAAGGCATCTTTGCATGGTGGAAGCTGGTTTGACTGCAAGGTCTTTGTGCAGAACAGCTCATACCTTGCATCATTGACGCTGCTACAACCAGAGACTTTGTAATAGGAGCACACAAATGTCTCAAGGTTGATGAGCACATCAGCTGTCAGTGGTTCGAAGCCTTTCCCCAGGGAGGTGAATGCTTGCCGAGATGTAGACCCAACAGGACCGGTGCTTTGCAGAATCTTCAATGCAGCCTTCTTCCCGCGGTATGCAAAAGCACTTGTGCTATCACACCCAGTGAAGGCGTGGAAGCCTGGCAGTGCTTGGCAGAGTTCTGGGCCAAGCTCGTCGCTGACAGTTGCCATGTCGATGCATCGAACCTTGTTCCCAGTCCCAGTGAGGAAGTACAATCTTCCAGAGATGCAATGGCGGGCGAAGGCAGCCAGAACTGCTACATCAGTGTCCGGGGACTTGACCGTGACGGTGGGATAGCCTGCGGATCCAGCATGAGATGCATGCAACAAGAGACGGGTGTCCGCTTCCTCGTGGCTGCACTCCAAGTCAGGTACAGGGACGACACTTGTAGCACCTGCCTGACGTTTGATCATCACACAAGAGCTACCGCTGGTAACGACAAGTTCCCTCTGCTCAGGCACCTTCTCAACCATGGCAGGACGCTGCCACTGTACGGCGAGGAATGCAATCAATTCCTCTTTGTTGTCACCCACTGCCAGGAACTTGGCAAACTGCCTGGGAAGCCGTTGATCAGCGCCAGTGATATGCTGCCGTAGAGTCCCACTAGCGGCCCGTGATGAACGTTCCAGATTCTTGATCGACATATCCCGGTACGTATCAACAACAAAGTCCACTCGAGCATACCGTGCAAAGAACTTACACAGGCGATCTAGGATGCACTCAGCATATTCGGCAAACGTGGATGGCAAGCTGGAAGTCTTCATTGACCTCAACAGTGCCATGGCGTCGACTATTAGTGCACCATCAGGTGGGTGTGTACTGTCGTCGACAATCGCCTTGTCCGTGAGCAACGGCAGCAGGGCAGACTTGCTGGTCTTCACCAGAGATCCTGACGTTGTTGCTAAAGCCCAGGGCAGGGGGCCAAGTGGGTATGACAGGACATGACGCATATCCATCTGCCTGGTCTGCGCAATGAGGGCAATCCTGGAGAATGTTGACCGATCACTCCGGAGAATTTCGGCTTGACCACTTCCAGGAGTCTTCTTCTTCTGCTTCTTCAGAGTGAAGGTCTTCAGCTGCAGCTTCTTCAGTGGATCGTGGAATTGTTTCTCGGATGCTCCAGACAACAGTCTCTCGCTAAGAAAAGCCGTGAAGGCCTTGTGTCCACGAGATTCGGCATGGAGCAGATCCTGGGCTACATCATTGGGTGCCTCAATGCCAGATGCGAACTGTGTCAAAGGCAGCGGTTCCTCGCCGTCAGATGCGAATGGGTTGAGAAACTTGCTGACAGTCTCGACCACACTCACGACATCGTTTTCATCACGAGCCATTCTTCCTGTCTGGCACTCTTTGTGCAGGGTATCTCGCTCCTCGGTACCACTGTCCATACCACAGTGCTCCGAACAGACATCTGCCACAGCGGCTCGGTCATGTGCAGTCAACACCCATCTCTGCACGGTTGCTGGATGGCGGCTGAACCCAATAATGCCTCCCACGGTCTTTGTGGCCCGGTTTATCGACTGTTCAATGGCCTGGTCAGATGGGACCTGAGCAAATGGGTTGTCGGAGCGCTGGACGGAGAAACCTCCTTCTTGCAGGAACCGATCCGCTTCGGGATGTGTTGTTGGCAACTGGGTCATTTGCAGCCAATAATAGGACATGTAGCGGGCATAGTTTTGCCTGTCGTACGCAAAGCACCAAGGGAGCATTTTCAAAACGCACTGCAGATGGAGCTTCCAATCTGCCATTCGACTTGCACGCAAGAACCGGAGCAGAAGGCTCACCATGGCAATGTAGGAAGACCAGAAGTTGAACATTTCTGATGAAGCGGCCCGCTTCCGGCAGTACTCCGTATACTGCTTGTGCAACTCCACAGCCTCCGGTGATGCCGTGATGCACGCCGAGTTGTCATCGGTGACACAAGACTGTAGCTCCTTGAATGAAGACGTTAGTGAAGATCGGAGGGCTGCTAGGTTGATGATCGTGGGATCCGCATCTTGCACGAACTGCTGCCACCGCATCCGATGCAAAGCCTCTGCAACAACCTTGTGCAAACGCACAGCTCGGTTGTATTGAGTCCCGTCTAACGCAGACGAGGCAGAAGATGGTCCAGCTATCCCGGACTCAACGAACAGATCAAGGAGACCTGCATCACGGAAACGCTTCCCGATGATGGAGAGGAACGTGCAGGCTGCGTGAAACGCTCCCAATCTCAGCACCACGGGTGAGAACTCGTCAGGCCGGTGGTTAATAATGTCCAATGCCTTTGCGTAAATGGCTTGGTCCACTACAATGATGCTAAATGGGAGGCCAGCATTGGCACATCGACCAAGGCACTTTCTGAGGATGGCGTAGACTGTTGACATGTCAGTTGGTGACGAGTTGACCACAGGGCAGTAACCTATGGCAGACCGTGGTGGGATGCATTGGCGTTGAAGCAGGGCATTAAATGCCGACCACGCTGGAACTGTCTGGTCTTGATCAGTGCGGGACAAAATGACGTTGCCGATGTCACCGTCCTTTGAAGCCCGTGCAAGCTGCCAGATGAAGTCATCCATGGCCACCGCGTCAGAACAGTGAGGCAGTGAGGTGTCCAGCGTCTCCACGTCAACTGCCTCACGGCGCTCTGGGTTGACTTTTGTCGGGCACACTAATTCGGGAAGAACCTCAGGTTCGAGGGCCAGCGTACGCTTGCGTTTTCGTGCTGGCTCAGCAGGAGAAACATCACTGTCAGGGCGGCTTACAGATGAAGCACGGGGCTGGACAACAACGGTGTTGGTGCAGTGTGTGGTCCCTTTCCCGTCCAGAGTCTCCTCGTTTAAGTCGTTATTATCTGCTACATGGTAGAATGGCCGGTGGGGGTCAATGCCACCCGGTAACGCATCCACTATGTACCCGTCTCGCACTCGCCGCTCTGCCATAGCAGTCTCCCTTTCCAAAACCTGGGAGTAGGCAATGGTGTGCCCAAACCGGTTAAGCATTTTCAGCAGCTTCTCGCTCCGGTAGAGGTGATGTAGGGTCAGTCCCAGAACAACATGTTTGGGGCACGGCAGTCCTGATGTAATATACAGCAAATCCTGGCCAATGGAGGAGACGTGACGTTGCAGCTGCTCATCCAAATCAACTTTGTCCTGACCGATGTCATCATGATGCTGGTCAGTCACTACCCAAGCCAGAAAGTTGTGGAGTAGGCTGGGTAAGCATGCGTTTGCTTCAGCAACTCTTGGGATTTCCCCGCTTGACTCTTGGGCCTTTGTCTCCTGGCACGCAGTCCGTAAAAGACGTGCGGCGTGATATACAATACGCAGGCGATCTTGTGCTACAACACCTTCACCTCCTGAAGTGTTAGCTGCATTGTCCTCCTCCACCCAAATATCATCATCAACCCCATCCGAATCCCTCGCCTCTTCCACCTCGGCATACAAACTGGCTATTATCTCACTGGCATGGGCATTAGCGAAAACTAGCTCAGCCCTGTTCCGGGACGGACGGCGCACAAAAGTGACAGATTCACCAAACCGTTCTGTGATAGCAGCTTTGGTTCTGTCATTCCTAGCAGTTCCATGTACTGTCGCGTTGTAGTCTGCCGTAAGACGTGAAATGCTAACAGCAGTGCGTTCCACAAACAGCAACTGGTGTACTAGGTGGTAAAAGTCTTCGATGTTTCCCTCTTGTCTTGGTGTTGACAGGTCATGCTCAGCGCTACCTGCAGACGAGCTAGTGACTAGGGTCGATGTAGCTGGGGTCGATGTAGCTGGTGTGCTGTCACGGATTCGTGCAAGGGATGACTCTCTTGTAAAATCGTTGTAACACTGTTTGTGATAGTATGCCTCTCTTGCAATGAGGCTACTGACTGCTGAAATGGCAATCGAAATGCCCTCGTCCTTCCGTATGGCAGCAGCTTTTCTCAGCCTTTCCTCAGCTTCGAGTGTCAAAATCTGCGAAGTACTCTGCTTTTTGTTGGTACCTGGTATTCTTTTCTGGATGGATCCACAAAATATGCAATTCTTCCTTCCTGGCTCGATACGAGGAACTTCAACGGACTGGCGAGTACTGCGCTTGTTTAGGGACTCTGAAGAAGCAGGCGAGGACGCCATGAGCTGGACGACAAAGGCCTAACACAACGCGCAATCATTGCTTGACATAAGGAAAGGAAGAACAGGAAATGGCTGTACGTGCAATAAGAAATTTGACAATGTGTTCGCCGTCACCTGATCACTCAGTTCAAAATTTCCAAATTCTGCGTGGCGTGCATCACTTGATCCGTTTTGAGCAGTTTCCGTGCATGCTCAGAATCCCCGTACACGACAGCTGTGCATATTTGACAGCTGTCGAACCCCACGCGAAAGGACAAGTCCCCTGACACCAAACCTACATCATTGTGCTCGTAAAGGAACACTCTATCACGTAGAGTCAACAAACCTTGGTACCCCATCAGCGGGAACGAAATTTTTTTTGGAGCATTTTTTTCCGCTTTGGCCTGCGGACTAGTGCCAGAACTTTGCAGCTTAGAGAGCGTGTGTGGGCAGGCATGTGTTTACCGCCATATTGCCAGGTGTGTCTTTACCACCATATTTATCAACCAAGGGGTAACACAGCTCAACTGATGAGGGGTGAATTCCCCGAAACACTGTGTATTGAGCAGGGAGTGGTGCTTTCTTTCAGGTTTGCCCAGCGGAAGGTGCGACGTGCTCCTCGTACGCTCCGGATGACAGTCGTGAGTCAATCAAGTGTCAAGTTCGGCAAGAAGCGTGTGCTCCTCGTTGGAGCAACCTACTTCGAGGGGTAACATTCACCAGGTTATTTCCTGTAATATGCCTAAATACCGGTATGCTTAACCTTCAGCCAGCACCGCCGTAAGGTTATGTCGACCGTCTCGTCTCAGTACTACCATTGTACAGTAGTCTTTTTATGGCAGGGCATAAATTTTAGACAAAAATCCGAAGATTATGCCAGAAAATATGCCAGCATAATCCGCCAAGGGCTACTCAGTATCATCCTCGACATGCATGAACATCCGCCAACGTCCTTCACAGCTGCGACTTTCAGCTCGTGCTTGTCTTGGTTGCGCTTTAATACCTTCCCCTCGTTATGTTATTTCTATAACTCTTGCTTAGAACCTTCCAGATGTGCTAGAGCTGATGGCCAGTTAGGTGTAGAACGTCAGTACCGTTGGTCAGTGTGGTGCAATGTTATCGCATGAGCTGATTGTTTAGTAACTGGTGGTGTTAGTGGATATTATAGGCGGAACTTGTAGCTCTTTCGTCCTATTTTCTTCTTATCGTATTATTACTGTAAACTTGTTCAAGTGATGTTTTTTTGGTTTATTGTGGAAAGGTTGTTGCCATTTCTGTCCGCCATGTGTTCTGTCACCCTTTTTCTTTATTCTCACGTTGTTGTTGCTGATACACACATGCAACACTTACTGTAGTTCTCATGCCCCTGTTTTCGTGCTGTCATTGTGGCCTCCTTACCTTACCTTGTCGGCTTGCTGCATTATTAATATTATTTCATTTCACGGTTCTGATTTGTTCTTCAGTACAACGTTGATTCCTGATGAGTATTGTACAAAATCATACTGACTAAATTCGAATTACTTTTTCCATCGTTCGTTCTTCCTACAAGTACATCTCTTTATTTTCCATTGTTTGTGGCTTTGTCGTGTTGCTTGAGTTTAGACTGCTGTTCCTTTGCGTTCTTCATCTTTCTTCCCTATTTCTCGTCTTTTCGTTCACTCAAAATTTAGTTTTTATAAATAATCGGCGAGGAGACAACAATTTTAGTATCACAACATGGAGGACTAGCTGAAGTAACATCAAGCTACATGTACTTTAAAACAATGACATAGTCATTGATACAAGCCACACGGATAGAGAATCCAATGCAAAAGGATCAGTTTGGACTTTACTTTAGTATGCCGGAGTCGTACTCCCTCACACGAACTGGTGAAGAGGACCTTTGATTTGCATGTACAGTGTTCTGTAGTACAATGTCCATGCACAGTCATAAAGGCGGCTTTAGCAGACGGGCGGCCCACTTTGAACGGTTTAGCTGTTTCATGCATCGCCTACAGCAAACTGCGACACAGACATGAACAGTCACTGAGTTATCGTGCCGTTTGTCTAATGTACATGACATTGTAGTAATGACAGTCGGACCTCGACCAACATGGAGTGACTGCGAGAAATTGGATGAAATAAGTCTAGATCTGCATTACATTGTAATAATGTTCAGTTGCCTGAGGATTGCCTTTTGTAAGTTATGAAAGAAACGCAGTGTTACACAATGACCTAGCCAGTTGTCTCTGTTCTCTTCTTGAAGCTCTGCATTTCTCTTCGTACCACAGCCAACACGGCAATGGCTACTAGCGACCTGCAGAAAAATGAGTAAGGGGCCGACCGTGGACGTAATCATTACAGTCATGCCTTGTCGAGTTCTTCACTGAATCTTCAGTCGCACACATCAGATAAAGACTGATCAGTCACCATTTAGAAAGGAAAAGGAAATATAGATACGAGTTGACTATATTTCCTTTTTCTTTCTACATTAATTTTATTATTGGCTCAACATCCGAGTTTCAGTCACCATTTGCATCATTTTATCATGGCATGAGCTTGTGAGCCGCATGACTGGCTGACATGATACTGTATAGTAGTGTCCCACAGAAAGGAACAGGAGTTACACTACATAACAGGCCAGGGGGTGCAGGACGCCTGCCATTAGTTCTTGTCAGCGGTGTTATGTTTCATCATTCTCTTTCATGATTCTTGTAGTGTGTAAAATGGGACTCGAGGCAGTAACACCCAAACACACTAGCTATTTCTAGAACTCTGACTGCAGAGCTAGAGTGTAGTTTCCAGAATCAGTAGTCAGTACGTGAAATGACTGTACCCTATGCCTATGGCCCACTCATACTCCACAGGCGCTAGGCGCCGGGACATGTACCGGAACCTAACCTTTGTAGCCTCCCGACCAGCGTCGGATATCTCCACAGACCAGTGCAACGGCATGACTTGTTCACAAAGAATCCCAAGACGTCGTCAGGCCTGCAGGATCATCGCCTCTCGCAGTCTTGGTGACCGACTCCCGAGCGACTTGTGACCGTCACTGACCGAGCTAGCAAGCGGTAGACGAAAAAATCCCGGAGAGAAAACCATTTTGAAACCGTTGTTTTGCCATTTTCTTGTTGCATTCGACCAGGAAGGGCTAGCAGACCAGTCATGACTGTCGCCTAGTTTGCACTTGAGTGGTACGTACCGGCAACTACTGTAGGGAGCTCACGACACATGCTGAGAGCGGCCAGGCCAGAGCCATACCGGCCAAGCAAGGACTCAGGCCAAAGACGTCGATGTACTGCAACGACCCCTCGTCCCTGAGACGTGTTGATCCTGCAGTCTGGGCTGCCGGCTGCAGACGAACACACTGCCGAACTACTTGCCACCAGTGACAGTGTTGTCCGTGCCGCGGTACAAGCTACCCAGGTGGACAGCTAGTGCAGGGACGTGACATTCTTCATCTGTGTGTCAACCCGTGGAGGACACCGACCACCGGTACCGTTGGTCGCAATCGGTGTCCGGTCAGTGGTTCCACGCCCGCTCCCTTCCTCAACACTTCAGTTCTGTTCCTGCGCGTGGGAGGTCTATGGTTGGGCGGATGCTCAGTTTAGCGTCAGAACTGCGAAGTACATGTAGTTAATACTAGTAGCTCCCGCATCTGGACGAACAAGAACTCACCAGGCAGTGGAGCGGCGGCAGGAAGGCGGCATACGTCGTCGAGTTGTGCTTGCTATGTCGAGAACCACTGGCGGAGTCTGGCTGATTTCGGCATTCTGGCTGCTATGGCTCTTGTGCATTGTCGATTTACCAGGTACTGTACAACGGTGGTGTAGCCTACTGTAGGTCTGCTGAATAGCCCAGATGCCGGGCAAAGAGTACATTAGCCCCCACCCCCACGGACAAGACTTCAAGAGTGTGCAACTCCACTATCATGCCTATGGCCAGTATGGGTGCTGTCACTGCTGTGCTGTCCCAACAGAATTTCAAGTTGACTTCATTTTTATGATGCAATGCGCCGTGTACACGTAATATCAGACGTATCCTTCTGTGCATAGTGGACGGCGTCCCATTTGATCCTGTACAGACGAGTTCAAGGAAACTCAACGAAACTCGTGTGATGCGTTGACAAATTTAATGTCAACAAATGTCGTAAATGTACAAATATACAAATGTCGTAAATCACTGCTGCACGGAGCATTGCATCATAATAATTATGACGTCAACTGGAAATTCTGTCGGGACAGAAGGGTATGCAGTAGTTGCATACTCTCCGGGTTTTTTTAAATACTCATCACCAACACCGGCATAGGGCTCCCTGAGAGCCCCTACTAGTACATTGTCTGTCTTTCTCCTTTGTTGTCTCGATCATTATTTTCTTTTGTCTTCTTCTTCTCCTCTCTTTGTTATGGTCTATCAGTAGGAGGTGCATTCTGTAAAAAAATAAAAAAAATAAAAAAAGTCTACAGACTGTGTAGAACTACGGTGTACATGTTCATTTGAAAGCATTTACTTCAACCGGTAAATTAATAATTATTATGATACATGTACAACATTTGCATTCTACATTTTTGTCGAATGTCTTCTTTGCGGGCCGGGTGGTATAGCCTGCAATCTACACACTAACTATGCATGACAACAGCCTGAACGGCAGTGGAGTGATGGAGCGGATACACTGCGCAATTGCCAGTGTTGAGTGCTGGATGGTCTGCGTGTATGGACTGATGACATGCGCAGAGCATACAATCATGACATTGTGCTGCATGTGAAATCATCCCGACAGCCGTTGTTTGCTCCCCAACCTATTTTGATTACAATGTACTTCATGCAGAGAGCAGGCTCTCACCGGGGCACCAATACTGCTCATGACTTTGGGGCTTCAAGTGTCTGTTTAGATTCCACTTGCCACAAACGTATTGTATGCGGCTCAGTACTACATGCCAACAGCCACACTCTTTTACATTGGCCAGTGTTGCCAGTGTAGGACCGTGACGTGTTGTAACAAATCCAAATCCAAATGTGCTCAATCTCTGAAGTCTGAACAGATGTTTTGACCTTGCTACTACGTTCGCATCGACGGGCCGCCGCTATAGCCACTAGTGTCCAATGCATACCTCGCAAATGACTCTTGAAATGAGTCAGGGAAGAGGGGATACGTCTCTCAACCAAACAGGCGTAGAGCATAACGGGTGGGCGCGAATGGATAACTTTGTGCTTTTGCTACTGTGTCCGTGCATAGGTGTTGCGGTAGGTACAGGTTGTGTCCCACTGCCTGTCATTGTTGCCAACGCAACAGTGACGATCTTGCACTCTGCTACCGCGTCCGACGTAACCATGGCAACTGGAACAACAACAGCAGCTATGACTTCAGCGCCACCGGTCACCATGGTCACAAGCAACGTTGATATCAGTGTCGGTGTTACGCTACAATATCGCTGCGAAACCGGGCACGTGATCGCAATCAACAACGTGTCATTCGGCGTGCCTCAGTTATCGGTGCAGTGCATGGCTGGCGGCGTGTGGACCGGAGGAGTGACAGTAGCGCCGACGTGTGAATGTACGTTCAAGAGCTAGTCAGTCGTGTGTGCCTTTCCTAGCAATCTCCTTGCGTGCTGATCTTCTAGAGTTGATCTAGAGCTATGGATGACGTACACATATCATACTGCTCAGCCCAGTGCTGTGTTTGGGCATGCGGCAAGATCATAATAACTACTTGAAGTATTATCATGCTGTCTTACCTGTCTATGTACGTATCCGGCTACAGATCTGCCTTGTGCGTACTCGGCAGCGCCTGCCAACGCGGCCACTTCTGGTGTTCGTTTCACGCGTACTGCGGACGGCAGCGTGGTGGCTGGAGTTGACTACATCTGCAACACTGGTTATCATGTCACTGGCTCACTGGTGAGCACCACAGTGCACAGTCTTACATGCCAGTATGGCAGCGGTCAGTGGAACGGGACACTGCCCACTTGCACAAGTAAGCCACTTCAGTCATTGTGACACTCAATTTGATCCTGCTCCTGATAATAATTATTGTATTTTTTTGGTATTCGTATTTACGGATTCTCCACGGGCCTTAGCCTAAATCGAGGGAGTCTCCATAATAGAACCACGTGTAATCAGTTCCAGGGCCTCTAATGTGCAGCAGTGTATATATAAGCTACATTCCCCTCTTGGAGACAAAACTGCATATTCCAGTTCGTAATAGAGTCTTTGAAATGCATTTACTTTTGGAGATTAACAGAGAGAAAATGTGTGGCTTGTTGGTCTAGGGGTATGATTCTCGCTTCGGATGCGAGAGGTCCCGGGTTCAAATCCCGGACAAGCCCAATTTTTCTTTTCTGTACACACAAAAGTACAAACCCGAATGACGAAAGTTGTGTCACACTGGTTTTTACATCCACATATTCACTGGCATGGCAACATAGGTTTCTGCATGTATCCACTTGGATCCAGTTTTTTAAAATGTGGATCCACGCTGTTTAGTTAGAGTGACACTGATGGCATCCACTGGAGTTAATGGGCCATAGAATTGTGGGGAGGGGGGGGGGGGTATAGCTGGTGAAAGAACTCAGAATCACACCAGCAAAGCGACCCGAGGGTCCAGTGCGGACACAACTACTGCAGCACACTACACATGTTACCGATAAGTGTGTATGGATCCAAAGCAATAATCTACGCACTGACATTGCATTACTGTACAGGTACTAGGTGGAATCCTGATAATTCAAACCTCAAAATGCCAGGAAAAAAGGCTTCTATTTCAATGATCCGGACATTCTAATTATCCACACATGAACCGACCACACAATATGTACCGTAAAGTCTTGTATAAAAGCCGCACTTGAATAGAAGCCGCCCTCGAATAGAAGCCGCAATTTTGGGCCCATCAAATCACACATAAGCCTGGTTTTAGTGTTGACATACATAGAAATACCTGTCACTTGTATAGAAAGCCTGTCTCATATAGAAGCCTGCAAAATTTCACCAAGAAAGTCATAGAAGCCGCGGCTTTTATACAAGACTTTACGATAATTATGTCAAAATGCTCTCATGGTCACGCAGAGGTGCGCTATGGACCTTAGACACAGATTTCACGGATATTGAACTGACCGGCACAGCCTGCTCATGCAAACTGAACTGACCAGTACAATGTACAGTGAACTTCGAATTACACTTTGCTAACTTCGAATTATCAGCACAAATCACACACAAGTGGAATCTGTGGGACTTCTAATTAACCGAACATATCCATTTCGAGGTTCGGATTAGCAGAAATTTTATGTGGGACTCGTATTGCTAGAAATCGGTCCTGGAAAAACTTCTAATAAGGCGGTATGTTCGAATTACGCCATATTCAAATTATCAGGATTCCACATGTGTACGAGTACACAGTTACCGTATTTCCACAAATAGTAGGCCGGTCTACTATTTTTTCAACCTTGTCCTAACCCTCTTGTTTGGAATTATTTACCAGACGACCTGAAGTCCTGCACTACTATCGCAGATTTCCGCGTCAAATTGGCTATTTGGCTAAAAGACAGCTTAACTCTTAATCATTGTTGTGATTTGCTTTCAAGCAATGTGCATAATCAGTAACTTGATGTTGCTGTTTTTGTTTTTTTTGTTTTTTTGGTTTCCCGTTCTCGGGGCCTTCTATTCGGTACTCTTTGTAGTTGTACTTCTGTACTGTTGAGCTATCCGAATTCAAATAAACATTAAAAAAAAAAAAAAAAAAAACCGCGCTTGTAATCGAGGACGGTCTTGTATTCAAGGACGGTCTTTTATTCTTTCAACCCAGTTTCACACCGGTCTTCTATTTTTCGCCACACAGTTTTACCCCTATTCTTCCATTTTCTTCTACACAGTTTGAGCACGGTCTTCTACTTTTACCCACAGTTTGAGCACGGTCTTCTATTTTGAACACAAGTTTGAGACTCATTTAGTAGGCCCGGTCTTCTAATCGGAGACGGTCTTTTATTTTTCCAATCGCCCCCTGCCCCGGCCTTGTATATGAGGAAGGCGTTGTATACGAGGACGGCCTTTTATTTGCGGAAATACGGTATGTGTGATGCCATCACTTCTAAGCCCTCAGTTGATGCATTGTGCTCGTGTGTATAGTATCTTGCATACTTCTCTATGTTGGCTGCTCAATCCCTCATTTCAAGAAAACCAAGTTCTCTACCCTGATTTTGCTAGCCCAGGTGTTCAGACGAGGCCGGTTTTGTACCACATGCTTTACTGTACTTTACGGTCCATTCCTCTAAATCTAGCACCTAACTTATTGGTGCCTCGCATGTAGAGTCACTAGTGGTAGATCATATAATTATTCTGTAGATAGTAATAACAGCTGTAACAGTTACATCGTGTGACCCGTAAAATAAACCCGGGCATTGTGCATTGCCAAATATGGAATGTATGAGTAATACTTGTGAGTACGCTGGGATCAGGAATGCACTGTCCAACACCCCAGACGACCATGCCCAGGTGGCTGTGAAGGGTGTTTAGGGTACAAATTACGTCATTGCACAATGGGTCCATTCTACATTGCCACACTTTTGCGGCCAGAAAAAGTCAAAGGACAGGAAGTTACAAATCCGGCTAGGTTTTACGAAATTAGAACAGGCATACCATCATTCATGGCGAAATGTACGGAGAACCAGATCCCGAACCCAGGATATTTGAATTTAAAAAGTGAATTTGGAGCCTGAATCCGGCTATAATCATGCTTTCTAGAGCCCGCCAGCTAATCTACCTGAACAGACTGTTGTTCAACAAACTTGTGCAATTATAAGTGTTCAAGCTCTGAATATAAAAAATCATGCAAACAAGTTACAGTACATATCTATATTGGGCTGTTCTGTTTCTTATTAACTACATGTATATTAGAAGTCCAGTGCGGCCCGCCCTTTCCGGCAGTGCAGCGTAGTTTCCTTGTCAAGCAGCGCGGTAATGACTTGACGTTCAACTCCAGCGTTTCATTGTACTGCTCCGTGGCGGCCTATCACATAGCCGGCTATGACACCACGGTGAAGGAGAAAAGCGCCGTGTGCCAGGCCAATGGAGAGTGGAGCGAGGAGTCATTTCCTCCAGCCGGCTGTGTCTGTGAGTGCATTGAACAACCAGTATTTCAGGGAGATGAGGGGGGGGGGGGGGGGCTGCTGCGTGGACTTAACTCTTCCGGGAATGTTTCTCTATTGTCCAGAGCTGGCGCATTGCAAGGAGTTCCGTTTCACCAGGCAGGGTGTCCCCACTATTGAGGTGGCCGCCTTGCGAATCGCTGGTGGCTGTGGAAAATTGTTTTCCTTTTGGCTGTCGTTTTGCATTCCCGTGTCCCAGTGGTGGAGTGTCCGAATCTCCGACAAGCCGTGCCCAATGCTGAGCTGGATCATAATGACTACACCGTGTACATGCGCATTGTTGTCACCTGCTTGCCCGGCTACACATTGAATGGAGTTCCTGATGGAGACAACACGACAACCGCCCGCTGCGGTGAAACGGGAGCATGGCTGCCAGGCGTCCCGGTCTGTTCCTCGCCGCCGCCGCTGCCGCCTCCTGATCCCACAATCACTACTACTCAACAACAAAGTAAGTAGGGTTGAGAATAGGCATCATTACATACATAAGCAATCGACTTGACGCCAGGCATGCACATGGGCACATGTATGGATCTACAGGTGCTGAGGTAATACACTTGGCATGAAAACTGCATGAAAGCAGTGCGTGCATGCTCTGATCAGTGGTACAATCGATCCAAAACTCACTTCCCCTCATACTGAAAACCTGAGCCAGCCCAAGTTTTAAAAGCGGTCGGCCCGTTACCCGAACAACCCCGTCACTTTGCCGCCATGGCTTTATACTGTCCCAGGCTCTGTACGATGCTGGCAACACCAACTCCATGATGTGGATTACGCAGAGGTTTTCTAGCCAGGAGTTTTGTATTTGAAGTAGTACCGTTAGTGGCAGTACTAGGAATAGTTAAAGAAATCTCCCCCCCCCCCCCCCCATTGTGCTTTCATGTTTTAGAATTTGCTTCAACGTGTTCGTGTCAGGACGTGTTTTTTTAATCAAATACAGGCAAATACCTCAGTAGTAAAAAGGAAATGTTCGTACAAATGTACATCACCACAGACTGTACAGTTGTGTTAGAAACACAACCGACTTCAAGTTTTGCTCGCGCCAGGCCACCACCATGCCTGATTACTAGTATTCTAGCAAGGTGTCAGATGCAGCGCCTAGCGACAAGAGTTTTCATCACGTGGTATGCAGTAGACCAACGGAGAACGAGAGGACTGCTAGTTGCAACCTGAGGCCCATAGAAACTCAGGAGGACTACTTGGCCACACTAAAGGGAGATATGTAAGAGTGAGGAGATCGATTCAAAGCAAGTGATATCACATGGCAAGACTCTGGTTTTCCTTTAAAAAAGATTGTCTGTGTAGCGTTTTTTAAACCTATTCAAAGGTTTGAGGGAAAGTTACTTCAAGTTTTTAACCACCCATTGTACTTCTTACTTTACCCAGCTTCAAGTCCATCCACATCTAGCCAAATGAACCAGATGAACACAAGTACAACCCAGTCAACCACATCTCAATCTGAACCGCTGGGCACAAGTCAGACCCAAACATCTGCTGCCAGACATCATGGCACAATTCTTGTTACTTCCTCTGCAAGCACGTCTCCAACTCAACTGCCGCAATCTGATAGCGGTGGCGCTGGAAGTAAGTCATGCTTTCTTACTAAAAAAATTCCTGTGACAACATTTTACTTGCAACAAGAGGTAATGAAACGTCAAACTCAGATCAATGAGATCATGGACATGCATCCCTACTCACATGCATGTATGCACGCACACACACATACACATACACACACACACACACACACACACACACACACACACACACATACACGCACATACACACACACATACATACACATACACACACACACACACACACACACACGCTAACCAGAATCGTATAATTATATGAATTGATGTTTGTGATTGAGTATGAATTTATGTATGTTATTGAGTATGAATTTATATATGCATGTACGTGTGTGTTTTATGTTGTTTCTTTAAATTCTTTTGTGTGTGGTATGAGAAGACACAGTTCATCCCTGAACTAGCTAAAAATGGATCTGCGAAATTTAAAATGGATACATGTATGATGGTTGTGTGTGATGGTATTTACTTCTTGGTTCTAAGCTGGTGTGGTCCTGGCCATCATCATCCCCTGTGCATTGGTCGGCATCATCTTGATCGTTTTGATGGCATATTACATACGGCGCCGAGAGTTGAAGAAGAGGTGAGGAACCTAGTGTACAAGGTGACCCTTGGTTTGACTATAGGACAGGAGGTGTTGAATTTTTAATTTTCTTTTTTAACTTTGTCTCCCTAGGAAAAGTCATGTACGCAATTGTGAATGAGTTTCCTGTTGTGAAAATAATCTTTGAACAAACTTTGAATCAAGCCTGCAATATCATAGGAAGAAGAAAGTTTCCTAACCATTTTGTCAACCACTTATCCCGAAGTCTAGTTCTGGATTTCTAGAACACATAACAACCGTTTACCTGGGTGGTCTCGCAGTACATGTGCCATCACAGTCACAGTCATGTTACCAATACCAGTCACAACGTGTTGACTGTAAGTGATTAGAGAGTTTGCGCTTCACGTTTTTTTTTTTTTAATTTCGAACGTGAGATCTCACGGCCAAGATGGCGCTCCTCACGTTGCAACGTGAGATTTTCAATGTGACGGAGGGCCAACTCACGGTGAACTCCCCCCCCCCCCCCCATTCAACGCACGTTTTTCTCACGTTCGAAATTGAAAAGATGTGAAGCGTAAACTTCCTATTGTTGGTTTGCCGGCGCGACGTGTTCTCCGCAGGCCGTGTGAGCCATGGGAGACACCGCTGACGATGGGAAGTCAGCGGCGCAACACTCCCCTAGACAGCAGCTCTTCCTACGTCACGCCCGTCAGTGCCAACGGCAGGTCAGGCCCGCGAGCATCCGCACAATCAGAGAGCAGCCAGTCGCAGTACTTTGATGACCCTATCTACTACAAGCACAACACAACACGCAGTTTCGGTAAGTCAGCGGTATGCCCTCTGTTCTTGTGTAGAGATGCCACGCTCACTTGCCGTGATTTGAAGTCCCCCTCCCCTCTATTTTTTCAATGCCCATATTGGGCATGTGTCTATTCAGTACGCTACTCACTGTGACACATTGGCAGCTACCGTTGAAGTCTGAATGTGACTTTTATTCGAGAGGGGACTTGTTTTAACTGTCTTCAACGGGGGGGGGGGGGGTATTCTTTGAAAGAAGTGTCTAGTCAAGTGAGTGCGGTATACGGTATGTAATGGTTATGTGTAGGATATCTGATTTATGACTTGATTGTCGTTGAAACTTGTGCTAGAATCAGCACCGGCACTAGAATGTCCTGTCGTGTGCCATTTTGCTTTTTGAAACCTAGAAGCGTTATCGCGTTATGCAGTGCAATGATTCCTGTGAGCATTACTAGTCGATTATGATCTTTGAGCCATGTAAATGACAAAAGCTATTTGGCTGGGCAAGCATGCGCTAGCGCACCTACATGTACTGAAGTATAATAATTAATACCGTAATTAACGTTACGTTACTGTCCAGCCCTGTATAGACACTTATGGTGGCTGCCAATGTTGATGTGTACTTGTTTGCCGCAGCCGGAACACTGGTTGAAGAGCCCTATGGCCGTATACAGGCAAATGTATTCTACTCCAGCCCTGTCAGCCCGGCGCGATCCCCGCCAAGTGCTTTGACCTTGCAGGATTCGGCGGTGGATTCACCATCGGAGCAAGCAGCAACAACAGGAGGGGTGCACAATGGCGCTCTGTCGCTTTACAAACGTCCAGTTCCCAACTCACCGCCGCTCTACTATGAAGTCAACGAAAGTGGCGATGCAGATTCGCCGCAGGCAAGCTCACCCTATAGCAACATAGGACAGTACCTGCGGCCACAGGATCAACTGGAGCCTGGCGGCGGTAGAAAGCAGCGGGCTAACAGCGCCGGCCACACGTACAATACCGTCCGCCAGCCACCTCCACCCAGGTTGCTGAACAACACACTGGTCGATGAGAATGGACATCCACTGTTGCATGTCGATGTGGAAGTGACAATGAATCCCACACCGGTGTACTACTGCTTAGAAAACACGTCCCCTCTGCAGAACCACCACCTTAACAACACCCTGACCGACAGTAGCCATCAGCTCAGTGAAGACGACCTGTCCATGTCCCGGCATGACTCGCCTCATCCGTACAGCAGCATTGGAGGGGCAGACAGCAGTGACAATGGCGATCCATCAAGGTATGCAGCTGAGTATGCATGGTGTGTGTGTGTGTGTGTGCGCGCGCGCGTGTGTGTGTGTGTGTGCGTACGCGCGTGCGTGTGTGTGTGCATACGCACGTGCGTGCGTGTGTGTGTGCGTGCGTGCGTGCGTGTGTGTCTGTGTGTGTTCAGATATGTATGCATGTGTGTGTGGGGGGGGGGGGGGGCACGTGATTGTTCTGTACGTGTGTCTGTGTGTGCCTATAGCATCCATGCACTTCAAGTACATGTGTGAGTAAAAAAAAAGGAAAGTTTGCACGTCCCCGTTACCACCGCCTAGACAATTGCGTTGAGAAACACAACCAGCTTAAGAAGGTGTGAGTGGACAGGTTGAAAAGGCTCCTTTGGACCTTCCAAACTTATTATCTGTACAAATTGGTGTGAGAAGCTGAGAATCTTCTTTGGGCTGGATTTTAGGCACTTTTGCCTGGTCTTACCATGTCCTGCATCCGTGATATTGGTATACGGAGACCATAAGACCTTTATCCTGCTCGTTCACACGTGATATTAAAGCTAGTGCCACTTCATTAGCTTCACAGGCTCACAAGCAGAATGTTTGCTGTGTCATGATGAGGAGGAAGGTTAGTATTCACTCTCGAGTCTCAGAGCAAGACAAAACTCCCGGTACATACTCGTATAGCACCGGCAACCTATATACAAACAGCTATGCCCCAAGGCAAGAGCTACAGGTCTATGAGCGGGCCCGGGGTGCAAGCGTCATGCAGAGGCCGCATTGTTTGATTGACGGCAGCGTTAGTATAGGGCGCTTCGCCACACACCAGATTTGTGTACAGTCATGTACTGTTTGCTGTGTGCTGGTGTTCTAGCTTGGAAGCAACAGCTGCGCATCACACCTACTCCATCCCGAACAAAACCATGAAGGCGGTCAGAGCTACCACTTCCGAGACCAGTGGTGCTGGTCCTGCTGTGGGTCCTGCTGTTACTGATGGTACTGTTGTTACCAACTCTGCAGCAACTACAGTTGATGTGAAGAAGAAATCTAGTGGTAGCACCATTGGGGAGTGGAGTGCCGACCATCGAGCAAGGTCCAACCGAAGGACAATCGAAGAACTGGATAAGGTATCATCGGATGCTGCTTCCATGCTACATCGTCAGCGCTCTCGAAGTTTATCAGCGGCGGAGAGAAAGCAGAAGAAGCAGAAAAACCTGAAAAAACTTCGCGACGATGCTGCGGCTCATGACTCCGATCCAACATTAAGGCGGTAGGTCTTTGGTAGTGGAGGTGTTCTTACAACCACTGAAGCTCGAAGTAAGGCACAACTTTTGCTGGGACATTGTACCCGTGACACTGCTAAATTTGTGTTATGATTCACTGCAGTAATGTTAGTACAAACAATAGGAGGACAGAGAAAGTGTTTTTACTCCGAGTTTCACGCACTAAGCGATCACCAGAAACCAGTAACTGTACTGTTTTCTGGTTATCGCTTAGTGCGTGAAACTCGGAGTAAAAACACTTTCTCTGTCCTCCTATTGTTTGAACCAGCTCTACCACTCGGTATTGAGTACTCTCTTGGACAGCCTGGAACCTCTCTGTTTTTATGTTAGTACATGTAGTTAAGACTCACTGCAACAATGGAGTTCAAGCGAGGAGTCGGCATAGTGCACTCGCGTCATTCTTCTCTGTGTCACCGACTCTGCTCTCCTGAGATCAGATAATTATATCGGCTTTGTCTGCAATAGCTCGGCTTATTCTTTAAAAGTCGCAGGGCTCACTCTTGACCGGCTTGTGGCGCAAATTCCTCAGTAGAATGCCGAGGTTCTCAGCTCCAAACCCAACACATGAAGGGCAAGGCATGGCTCCATCCTCACTGTCAAATGGAGGTATAATATCTTCGGGACCGCTCGTGCTGCCTATTTTCGGGAGCAACTTGAGTCAGTTGAAATAGTATTGGAATTATTGCCTTCAAGTACTTTAAAAAGTGTTGACCTAGCTGCCCGCTGTGACATAATTATTACAGCAGGGTGTGTTGAGGCATAATAATTATCACGGCGCAGCCTCAGTGATTCGCCTTATTCAAATCGAAACACCCTTACAATGCTTCGTCAGAGAGATGTGGGACCATGACCATCCGACTCAGCACCCCGAACTCTACGGACTCTGTTTTGTAATCCGAAAAGTTCTGTTCGACATCACACAACCTGCGCTAGCTGCTTACTACATAGTTACTTGTCTCTGGGAAACTGAAATCAACTGAAATGGCGTGCGCAGATAAACGTAAAATAATCGTGCAAGAACCCGAAAATAGCTTCCGACACCCTTGCTCTGTAATGTGTCTTAACTTACACCAGGATGCCAGTTACGCCGCCTCCGCGAAGAGACAGCATGGCAACAGGATTGCGCAGTTTGACAGCAGCTCGCTCGCACCTCGACACGCGGCGCACTGACGGTGAAGACGACCACCAGCCTGCTACACCCTTGCAGAAAGAACACCGAAAGCGCAGCAGGTCGGCGGGCCATGTTGCCAAGAGGAGGCCCGTACGGGATGGAGACCTTGACGAGAGTATGCTAGAGTTGACCACTGACCTATAGCCGCATGTCACATGACCTATATAAAGTGGCATTATGTGTCACATGACCTATAAATATGCTATTATGTGTCACATGACCTATAAGCATGCTATCATGTGCCACCTGGTTCATACACAACACCACGTTTCTCTAATCAATTTGATGCACCCTACCAAGAGTAGATAAACAAGAGTGTGCAACTCCGGATCTCTCCTGCACAATCTGCAGATACCCCCGCCCACGGCGGAATTTTTTGATGACGTCACCTTTTTTCAGAGAAACGCGGACTTTGCCGCAGAGCAGTGTGAGAGCACGTGCTGGGCACCGACCTTGTAGTGTAAAGCCCGGCCAAGTGCACGAGGGAAACCTCTCCAAAAGGCTCGCAGTGCGTGCGTCGTCGAAAAGATTACGTCAACAAAAAATTCCGCCGTGGGCCAACCCATCCGGGAGTTGCACACTCTTGTTTATCTACTCTTGACCCTACGCATGTTCTGAGACGTTGAGATGCCGTGACATCACACTTATTAAAGATGATGATTGTAAAAATAGATTGGATCATGATGCAAACGCCAGAGAGTCGTCAAATACTTTTTTGACGATTCAAGTATTTGACGACTCTCTGGTACACGCGTACAGTAACGAGTACTAGTGTTTAGGGTGAATTTTTGGCTGCTACCGGAGTAGTGCCGGCGCTAATGTATGCTTGCATGTAATGCTTTGCCATGGTAACCATGATCACTATGCTCACTTGCTTGACACTGGCACACCGATTATTAGGAAATGGCCAAACTTTCTGATTTACACAAATAACCTACATGGAGACAACACTTTATGATTTACTGCTGAAATACAAGGTCACAAATCTCTTCAAATCGCTTTGTGACATTGCCTTACGTGTCGCTGCGGCTGTACAGGCAGCGATGTCAGCGCAATCAATCATTTACATGTAGATCTACTAAGCCAGCCACCCCCCCCCCCCCCAGCCAGAGAATAGTAGTGCTGCTAGTGCAACACCAGTATTGTACTACTCCCTGTTACTGGTGCCTATGACAGTAAGAGGCTACGGCTGTGTTTTGCTTGCTGTTTTCTACTGTGCGGTTGTTTGCCGTTCTTCGGCTTTTTGCTGGGGTGGGGGCACGCGTAGGAAGGCGAGTGCTTCCCTTCGTCTTCAACGGTGACTGCCACGGCACACACACACACGCACACACACACACACACACACACACACACACACACACACATACACACATACACACACACACACACACACACACACACACACACACACACCTCAGACATGCCCATCGCGGAAGCGATGATAGCGAACCTGAGCTATGTTAGACATAGCAACTTGTGCTGGGATTACACCATTCAACAGCTTGCAAGGCTGATGAATTGACCGCCACTATTCTCTAGCCTGGTATCCACCACACATGGCTTTGGCTTTTTCTGGCCAGTGAATCCCTATTTTTCATTTTTTCACACACACACACACACACACACACACACACACACACATACACACACATACACACACAGTCAGCGTGATGGCAATACCTCTAGCTCTGGTCACTGGTGCAGCTTGAAGTCGTCTGTCAAGTGTCATGAGCTCTTGTACATCCTTATTATATTTGGGCAGTTGCCTTGGCATTCCTGACCATGATTGTGACGGTTTACTGACTGCAGACTACATACAACCGAGTCACGACGTACACTGATGAGGTTGTGTATGTAGCGAAGTGGTTGATAGTCGTTTTGGGCTGAAGTAAGGATGAGTTTGCAGCTCAGGCGGATGTCGGAGTCCGGGAGCTCACCGGTTGCCTCCGTCATAAACCACGGTGCTGGCTGCTTCAGGTAGGCCAGCTGCTATGGCTGCTGACGTGTCCAGTTTATCAGTCGATTGCGACATGGATATGAACAATACTAATTCTTGGTCGGATGGTGGAAGAGGCTTGTAAGTCGGGCAGTCGTTGAAAAATAAGTGGTAGCGAGAAGGTAGAACGATCATGTGTGATCATGGTGCAATGGAACAAGAAGTTTCCATTCCAATTCTGGATTTATCCGAAGAGGAGGACGTTCTTTTGGAGAAGCTGAGGCACGCGTGCGAAGTGTACGGGTTTTTCTACATCACCAACCACGGACTGGAGAGTGACATCGAGCAGCTATTCCAGTCATGCAAGGAATTCTTTCAGTTGAGCCACGAGGAGAAAATGAAGCTGGCCATTAACGCTAGTGGCCATGGGTATGTCTGGCATGGCGAGGAAACGTTGGATCCACAAAAGCAGCAGGAGGCTGACACCAAAGAGAACTTCCAGTTTGGCGAGGAGGAGAGCGGCAGTGAGCCGTCACGGACGCCATTGCGCGGGCCCAACGTTTGGCCGAGTGAGTCGCTTCTACCGGGCTGGCGGCAGCGTGTGTACAAGTACTATAATCGTACTGCACCTCTTGCGATGAGAATATGTGGACTTATTGCTACTTCGCTGGGTCTCGATCGTGGCTACTTTGAAGATAAGTTTACTGAGCCACTCTCTCTGGTCGCCTTGAATCACTACTCTGAGCGGCGCTCTAGCCCTGATGACGGTGTGTTTGGCTGCGGCGAGCACAGTGACTATGACATCATCACATTACTCGTCACCGACGACGTTCCTGGCCTGGAGGTGCGACTGAAAGACGACACGTTTCTGGCCGTGCAGCCGAAAAAGAACGCGTTTATTTGCAACGTGGGCGACACGATACAGCACCTGACAAACGATCGCTACCGCAGCGCACCGCACCGTGTTGTGAATCGTAGCGGGAGGGAACGCTTCTCGGCTGGCCTTTTCTTCCGACCCGACTTTAACTGTGTCATTGATTGCCTACCCTGCTGCTATGCCGAAGACAACCCGACACGTCACCAGCCAATCATGTTTGGCCAGCATCTTCTCAACAAGTATCGAAGTAGTCACACTGCATTTCAGGGCTGAATTTCCACATGCGGACCCAGTGATTTGAGATCCAGGCACTTGTGTGTAACTTGTGTTTCCCCAAGACATTGAATACCACAAGAACACTCCGACAATGATAATAATAAAGTATACATGTCATACATGCTTTAATAAGTTTGCGGGAGTTGAAACGGAAACATATTACAGCTTTTAAACTTTTACCACTACTTTGCACTGCGGACTTCAATATTTTTCTACTATTGATAGTATTGTGCTACAGTATAGCATTTCAAATCCGTTGAACTTTCTTGCAACTCATTCCCATTTCAAATTTACAAAAAGATTAATAATGATGCAAGCTACAAGAGGGTGAAGGCGGGGAGGGGAGCGGACATTTCTCGGTTTTGCCATTCAGAACGGGAAAGAAGTACTGAATAATTAGTATGGCAATAAGTAGGACGAGCTGAAGCGACATGTGGACTACTTTATTAACAATGTAAGCGATGGAGACGATGCAAGAAACAACCTAAAGGCTAAAGGGTAAGGAAAAATACATGTAAGAAGAAAAAGGGCAATGGAAAAAAAAAGATGATTCGAACAAGTTTTCGTACAACACTCTTCAGGAATCACCGTTGTACTAAAGAAAAAAATGAGAACAAAGGAAATAATATAGCAATCAAGGTAAGGTGACACGATACAATGACAGCACTGGAATATCGAGGTGCGATTTCTCACAAAAGTGTGCAGAATTTGTGTGTCCAGAAAGATAGTGTTATTACCCTAAAATTGTTCAAATAATGTTCTTTTGTGTAGTGTGGCAACGTTGTTGCCACTTGTGCCTAAATGTGTTTTGTCACCTTCTTGTTTATTATTGTTATTATCATTCGTCGACGAGGAGACAATAGTCGTAAAATGGCAATAAATAAGATAAATTGTGCACTCATAACAACAGCAAAAATGAAGAAAGTCAAGTTCCATAACGTTTTCTTGTGACTGTCATCAGTGGAACGCCGTCACATAAAAATGTAATAACTAAAACACACACTTATATACATGTAGCTAATATGGTTTCAGGTAGAAATACAGCAGCTAACAAGTACAAAAAGCGAAGTTTGCACCTTTGCAATGTGTGAATATAGTGTATGTGAGAAAGGTAGTGGCAGATGAATGTGATACTGTGTGAATGAATGTAATGGTGCGTGTGTATTACTTGAAGAGTGTGAGTGATACAACGTTTTCTTTCTGTTTACATAGCACAGGGTCACGAGTACGAATATTCGTTGCGCACGTTTCTTCAAGCAATTGCAGGTGTTGGAAGCTGTGTATATTCGTACTCGTGACCCTGTGCTATGTAAACAGAAAGAAAACGTTGTATCACTCACACTCTTCAAGTAATACACACGCACCATTACATTCATTCACACAGTATCACATTCATCTGCCACTACCTTTCTCACATACACTATATTCACACATTGCAAAGGTGCAAACTTCGCTTTTTGTACTTGTTAGCTGCTGTATTTCTACCTGAAACCATATTAGCTACATGTATATAAGTGTGTGTTTTAGTTATTACATTTCTATGTGACGGCGTTCCACTGATGACAGTCACAAGAAAACGTTATGGAACTTGACTTTCTTCATTTTTGCTGTTGTTATGAGTGCACAATTTATCTTATTTATTGCCATTTTACGATTATCATTCGTTCTCACTTTTTTGTTTTTGTTGCTGATACACACTTGTCACGCTTAGTTCTTACTTGTATACCCTTGTTTTCTGCACACGTTTGTGAGAAATCGCACCTCGATATTCCAGTGCTGTCATTGTATCGTGTCACCCTACCTTGATTGCTAAATTATTTCCTTTGTTCTCATTTTGTTCTTTAGTACAACGGTGATTCCTGAAGAGTGTTGTACGAAAACTTGTTCGAATCATGATTTTTTTTCCATTGCCCTTTTTCTTCTTACATGTATTTTTCCTTACCCTTTAGGTTGTTTCTTGCATCGTCTCCATCGCTTACATTGTTAATAAAGTAGTCCACATGTCGCTTCAGCTCGTCCTACTTATTGCCATATTAAAATTATTGTCTTCTCGTCGAATTTTTGAATAATTAGTACATGATAATTATTAACAAGAGTACAAAGCCCCACACATGCACTTTTTGACAAAACATGCATTACGGGAGAGGAGATGGAGAATTACTATCCATCCGAGAAGTATCATTGTGAGCCTTCTGCAATTCCCACAATTGACATGTTTTTTTTTACGCCGGCTTTACACAACAAATCAGGTGGATCAGCCCCGGCGAAAAGTGGGGCGGTCACCTGCGCACCGGTTGGTCTGCTCCGATGTTCCTGAAAATACTATGTTTGCTTGCTGGTCACTGGATCCAGTTTGGACAGGGTCACTTGGTTGGTGTTCACTGTGTTCTTGTCATAGCAATGGTTGTCATCACTGAACAGCATCAAAATACCCTCAGTTTTGCTCAGCCTGCTGAGCCAATACACGAACAAGCCACTGCAGCCACTTCATGATACGGAAAGCCCTACACACACCATCCTCACAGCAACTACTCTTCACTGCAAAATACTAATTTCTCAATCAAATTTTCGGCCATGAGGCATCTAAAATGTTCTTGTTGCCTATCATGAAATTATATAGTTCCCTTGGGAAAGAAACCTGATACGATCTCCTGGACACCCAAGGTAGTCAATGTAGGCACTTGAATTTGTTAAATCAAGCACCAGGAGCTAGTTACACATTCCGTGGATCAGTTGGCCTGAAAAGGAAAGTCACTTCATGTCGATAAAAAATTAGAAATACATGGCAGTAGGAGAGAGTAGGATTAGCTGCCTTTGACTGGCTTTGTGGCACTCTGTGTGTCACCGTGCAAATATATCATTAGTTTATGGGACGAGCAAGAGGCGAGTGATCTATCAAGACACGACGGGCACCAACTGAGGCGTTCACAATGGGACTCCCAGGGAGTACATGCAACAATCAAGCATTTGCCCGAATTTCAAATTTCAAGCACGAGAGGTTCAGTAGTACAGAGAGAACACTACCCGTCGGCGTATATGGCGTTGACTTTCTTCAGGAGGTATTCACCGGACAAGATTGGTTCATACTTGGCTGGATTCTCACTACTACAACATGTTGGTAAACACTCAATCGTGGCGTCGGTGTTGCAGTCAAACGGAGAACTGTAGCGCTCGCGACCGGTTGTGTTCAACACACGATGCAGTGTACTCTTGAACATGCCGTTTGTCCAGCGTTCTAACATATCCGCAATGTTCACCACAATGGCTCCTTTGATTGGAGCTACATCCACCCATTCACCATCAGGCCACTGAATCTGCAATCCAGGAACATCATCCGTCTTCAGCAATGTCAGCATACCAAGATCCGTGTGCTCACCAGCTCCATACAGACCCTCCTCTGGATTTGACAATGTCTCGTTGTAATGCAGAATGCGTAGCTTTGCTATGTGTTTAGTGAAGAACTGGTGGAAATAGTCTGCTTCCATATCCAGTGCTAATGCCACTATTCTAAGCAGTTTCATTCCCACTGCACAAATGGCTTTGAAATAGTCAATCATGGTTGACTTGAAATGAGGCACCACAGCTTCTTGTGGCCACTTATTCGCTCGGTGCATCTCCCCGGACGCTTCAGCTTGCTCAGCAGTCATCTCTTTACCGATGTGATATCCCTCTTTCGTACTTCCAAGAATTTCTTTCACTGGGTTATTTCTCTCCGAACCAAACCCGATGTAGCCTATGTTCGTACTGATGTCTATGGAACACTTCTCCTTCTCCTCCAGGGGTAGAGCAAAGAACAACTTGGCTTGCTCGAAGAGTTCAGCAAACTGTTCATCCGTAATGCCATGATTGACGATGTAGAAAAAGCCGAACTCAACACAGGCCTGTCTCAATGCAGTGGCAGTCGTCTTGTCATCACAACTGAGGTCAATTATGGGCAATTCCTTCTTCGCAGTGCTAGCAGCTACTGCTGCATCTTCCCTATCCGACTCCATGTCAGCCAAAGTCTGATTCGAAATGATTAGGCGTCATATCCACAATCGCTTCAAGCGATGACAGCAAGGAGCTAGCTACATGTATGTTTTCCGAAACAAAACCCTGGCCTGGGCATTGTAGATCATAAGTCTTTTTGCTGTGGACGTGCAAGAACACAAGTCTTCTTTTTGAAGTACAGGCTGTACTGTAAAATAATTACAACAATAAAAAATTAATAAAATAAATTATTTTTGTATATTAAATCTTGCTGAAAACATGAAAACGTGTGCGGGACGAGATGTATAAAAAAATTAATAATTTGTTGCTGGTGCCTAAACTAAAGACTAAAATAATTGTCTGTGTCCGACTGAAGAACAGAACTACAAAAATTAATAGCATCGGACTCCTCACGAACAATAATGTTGCTCAGTTGCGGTGGCTGTCTCCATTCTGCCCCGGACCCATAAAAATGATACTGTAAATATACAAATTTTCGGCTATATTCGGCACCGACCCAAAACACCTAAATTAAAACGCCGATGAAATTTTTCACAGCATCTGTCGTAATACCATGCCCTCTACCCCACGCCGAAAATACATCGCCGCCGAAATGTCAAAAATCGTGAAGTGCCGAAATTTTGTATATTTACAGTAGACGACGGAGTTTGCCTACTACTTTTAGTACACATTCCAAGTCCCAAGTTCTGGAGTAAAGCAACGACGTAAGTTCATGCATGCTTGCTCGTACTGGTCCATGCTGAATGAAGCATGTGCACAGCGACGTTGATTCATGAGAAGTCAGCCCAGATCATAACAAGACTTCTATGCACACGCCACTCCAAAAAACCGGGAAAACTATTGGCAGGCCCAGACCTCCCGGACCGCAGTGTAATGGCACGGTATTAGAACTGATAGAGGCAGGCACCGTATTAGTTGGATCAGCCCAACTGAAGAGAAGGTAATATCATGGACACTGTGATACTAATACATGTAGCAGCACTAAGCCAGGAGTCGGTAAAGGATATGCTGCCTGTGTGGCACTTTGTGTGTTATCATCTACTCAGTCTCTACATGGAAAATATCTAGATTACGGTACAAAGAAGAGGCAAGTGGAATATTGAGGTACACTGCATGAATCCAAGCAGTGGGCATCAAGGCTGTCACATTGGGAGTAACATTCAAGCGTCTGGTGAGATTCCAAGTTAAATAATCATGAGATGACCGGCATAAACGGCTGCTCTGCGGGTTCAGCGGCGCGGGCAACATACTAGAGTTATCCTTCGGGGTAGATTTCCTTAAGTTTCTTCAGGAGGTATTCACCGGACAGGATAGGTTCATACTTGGCTGGACTCTCACTGCTACAACATGTTGGCAAACACTCAATCGTGGCGTCGGCATTGCAGTCAAAGAAGAACGGAGCACTGTAACGCTCACGCCCGGTCGTGTTCAACACACGATGCAGTGTACTCTTGAACATGCCGTTTGTCCAGCGTTCTAACATATCCGCAATGTTCACTACAATGGCTCCTTCGATTGGCGCTACATCCACCCATTCACCATCAGGCCACTGAATCTGCAATCCAGGAACATCATCCGTCTTCAACAATGTCAGCATACCAAAATCGGTGTGCTCTCCAGCTCCGAACAGACCCTCATCAGGCTTTGACAATGTCTCGTCGTAATGTAGAACTCGCAGTAGCGCTATGTGTTTAGTGAAGAACTGGTGGAAATAATCTGCTTCCATGTCCAGTGCTAATGCCACTATTCTAAGCAGTTTCATTCCCACTGCACAAATGGTATTGTAATAGTCAATCATGGTTGTCTTGAAGTGCGGCACCACAGCTTCTTGTGGCCACTTATTCGCTCGGTGCACCTCCCCGGACGCTTTAGCTCGCTCAGCAGTCATCTCGTTACCCATGTGATACCCCTCCTTCGTACCTCCAGTCGTTTGTTTCACTGGATTGTTTCTCTCCGAGCCATACTCGATGTAGCCTCTGTTCGTACTCCTGTCTATATTGCACCTCTCTTTCTCCTCCAGAGGTAGAGCAAAGAACAACTTGGCTTGCTCGAAGAGTTCAGCAAACTGTTCATCCGTAATGCCATGATTGACGATGTAGAAAAAGCCGAACTCAACACAGGCCTGTCTCAACGCAGTGGCAGTCGTCTTGTCATCACACCTGAGGTCAATTATTGGCAATTTCTTCGCAGTGGTAGCAGCTACTGCTTCATCTTCTGCCCTATTGCACTCCATGTCAGCAATGGGCTGATTCGAAAAGATTAGGCATCATATCATCGCTTCCAGCGATGACAGCAAGGAACTATAATTATAATATGATTGTACATGTGCATGTACGTCTTCCCAAACAAACCCTGGCCTGGGCGTTGCACTGTCTGCTGTGGACAAGCAAGATCAAGAACATACCGGTGTTCTAACGATTTTTTCCTGAAATTTTGCTGAAAACAATTAGTGGATGTGGGCCAAAAAGTATTAGAACCATCGAAGATCATGCGGACTTGCACGTTGCAGGTGCATATGTAGGCGGTCGTATAAAACGGGGTTTTCGGACTCCTAGATCCTCACCAGCAACATTCAGTTGCTTGATTGCGAATATTGCTGTCTCCATTCTGCCCTGGCCTCATGAAAATTATACGCGCTGGGTTTGCTTACTTAGTACTTACACATACACTCATACACTCTACTACTAGTACTACTAGTATACGTTAGTTATCCGCACCCCGAAATCACGGGCACTTCAGTCTACCGGGCACCTTTGCCTTTGGGCGAGTTTCAGTGGAAATATTACTACCCTTTTGTCACTTTTTGTGGAAATAGTGACTTCATATGCCATATCTACGGCCTTTCCGCATCAAAATGTATGTGATTTGGAGTTACGCACATTTTGAAGTTACGGGCAGGGCCCGGACTGCTCGGATAAGCGAGGTATGCCGGTTACAAGGTCTGGAGTGAAGCAACGGCGTATGTTCATGCATGGCTTACTCTACACTGGTCCATACTGCATGCCGGAAGCCATTGTGCACAACGACGTTGATTCATGAGAAGTCAAACCAGATCATAACAAGACTTCCATGCGCACAACTTCAGACATCGGCGAAACAGCCAGGCAACTGCAGGCCCGGACCTGCCGGACCGCGTTGCAATGGCCCGGTATCAGAACAAATAGAGGCAGGCGCCATGTTAGTTGGATCAGCCAGCCTGAAGAGCTCATGATGCCATGGTAATGCCGCTACTACTAATAGGAGCAGGGAGTCAGCAAAGCCGGGACACACTGCCTTTGTGCGGGTACTTTGCATGTTATCATCTACCCCGTCTCTACATGAAAAATACCTAGAGTATGGTACAACAAAGAGGCGAGTGGAATATAGAGGGACATTGCATGAATGATTCAATCCAAGCAGCGGACATAAGCAGCGGGCAACAAGGCTGTTGCATTGGGAGTAACATTCAAGCACCTGGTCAGATTTTAGGTTAAATAATCATGGATGCAGCTAATGGGATTTCGGTCTTTGACCACTTGGTGGTGGGTCTGATCTACTCACCTCCCACCGTTTAGGCGCTGCATCTGCGCCTTTGATCCTAGAGGGTGGTGGCGTTCCCACGGCGGATGCGGAAAACTCGGCTTCCAGCCGAGTCTCACGCGAACCGTGAAATTTATTTTTATTTATAATCATGAGATGCTTTCAAACGGTAATATCCCGAGTCAGCAGTGTCGACAAAGTACTAGAATGATCCTTTGGGGTAGATTTGCTCAAGTTTCTTCAGGAGGTATTCACCGGACAGGATAGGTTCATACTTGGCTGGACTCTCACTGCTACAACATGTTGGTAAACACTCAATCGTGGCGTCGGCATTGCAGTCAAAGAAGAACGGAGCACTGTAACGCTCGCGCCCGGTCGTGTTCAACACACGATGCAGTGTACTCTTGAACATGCCGTTTGTCCAGCGTTCTAACATATCCGCAATGTTCACCACAATGGCTCCTTCAATTGGCGCTACATCTACCCATTCACCATCGGACCACTGAATCTGCAATCCAGGAACATCATCCGTCTTCAGCAATGTCAGCATGCCAAGATCCGTGTGCTCTCCAGTTCCGTACAGACCCTCATCAGGCTTTGACAATGTCTCGTCGTAATGTAGAACTCGCAGTAGCGCTATGTGTTTAGTGAAGAATTGGTGGAAATAATCTGCTTCCATATCCAGTGCTAATGCCACTATTCTAAGCAGTTTCATTCCCACTGCACAAACGGCATTGTAATAGTCAATCATGGTTGTCTTGAAGTGCGGCACCACAGCTTCTTGTGGCCACTTATTCGCTCGGTGCACCTCCCCGGACGCTTTAGCTTGCTCAGCAGTCATCTCTTTACCCATGTGATACCCCTCCTTCGTACCTCCAGTCGTTTGTTTCACTGGATCGCTTGTCTCCGTGCCATACTCGATGTAGCCTCTGTTCATACTCCTGTCAACTAGTATATTGCACCTCTCCTTCTCCTCCAGAGGTAGAGCAAAGAACAACTTTGCTTGCTCGAAGAGTTCAGCAAACTGTTCATTCGTAATGCCATGATTGACGATGTAGAAAAAGCCGAACTCAACACAGGCCTGTCTCAACGCAGTGGCAGTCGTCTCGTCATCACAACTGAGGTCAATTATGGGCAATTCCTTCTTCGCAGTGCTAGCAGCTACTGCTGCATCTTCTGCCCTATCCGACTCCATGTCAGCCACACTCTCAGTCTGATTCGAAATAGTAAGGATTCATACCATCGTTTCAAACATCAAGAGTGCATTTCCTGGTAGATCTACACTATCATGATTATCGATCATGGTACATGGTGTGCTGTAATTATTATAATTGTAAACCCATTGTAAAAATTTATAATTCTGAGCCTAGTTTTAGTGTACAGTAGATCTACGTATCGCCTATAATTATAATGTTGGCTATGCCTATGGCTAGCCTATGCACGCTGTTAGCTGCACTTGGATCGCGGCAAGTTTAGGGTTCACGGCTTGCCACTAAAAGCACCCGTCACGTGCGCCTCCATTTTGGATTATGGACGCGTGCTACAGGCCGCGACAGCGCCTATCGAAGTAAAAAAATATCGACTCGAAGTCTAGCCGGAGAGCGTACTTTTTGAATTTTTCCTTGGCTTCAGTGGCTTCACTTCACTCGGGCTTTGCATTTGACTGACCTGGACTTGATGATGGCGGCGGTGGCGGTCTTGGCGAAAGATCCAGTTCCATCTGAGACACTCTGTCGTCTTTTCTTATCTGCTGAGGTTCTGGCAAAGCGCAGCTGCATCGAACCTGACTAGATGTAGCTGCACGCATCCTTTGTTTGCCCTGCAAATCTCGATCTGTTGCTCTTCTTGCTGTTTGGCCGCTGAAAATATTCTTCCTGTAAAGAGGCCGAAACTGAGCTAGGGCACGTCAAGATATGTAGGGTATACAAAGAAAAAGAAATGTCATGGTCGTTTCAGCAGCTCACGACAGCCAACACGCTCCATCGTCGGGATTGGAAGTATCCAGCACGGCTGTTCCGAGCGCTGCTGCTCTTGTTATTCTTCTTCTTCAGAAATTCTCCACACCTTGTCGGCCAAAGTACGCGCGCGCGTGCACGGAAAATAGATGCGCTGAGCCGTTTCTTGTTCGATTTTGACAAATAATGGCTTGTTGTTTTGCTCTCGACCTTGGCTATCCTTCTACCGTTCAGTATTTTACGGAAACGCAACGGCTCCCCCTGTTTTTTTAGCCGAACTTTGGCCAAAGTTACTGGAAAACCCGGAACTCGTTTGAAAAAATACGAACGGTGGAAGTCTTGGAACGTCTTTCGTGCGTGTGGATTCAAAAATTCAGGCAGTTTGAGCCAACCGTAATGAATCCCGTAGAGTTGAAAGTGAGTGATATTGATGGGAAAATGCGATTTGAGCACTGACCGATTGTGTGGGACAGTATATGCACGCGCCTGTCACGTGCATGATGTAGCTGGCGACGCTAGCATGCCAATCCGTGAACCCTAAAGTTACTTACTTAGTTTTCTGCACGTGAACCATGAAAAATCAATGCATGCTCATGCATGTTCATGCATAACCAGTCAGCTGGCCTGCTCGCCCACGCATTTGACAGCCAGGTAACAATTCCATCAAATTTTTTGAGATATCGCTTCGTTCTAAGTCTCAAAACAGTTCTAAAGTCACCAAACCACGCTGGTAATCGATGGCTATTCAATGTTAACATCTTCAGAAAGACTTCAGCCGTTTACCGAGAGTTTGGGCATCGTTGCCGTTATTTTTCACGGTGTTCTTCTTCCTCCTGTCTGGAGCTGCAATTGCATCCTGGAATTATTTGAAAGGTATTTCGTGCGGATTTTTTCCAGCCGTGCTGCGACCCACAGTTAATTGGGAATTCGTGGCCTGGCACGAGGAAAACATGGATGCAGTGAATGGGATTTTCGGTCTTTGACCACTTGCTGGTGAGCTGATCTACTCACCTCCCACCGCTTTAGGAGCTGCATCTGCGCCTTGATCCTTGAAGGGTGGTGGCGTTCCTACGGATGCGGAAAACCCGGCTTCCAGCCGAGTCTCACGCGAACCGTGAAATTTTTTTTTTTTTTTTTTCGTGCGGGCTGTGGGGGGTTCCAACAGGCATAAACTGACATCGCTATAGGATAACTGGTAACTTTCACCCTTCAAGGAGGTAGAGCAATGAGAATTTTTTTGTGGCGGTCGTCCAATTTTTGTGGCGGTCGTGGCTGTATTTGTGCACTTCCGAGGCTTTCATTCTGCCTGATACTACTCTCTACTGTATGGGAATCGATGTTTAGGCACATGTAGCTGTCTTATTTGGTAGATCTGCTGTTTTCAATCACTTGGGACACTTTGTCTAGCCTATTTGTCTTTCGTTCGTGCCATCTATCAGTTTTGTGGGGTGCCTTGACCTGTATTTGTGAAGTTCTCGAGTAAAGACCCTAATTCTTGACTGGAGTCACGTCTTGAATTGAATTTGCTGGGTGAGCCCTCGTTCACGCAGTTGTACTTATCGTAATAGTCAATATCTGCTTGCTGGACGGACTAGCGGCTAGAATAGGGATGACCAAATGGTCCAAGTGTGTACTAGTACTCGTACACGATTATTGTTTCCATCATCGTGAAATGAGCGTTGTGGAATTGCAGTCGTCTGCCTTTGGCACTGAGGACATGAGGAGAGTTGATTGTTACTTCTGCTCAGCATTGAAGCGATCATCAGCTCTCTTTGTTCTAATTATTGAGAGGACATACCGGCATCGCAATCAAGTAAAGATTAGGCAAACCTCGCCAACCTCCAAAGAGAGTCGAAGATATTTTCTCCAAATGCAAAGACGATCTTTGTCAGTTTGTGACTTGCATTTGCGTGCATACATGAGCAAGTCACGGACCACGGCACGTGCGCGGTTACCATGCCATCTCGAACCGACGCCATCTTTCTAAGTTGCCGCTTCTTGACAGCCGGCCGTGTATGGTGATCAGGGAGTCGTATAGACCGACGACTCCCTGATGCATCGATGGTGATCAACTATTACTTCTCAAATAATTTATTTTCATTTCAATCATTTGCCATACTTAAGTACATGTATCACAGTTCCGCGTATACTAATAACAAGAGTAGATAAACAAGAGTGTGCAACTCCGCATCTCTCCTGCACAATCTGCAGATACCCCGCGCCCACGGCGGAATTTTTTGTTTACGTCACCTTTTTTCAGAGAAACGCGGATTCTGCCGCAGAGCAGTGTGAGAGCACGTGCTGGGCACCGACCTTGTAAGTAAGTTGTAGTGTAAAGCCCAGCCAAGTGCACGAGGGAAAACTCTCCAAAAGGCTCGCAGTGCGTGCGTCGTCGGAAAGATTACGTCAACAAAAAATTCCGCCGTGGGCCAACCCAGCCGCGAGTTGCACACTCTTGTTTATCTACTCTTGCTAATAATCGTCTATGTAAGGCCAAGTAAAAAAAAAAGCTAGATGATCGTCCCCGTCCGCCCCAGTTTTTGTCAGCGCCCCCTTAATATTTTATTTTTTAAATCGTGAGTTTTTGCCGAAATCGTTGGTTTTTTACCGATCGCGGATGCAGGAAACATGTGCACGCTTTGTTTAATACTTTCTTTACTATATGGACCACATACTACTAGTATATCACAACGTCAGTATCGATCTGCTGAAGAAAGAAAAAGAAAAAAAGAAAAAAAAAGAAAAAAGAGAAAAAAAACCTTGATGTTGTTGTGTACACTGTGTGCATGAGAGGGTAAAAAGTAAAAAAATAAAAATAAAATCCTCCCGCCCTCCCCGATTTTTCCAAAAAAAAGGACGATCATCTAGTAATTTTTTTTACTCGGCCTAATCATGGTAATGTATCGCCACGGTGATCAAATTATTTGTGTGGAATCAAGTGGTGTCAGATCAGAGCCGCAGAGCTAGAGGCGAACAGGAAGTTACTTCTTTGTGAAAATTTTGCCCAGTGTTGTTTCGTGAGTTCTACTTGTAGTATCAGGTGTCCAAAATACCTCCATTGTGATGATATGCTGACGATGTGTGTCAGGAGCCTTGGCTGCATGGGCATGATAGGGTGCATTTCTCAAAGTAGGAGTACACAGGATGTAGACCTCTACGCTGCAACCAACTATGCAGTGTGTATGTGCACGGCGCGCTGAGTCTTTTGATACCCCACTCGTATACAGTACACGCAGTATCGGTCATAGTAATAATTATATCGCTTATAGTGATAAAATTGCAATTTCATAGTGATAAAATGCTCAAAATCAAAGACCAACGCTATAAGCGATACTGACTGTATTACCAGTGCGCCAACGCATAGCTGACTGGTTTGTATTCGTAGGCTTGCCTGCGAATCATGAGGTTCGAGTTCAAACCTGCGCTGGTCGGATCTGACTTCATTGAGCAGCACTGCAGTTCGTCAGCAACCAGTGACAGTGCAGTGACACCAGCAACCAATACAGACTAGCCAGCAACCAATACAGACTAGCCAGCAAAGTGGCACACATGAAATCATCAGGCCTGTCCATAAACAGATAAACTCCTAATCTTAGCGGTAGAGGCAATTCCATGCTAGCACCAAGCTAGGTTCCCGTGGGCAATGCCATGCTAGCACCAAGCTAGGTTCCGGTGGGCAATTCAAGGTAGTGATATCGCCATTGACTCTCGTGGCCCCACAACAAATAAACAACTTACTTGGACTAAGTGTCACAGTGCATTCTAGTTTGCAGCCAGACTTGGGATATCAACCAGTATATAATTATAATATCAAGGTGGCCAGAAAGAATCAAGGATAATAATAAAGCTGTTCAAAACCGGCTGCCATTGATTGGACAGCCTATAGCCATGCTTATCCAGTCATGATATTGGGCTTAGCATGTTAAGAAATACTTATGATAGCTTGCTTATCCTCGTGGGAAAAGCAGGTTTGCTTGTAACATCAACTGCTGAGGCTGCATGCTGCTGCTGCTACATGGGCTTTACTTGAGCATCAGAGAAATGTGACTGTCTCCAACTCTCTGTCCCGCGAGGCTGTAAGTATCAATGCCGTTTGAATTTGTGTGGTTGTACCATTCTCCTGCGCCGATTGACCTTCCTCTCTTTTATACCTGTCCTTAAAAGGCTTTTCCTCAAATCTCAGCTATAAGATTTGTTAAAATTTAATATAACGGTAGATACAGTCGACTCCACTGAAAGCAAACTCGGAGAAAACAAATAAATTGTGTGCATCCGTCACTCAAAATACTCACACCAACGGGCCACAGCTACAAATCGGTGGGATAGATACAGATTTGCCATGACCAGTAAGCTAGACAGCAGTGAAACTATACCTTTGAATGGCCGACATACAGCACAGGCTCCCTGGTGGGTTGGAATGTACGCAACGTGACACATGATTCTGATAGTAGGATTATGGTGGCTTATATGTCTTGCTAAGCTTCATGGTGAGATAGTCTCCTGCGCTCACAGGATCATACTTTGCAGGTTTATCGGTACTGCAGCACGACGGAAGGCACTGGACAACAGCGTCAGAGTTAATCTCGCAGAAGAACGGAATGCTGTATCGTTCCTTGCCGCTCATGTTCAGCACACGGTGCTTGGTGCTGCGAAACAAGTCGTTCGTCCAATGCTCCAACAAGTCACCGATGTTCACAATGTATGCTCCCTTCACATAGTCCACATCCGTCCACTCGCCACTCTCCCACTGTATTTGCAGGCCAGGAACCTCGTCGGTCTTGAGCAAAGTGATCACGCCGTAGTCGCAGTGCTCTCCACATGCAAAAATACCGCTAGCCGGGTCTGAAATGGTCTGGTCATAATGCAGAAACCTTAGGATGGAGTTATGCTTGGTGCACAGCGGGCGGAAGAACTCAACGTCCAGATCCAATGCCAGTGCCACAATCCGGAGCACTCGATAGCATGCCTCTAGCGTTCTCTCGTAGTAGCGGAGCATCACGTCCCGAAATTCGGTCAATTTCTCTGCATCTGGCCACAGGTTCGGCTCATACGGCCTGCCTGCAGCAACTGCATCCTCAGCACTCACCTCCACACCCACATGGTACGCTTCTTTGGTACCACCACGTGTCTGCTTTTCTGGGTCCACTGTCTCGTTACCAAAACCATGATAGCCTTTGAAAGAGATCCTCCTGTCCGCTGCACATTTCTCCTTGTCTTTGGTCGCCTGACCGAAGAACAGCTTGGCTTGTTGAAAAACCTCGTCGAAGAACTCCTCAGCAACGCCGTGGTTTACAATGTAGAAGAAGCCAAACTTGATGCACGCATCTCTAAGAACGGCTGCTGCAGTGTGTTCATCACAGCTCAAGTCGATCACGGGTAGCTTCTTTTCTTCACTAGCTGCATGTACACGTGCCGCATCAACGCATGCCATGCCGGACCGTTCGACTTCTTCCATTTTCTCTCGTCAAGAGCAGCTGAAACGACCACCCTTCCTCTGATTTGTGTCTCCACAACATAAGAACGCTGTGAGTGTGAAATACCGAAATAATGAGCAGAGACTGCAAGAGAGTAAACATAATATTATTATAAATCATTTGTTGAAAATTGATACTGCTCATGATTGAATCGTTTGCATGCACATGATGCAGGCAACCTGCCTACAGTCTACACAAGAGTCAAGAGAGCACTGCATTTCACACATGAGAAATGTGAAATGCAGTGCTCTCTTGAGTGTAGCCTAGGCAGGTTGCCTGCAAACGATTCAAGATGAAGCTGCGTGAAGCGTCCTTCAATTCAACATTTTGAAACTGCTCATGATGTTCGAAGAAATGGAATATTAAAATATTCCAATTTTTAGAATCGTTGCGTGTGCGTATGGTAGTGCCGGATATGGTGATACCAAGACTAGCAAGAGTAAAAATCTACTAGTACTAGTATGGACTCGCGGTGATACTGATAAACGTTAGTGGCTAGCTCTCCAGCCAAAGAACAAACGCGGAATCGGTGTTGTCGCGCTGTGGTCCGCCTCAATTCAGTCAAACTCGAAGAAGACAACGGGGACAGCTGCTCTGTACAGATTCACAACAAGTGCATGCTCATGTAACCAAATACAGTAGTGTTGGTGCCAACGGTGGTACCATAATGGAAGACTGCAGGTCAGAGAACGGAGCTGCTCCTGCTGGCGAAAGGAAATTGCCAATTATTGATCTGAGCTTGGACGAGCATAAGGCTGCTGCAGCTCTGAGAGAAGCATGCATAACGTTTGGTTTCTTCTACATCGTCAACCATGGCGTATCTGATGACCTGATTGCTGATACGTTCAAGCAGTCGGAGAGGTTTTTCTCGCAGCCACTGGAGGAAAAGCAGAAATGTGCCAGCGGCGTCTTGCTAAAGGGTTACTATGGCATGGGAGAGGAAACTGTCGACCCCGTGAAGCAGACTACTGGTGGGACGAAAGAGTCGTTCGAGTTTAGCCAAGAGCGCAGTCCTGACAAAGCCATAGCTACGCCAGAGCGTCCGTTTCATCGACCGAACGTGTGGCCGGAAGAGGCAACCTTGCCTGGCTTCAAACAGACTATGCTGAACTATTTCGAAGGCATGTTCGACGCGGGGATGCGGCTACTGCGGGTGCTGGCATTGGCCTTGGAGTTGGAGCCGACTTTCTTTGTTGAGCACTACACGGATAGCGTGGCGACTGCCCGCTTGCTGCACTACGACGCAACGCTATCGGACACAGATGCTGGCCTCTACGCATGCGGTGAGCACACAGACTATGGCATGATGACGCTGCTGAAGACGGATGATGTTCCTGGCTTACAAATCCAGTGGCCGGATGGCGAGTGGGTGGATGTTTACCCGCTTGAAAGGGCGTTCATCGTCAATATTGCCGACATGCTCGAGCACTGGACAAACGGCCTGTTTCGCAGCACGAATCACCGTGTGCTGAACACGACTGGCCGGGAGCGCTACAGCATCCCCCTCTTCTTCGATTCCAACATGGATGTGAAGGTGGAATGCTTACCCACATGCTGCAGTGCTGAAAATCCGGCCAAATACGATCCCGTCATGTCAGGCACATGGCTTCTGGAGAAATTACAGGCCACATATATTACTGCTGACGGCGGAAGCTAGAGTGAGCACCAGTAAAAATCAATAACAAAACAAGACTGGATAGGAAAGATGATTGAAGTGGTCACAACATTGCCATGCACATTTGGACTATTACAAATATCTACTCCAGTTTTGGAACAACTCTCAGGGTTTTATCAGATTATTTTTTATCAGTACTCCAACTTGTGAATGAAAACAAAAGCACTGAGCAGGTAACTTCCACTGCAATCCGGCCATGCTTTACAGCACTGTTCTGGGACAGCCTAGATCGGATATTTAGGGTGTCAAGTTGTGAGTCACGTCACTCGTGTGCCAGTATTTTGTGCAGTCTTTTGCATAGCCGCTGACGGCAAGTTTGAGTTTTTACACTGTGGCACGAGTCATACAGTAGAGTCGCGCGCCGAAGAACGTGGAGCCAAAGAACGTCCAACCTGAAATGCTAAGAACGCCACAGCCTAAAGTTAACAGCGGCGTTGTTGGTTTTCCGGCAGCTTTTGAGATACATAATGGTTTCTCCGAAGAACGTGCTATAACAGTATAAGAACGCAGCCAGATTGCTGAAAAATAAGAATACCCGGCTAACCCCTTGGAAGCAATGTTCTTGGACGCATGATTCTACTGTATGGAGCTTTGCTGAGACTAGCTGCCAGGTGAACGGTCCCATCTGTTTCAGCAAGAGTGCAATACGTGTGAACCAGGGTGTGGAGCTCCACTTGGTCTGGCCCATGGCGGAGTTTTTGTTGGTGTACTCTTTTCTGCAGATCACGAGCTGTACTGTACGAGGCATGCACTACGACGAGTCCATACATGGCCGCGTGAACTTGGCCAGGTTTCACGTCTGCCGAGTATGCACTGTGATCTGAAAAGCTCTCAGTCTACAGCAGCGGGAGAAAATGTTAAAATTTTCGTTTTGAAAACTGCAAAAAAAACTAACCCGTGATGAAGGTGGGCACCAGGGAGTCATCAAATACCCGACTCCCTGGTTGGCACCCACCCGCTCCAGCACATTTTTCTTTGTGCAACACGTGTTTTGGAAAGAAAGTTGACATCGAAAAAATTCCACCATGGGCCAGACCAACTGCAGAGTTTGCATACTCTGGGTCATGATTGTTACTCTTGGATTCAGGCAGGGAGCAGTATACTAGTAACGATGTTGGTGTTGTGCTACTGCCTGATGCGGGGGTTCTTGCTACCTGATCTCATGTCACATGCACATAATAGTGCTTGACACCCCAGATACCAGAGTGTGCGCTCTCTTCCGATCTGCTCGGCATTACTACTTATCATGATTCATTTACAGTGTAGCGTCTCTTGAATGATTCACGATGGATCAAACAAAACAACAAGAAAACGTCACCGTCGCCTTGGAAAGCTATTCGCGCAATGTGGACGCAGAGGTGCACATACCACCAGCTTAAACGGCCATGTTGGCATCATTGCAACACATCACACCGGAAATCACTCCCTGGCACCGGACTCGTCTTCATCAAACACATGTGATGTAGAACAATGAAAATATACTAGCTTTCCAGCATTCACTATTAAAAAACGTCAAGGATCAAAGAAGAACCATCATTATCGCCGTGCATACCGAGCCCAAGCTAAGCTGGGAGAATATAAAACTAAAACAGCCACTGCCACTAGGACTAGAAGAAGTGAAACGAAGACAAGATTGGGAGAGAGGACACATAGATAAAGAAAGGGGTCATTTAAAAAACAAAACAATGATGACCTGATGCTTGATGTTCAAGTATGGTGAGTTTTCGTGAGTCGTCAAGGTTTAATGTTTTAGCATCGCTTATGTTTTAGGATATGTTTCATGATACTGTACAGAACTATTCACAGAGTAATACGTGTTCAGTGACGTGTCCGCCTTCAGTGCAGACCATCCGGACTAATCAGGACTAGCAGACAGCGCGTGGGCTTGGACTGTTTGGAGATGAGCGGGCGGCGGCAGCGACAACAGGGGGCACAGAACCGGTACTGCGGGGTGGCGGAGTGCCACGGTCTGCAGACCCAAGCCGCAGCGAGCAGCCGATATGTACAGCTATACGGAGTGGTGTTGAGCAGTGCAGCGCATGCAGGCAACAGCACTAAGTACCAAATACCGTGTTACGAAAACGAAGCGGCAGCAAGCAAAGGAGAAGAGCTTTGCAATAATGCAGGCCAGCAGGACAGTGATAAACTGACCAAAGTCCGACCGCCAGGAGAATCTTTCCCACACGGCTTATCTGGTATCTTCACCGTTTAGCAGTTGCTCATCACTCACAACCACAGGCATGCCGCATCCATTTCCATTTCCATTTCCACCGCAGGCTCCTGCTGCCGCCTTGCAGGGCTGTTCATCCCAGTTGATCTTGAACCGCGTCACACGTGGATTAGATGTCAGAATATTCCTTTGGATCTAAGACAAGAAAAATGCAGAAACGTTTCAAAGAAAGAAAGAAGAAAGAATCATTGCACGGATTCTAAAAGCAAGCCCAGCAGTACAATGAAAAGTTCCACAAATGAGAACGAAAAAAAAAGAAGCAACATCACCTGCTGCTTCACGGCTGTTTTTTTCGCGAAATTTGGACATTTAACAAGATGGCAGCCAAAAGTCTCGATTGGGCTGGATCGGCAAGGAAATTTGAATTTTCAAATTCTCAGCAGCCGATTTCGCTGTGGTTTTCGCTCGACTTAGAAAGCTACCAGGCCAAGTTTACCCGGAAAATAGGTATTCCGTGTTCCTCTTGAAACTAGCTTTCCACTGGTACCTCACATGGCCAACTTCCTCGCAAGAACAGTTTGTTCCGCGTTGCACAAGTCAAGCCTTCTTTCTCGCTCGTTCCTTGATTCATCGTTGACATGCCTGCCTCAAGAAGCCCTTTCAGAAGTTTTCCCAGTCTAGCTTTCAGTTTTCCCAGGTAGAGGACTATCTTCTGGCTATCTTCACCAAGTTTCATCACGTACCGTGCACAAACTTCAGGTCCCGTGCGTGCGATGCTGAGCTACCTTTTCATGCGATTTAGGGGACAGATGGCATGGCTCTGGAGTCGCTGTTGAGTCCAGGAGGCCGAGGCCTGGTGGAAACTGCCCAGTAGACATGTGGGGTATTAGCGAGGTTTTGCATTCCGAAATTCGGCAAAAAGATTCGGCACGCGGGAGCGAGGTCGAAAATGCACGCGAAGATTCGGCATGTTTGTTCGGAAAAAGCTCACTTTGCCGAAAATATTTTTCGGATGAATTTTCTGTAGAAGCGCGCTAGCGCGTGATTTATTCAAAGAGATTTCTTATCTCGGCATCGCTTCCCAGGCGTCTTTGGCGACATCAGCGTCGTCAGCTACTTCTGATTGCTCCTCCACTGCTTGTCTACTCTCTTTCGCCTGGAGTGTCCTCACCGTCATCTGTGTGGCTGAAAAGACTATGGCGATACTCCTAAAATTTGACTTGGCCATGGAGTTGGTTTTTCTGAGGCGACTGAGGAGACAGGTCTGGCCCTCGGCTCTTAGGGCGATCAAAGTTCGTTGGAATCAGCAAGAATAGGAGCACGGGACAGGACGTTGCTGATGCTAGGGCTCACGAAATGAAAACACATCATTTTCGACTTGCAAAACAAACGTTGGTGCGAAAATTTGACATTTTGATGTTCGACAAATGACCGAAGAGCGCCGAACCGAAATTCGGAATGCAAAACCTCACTAATGCTGAAAAAGGCAGCAAGCACACAGATAGCCCCGAAATTGTGATGTAGATCCAATTGTGCGTTTGTTCGAGTGCATATCGGCAAATTTGAAAGTTGCACCCGTGATCCCGACGAGGAGAAGCTGAAAATCAGTGTGTGCGTCAATATCCAGACTACCAGGGATAGCTTGGAGAGGTTCGAAAAGGTCAGGATGCTGGTTGACCATGGCAGGAGTTCCTTTTACCTTCCTTCTCTCTCAAATTGTCTGGATATTGAGTATCTCGCTCGAGCGCTTTCAAATAATAAATCCTGGTTTGACTTGCGAAACGTGGAACCACACGGAGAGTGACATGAGTTTCATCCCAAAACGCAAACTCCCATCGTATTCATGAGGTTTGTACCGCGTTACGTAAATCGTACTGAACGACTCCATATTGTTAGATGTCCGTGCGCGAACAGCCGTGGCTTATCCATTTATCTACGATGAGAACGAAAGACAAATTAATTATCTCAGACACCAGCTCCAATAGCCTGTGCATGGTTTACTACACGGATGCAGACAGTGTGCGACTCACCTCCTGCACGTTGACTGCGGCCGGCGGATTCTCACGCATCTCCGGGTCTAAGTATTCGTTATTCAGATAGTAGCCGACTCGCACAAACTCCTTGTGGCGGAATGAGCAGGTCAACAAGACTACCGTCACGCCAAGCAGGTCGGCCGATGGGATCAACTCCGGGTTCGGTGCGTTCGCCTGAGCAGGAGAATACAGATCACCGTCACAATTATCTGTACGCAGCCAAGGCTGAAAAACTGCATTCTACGACTGCATTCTACGACCCGTGATCACGATAAAGGCATACACTGAGCCAAGTGATGCGGCTCAGGGCGCTATGAGTGGCTAAACTCGGTGCGCAGAAAAGGCGCCAGGGGTCGAATGTCGCCAGTCAGTGCTGTGGCATACATGACTGCTGTATATAGTAGTAAAAAACTGACATTCCCTTTGTTGCAGACACTAACAGTTATATGTGCTACAAAAAAAGAGAACAAGAAACGACAATACACAGCCGTGCGCAGCATACCTGAAAGACAAACATGTGCTGGCCAGCTGTAATGGGCCCGACCAGCACGGAATCTAGAACTTGATCTTGATCCTCGCTCTCTGCTGATCCGACATAAATAATTTTCCACTCAAGATCTACAAGAAGGACAGGTGACAAATACAATACAGACATGCAGGGCGGCGCTCAGCAATAGTACACATTGGCTTGGCCAACTGGAAGGATGTTGTGTGCATATGTGTGTGTATGCTATTTGCAAGGACTGGGAGCATACCCACTGCAGCTTGTGACACGGGCCGTCGGCTGCACCAAAGTCAAACTCACCATGGCTAGAGGAATGGTGGGAGTGGGGGAGGGTGTGAGGAAGCTGAAGACCCCGTGTTTACCAGACTTGTCACAAACTGACAGACTGGTTTATAAACTGTTCAGGTTCCGTGCAGTCGCATGCCCGAGAGCTCGGTCTGCGTGTACGCATGCACTGTACTCGGTGATGTAGGCCTGAAACACTCGGAATGATACGCCCAGAATTTCCTAATTTCTCTCGTGGACCCCCCCCCCCCCCCCACACACACACACAACCTCGTACTGTATGGGCCAGGGTGAAGCATGTGCATGCGCAGGTGTGTAAAAGCCCCCGCCCTTGTCTACCTCACACTGTCCCCTTGGAAAATTGTGAACCGTGCCTGCGCTAAATTTCACCATTTTCCATGGGTTTCTGCACATCAAGCATTATCCGAGGAAGGCGTTGCGATTTTCAGTAAATCTGTAAGCTAGGGATGTAGGGGCAGTCCTGGAATGTATCAGGTGAACTGCTTTATCATTTTACATGGCTATTATTAGAATGGCACAAAGTAAGTTCATGGCCACTTTTGGTCTTGAGGACAAACTGGTATTGTGAATGTGTTTCCACTTTACTTGAGGATAAATTAATACAGGTAATGTGAAAAGAAGTCCCGAAAAACAAGAAATTAGGGTCGAAAGTCAACCTGTCACGGGCCGTGCCTTATGACTGGCGCTGATCGGCGTTGAAAATCACAACAGCAACTTTTTGTTGTTTCGTACGAATCGTACCAAATTTTAAAATTCGCCCCAGTCTTCCCGATAGGCTCTTACACGCCGTACCGTTAGCGTTACATCGAATGTGAACTGTGAACTGGGTCATACAAGCCTCTAGAAGTATAGTAGTGTTGCGTTCTAAATGCAGACTGCAAATTCATAACTGCAGCTCTGACACAATATGGGTGCACCGGTGAGGCACATGCGCACTGCATACACAAAAAAACTATAAAATTTAATGTAGCCCCCCCCCCCCCCCCCCCCCCACCCCCACCCCCGACATAATACACCATCACTACAAAAATATCACTACAATGAACTGAAGAACACCCGGACACAATCGTTATTAATATTAGCCCATGCGCCATTGCTATAACATTGCCGCTGCCAATACGGTACGCGATTTCAACAGGATGATTCGTATGCTGTATTTGAAAAAAATCATCAAATCTGAATAGGAATTTCTATATGAAATTTCTCAATTAGAAATGCTTGAGCAACGACACATGAACAGTACCACTCAAAAATACAACGCAAGTAAATCACCACGCTTCACCTACCGTCATCCAGGTTTTCTATGCTCTCGAAAGTTATCTGGAATTGGAACGGGTTGAGAAAGGGTGACGGGTTATCCAAAACCATCACATTGGTGACCTGCACTTTAGCCATGTTCTGGGGTTCAAGTGCTGTTTTCTCGCAGAGCACAGGCAGTCAGTTGAAATTGCTACATATAACTTCTTACTCGAGATCGTGCCTGACCTTCAACCAAAAAGAGCAAGCAGAATGAACACACGTTGTGAATATCGAATGTGATCCTATCACAGAAAGGAAAAGAACTGTTCACTCAGGCATTTGCGTCACGTCATCAGTCATTTGAGTGAGAAAGAAAATCGCGGGAAAGCTGCCCGCGCCCGGCCGGGCCGCGGGCCGGGCGCCTTTGAAAACACTTTCGCGCGGTTTTGTTTAGATGGACGCAATTGACGTTTTGAATAAAAATTAATTATAATAATTATTATAAAAACCCTGAAATAATAACTGTTTATGAAACCCTGCTGTGAGCTGCATGCACTAGTTTGGTATGTACATGTAGTACAAGTGGTAGTTCCATTGCTATTACTATTTTAGATTTTGTGTAGTGAACACTGAATACTACAATGACATGTACAATTTACATGTACATCAGCCATGATCAGGGAGTCCGGTCAAATTTTTTTGATGACTCGGACACCCTTTGCATGCACAGAGTAGTACATGACTTGGACTCCCTGCTGCAATTATCAATACAGTCAACTTCGCTTATAACGACACTCGGCGGGGCATCAAAAAAGTGTCCTTATTCGCGAAGTGTCGTTATACCCGAAGTCTCATTATGTATTACAGTTGGAAGGGACTTTGCTCTGGGCATGGAAATGTTGTCGGTATTCGCGAATTGTCGTTATATCCGAAGTCGTTATTAGCGAAGTTGACTGTATGCCATGGTATCAAAAAACACCAGCGACGTATGTGTGTGTGTGTGTGTGTTCATTCTCCTGGGTGGTTAGTACACTGGTTACCAACAGCCAGTGCATGCCGGAGTATGTGGTATGATGTGTGTGCGGGACAAAAATTGAAAAAAAAGACCAAAAAGTAGGGATTCACTCGTGGCCAGAAAAAGCCACTTCATAGCTGTGTGGTGTAGACCAGGCTGAATAGTGGCGGTCAATTCTTCAGCCTTGCAAGCTGTTGAATGGTGCAATCCCAGCACAAGCTGCTATGGCTTCTGCCGTAGCATCGCTATCATCGCCTCCGGCAATGGGCGTCCAATGGTGTGTGAACGTGTGAGCCGTGTGTGTGTGTGTTTTTACAAAGACCACTTATATGCCAAACATGAGATGCAGCTAGGGGAAGCACGCATACTAGTAACCTGAATCGTGGCAGTGGTGGTGAGGTTCAGGGAGCTCCACTGACCTAGGCTAGGGTTTAGACTTCATGGCCACCTAGACGCACCGCACTGTGCGCACACGCGTACAATCATCCTTGGGTGTGTGCTTGGGCCCTTGATTATTTCAGCTACTCCCCCCCCCCCCCCCCCCACACACACACACAAACACATGGACACTAACAGTATGTACCGCCGCGCCGACAAATCAAACAAACCAAAACAAGTTGAAATAAACGATAATAAGAAGGCCGAATGCAATGAACTTCACCAAGAGTACATAAACCGGTTTATGTACCGGTACTCTTGACTTCACTCATTTTGTTTATTCAGCACTGTAAACAATGCCATGGTGTGGGAATAACGAACACACGCGTTGTGTTATGTGCAGTTAGACTCAGTGCAGTGGAACCGAGCCATGCAGTATAGCTGGTACTTTCCACGTGCACGAGTCTATAGCCCAAAGGCACAGAGAAAACACACGTCGAGTCACTGTAGACGATCTTCTAACAGACAGACTCCTCAATCTGCGGACAGAACTGTTTCGTGGGCTCATCAGCGCAGCACAATCTGACAGAGAGACTATGGAGGAGTAAAGGGCACTAGTCACAACAATTTCAAAAAGAGCAAAAAAAGCTACGAGACTAAAAATAGCAATAAGCCTAAGTGTAGTCCAGCATTGAACGGTGATGATTTTCCAATCTAAACCTAAAATTACAAAATTTGTTTGAGGGGCAGATAATAACAAGAAAGTTCCACCACTGGTGACTATCTAAAATCAACAAAAAAAACAAGACGCCAAGAAGACATAATAAGTTTGGGAGATGACCAATGTGATGGATGCAACGTGATCCGGGGCTTGTAAGGTTCTAGTGCTTATAAAAATCCTATGGCTGTCCATTCGTGACAGATTTGAATTATTTGTTAAGAACATAATAGAGTGACTGCTCTGAACAACATTGGAGCTTGTGCTACCTGCCAACTGACTTGACTGAGTGTTCTTACTAAGTTAGTTTGTATTTTCAAATAAGGTCAGGTCGAGTCCAGTTGTCAACACAAGGCGAACAGAAACATGAGATTGCTCATCTGACCAGACAGATTGAGAACATGCACAGGCGGGAGTGTTTTGGACACAAACATGAGTGCGCATACGCACACACTCGCTCACGCGCGAGCAAACACACACACACACATACACACACACACACACACACACACACACACACACACGTGCGCACACCCACACACATACACACACACACACATGCACACACATGTGCGCACGCACGCACGCACACACGCAACACATACACACATACACACCACCACCACCGGTGAACCACCGCTGCCTACACACATTCAAGCCTTGCTATAGAGCGAGGGTGACGGCACCCCCATTATGACTGCCTCGGTGTCATACTCTTCGTAAGTGCTTTTCTGCACTAATGCACCAAGGCTGTCCATATCTACAATGTTGTCAGCATGTAGCACAGCAACACCATTAGCCACATGCACTATCTCTTCATTCAGGCCCAGTGTGTTTGGCATCTCTGCTTCACACGCTACTTCTAGGGTAACCACCTCCATTGATTTCTTACGCTTTGGCTTCGTTGGAAGTTTGAATGCTACATTCGAGAAGGCTGACTCGGAGCTCTTGATGGACTTGCGACTGCCCCGGCGAACTCCGACGGAGCCGTTCTCCACTCCTTCCAAGTAGCGAGCCTGCTTGGCTGTATTGGACTTTGCTCGGCTGTGAGAAGACGTGTTGGCTACGGGCATCTGCAACTCTGTGGGCTCGTCCGGCGGCTCGCATAGCCGCTTCGCTTTGGGTTCTCCCCTCCCAGAGGCTGATGATGATGCTGCTGCTTGGGATTTTCGTTTCGATCGGGGCCGTTTCTTTTTCTGGACATCGGGACTCTCTGGCACATGGGCAGCATTAAGTAAGGAGATAAGATTGTTGGCAGCGTTCCGTTCCTCCTCACTATGTTCGTCCGGAGATGCGGAATTGGCCGTGTTTCTAACATCAATAGCACGGTGCCTGGCGGCGGGTTTCGAAGGCGGTCGATGGTCACTGATTAGTGTTGGCATATCAGCATCATCACTGTCATTGTCAAATTCGTCAGCTCCATTGGGCTGACAGACTGCAGCACTGCTTCTCATACTGGTACTGCTACCGAGAACTGGACTTGTGTTGCAGCTGCTGCTGCTGCCGCCGCTGCTGCAGTTGTTGCTGCTACTGCTGCTGGTCATGGCTGCTCGTGTCAACTGGCTTGGCCGTGCAATTCCACGTGTTGACGGCAATCCAGCTGTTTTGCTATGGTCATGCGGCATGCTACTGTCACCACTAGCATCTCCACTGTACAGGACACGATTGGACCTGGAAAGAGAGGGCAATAGTTGTACATGAAACATGGCGTCAAACTCTAAAGCGGTGCATATATAATGTATACATACAAATGACATGACATAGGCACACACCAGCATATTGAATTCGCAGGATTGTACTTTCCTAGCGAGGAGCCGCAAAATACTCCTTCAGTCACCAAATCAGATACGTCGAAGTCTTGAACAGTCGCTGCTAATAAGACAGCTGCTAGTGCACCATAGCTCAGTGGTTAGAGCATCGCTGGCTTATACTGAAGCGAGGGTCCCTGGTTCGAGTCCTGGGGTGAGAGCCAATCCTTTTCTTCAGACTGCTTTTTTCCCTTTTCAGTCCTTCAGGCGGATGAATCACTGAATTAGGAGAGTATTTTAGAGCATGAACATGCGAAGAGAATACTGCTGTAACCTGAGGACACAAGCAAAGAACGCAGCAGCAGCGGCTGCTCTCCTCTATGAACACTGTGCCGACTTGATAAGCTATTGAGTATTGTACAGCAAATCACCTCAAGAGAACACGAGTGCAAGCTTCTCCTCTGCATGCACCTTCACGTACTGTAAAACCGGAAAATCTCAGCAGAGATTTATTTCCGGTAACTTCGGTACAACTTCGGTGCTGGTACAGTAATATGTACCTAAAATAAAGCACGACCTAAAATTCAACCATGCCATGCCACACAGTGTGCAAAATGAATTTCTGGATCTGGAAAACCGGCTTACCGAAATTTTTGCGCTACCGAACAGTTGATTTCGCGAAATACCGAAAATATTACACCAGCGAAAATTCCCGTTTTACAGTACATGTACAGCAAGAAGAACCCATGCCCTGCCCTGCCCATGCCCTGCCCATGCCCTGCCCATGCCCTGCCCGGCCCTGCCCGGCTTTCACCGCTCTCCAGTTTCACACACAGGCACTAATGTCACATGCAAAGTCACGTGTCTGCACCGACCTGATGATCCGGCGTGTTGTGTTGGCAGCCATGTACGGCGAGAGCCGCATCTTGACCATCCACGATGGAATCTTGGTGCTGTCGTTGAGGCGAGGTGGGCAGGATTTGGACCGGGGTCGCACTGTTTTACCAATAGCAAACACATCAAAAACAGAAAACGACAGCAAGAAGTCATGAGCCCTTCTCCACAAGGAGAACAACAGATCCAGTCCTTCAGCCACACCAATAAATATGTTACATCCGAAGTCGATAGATTTATCAGTATCGTACGGATAGGGTAGTTTTAAAAAGCTAACTTCGAAACAGTACTGCCCAGACCTGACATGTTTGGGTTTCACCGTTCCCGGCACCACTTTGCTTATTATCCACTCAATCTCCGGTATGTTCAGATAAAGAATTTCTAATTTAGTCACTCAATGAGACGGCAAATATCGACTAGCGGCTGAATCATCTTGTGTAATCACATCTGATTCTTTTGAAAAGAAGCAAAATTATTGATTTGAATCAATGCTCGTATTTCATCAAAGCTACTAGTAAGCGTCTTTTTAAATAAAATAAATAACAGACTGCTTTCACACAACACACGTCCACCCCTACTTACATTGTATCCGCTCTTCATCTTCATCATCAATACCGCACAGAGCTTCAATTACCTCTGATTCATCATCACCTTCATTGGACAATAGAAGAGTCAAGCAGAACACAAAATCAAGAACACTAAGACATGATAGTTTCTGGGAGTGGGCACTATACGTCTCTCTTGCCATGAAAAACCGGCTACTTGCACGGCCACTTTAAAGGGCGGAACGCTCGCTTGCCGCTGCATGGGAATGCTTGTGCATGTGCGTTGGGAGGGGTACACATGCACATGCACACATGTGTGCATGTGTGCATGTGCGTGTGTGGCCGTTGGGCGGTTCAATAGCCAATTGAGTCATCTTTCCAAGATTCCTTTCGAGTCTCGCTCCCCTCTCCCGGGGAGATCCACGTGACCAGTTTTGGCAGTGAGCAAGTACAAGTGTGTGTGTGTGTGTGTGTGTGTGTGTGCGTGCGCGTGTGCATGTATACGTTTGTTCGTGTGTTCATGCACGCGTTGGCGTGTGCACGTGTGCATGTGTTTGTGGGTGCGTAATGCGTATGTCCGTGTGTGTACATACATGTGTTACATATATTCACAAGCGTACACCATAGGTCAACCTACCACAGTAGCCAGATCCTTTCAGTGAGTCTGAAAACACACCAACAAAGCCAAAGACAGCTAAGGTAAGCACACGGTGACAGATTAGTTCAGTGCATTGGATGCCTGTCTTATGGCCGCCTGTTCGCAACATTTGTGCGGAGCGTGCAGTGGAAAGTGGTGTGTTCTTCCTGAGGAGATTGCGTAGTAGCTGGCCTCGGAGGCAATCACTCACAAAACACTGCAAATATACATGAACAATGTTTGGCCTGACAAAACAAATCATTACAAGCACCAGGGACCGATCACTAGAAGCGCACTCAAAAGGTCTGCCCTTCAGTACTGAGTATCTTACCTGCCCAGAAACCTTTCGAATTCCCCACAGTACGGGATAGCCTGTACAACGGCAAGCAACAAAAGTAGAAATAAGCAACCAATTTAACACGCAGTGCCGCCGCACTCTGCTGCATATCCTCGGCTTCCTTCTGACTCAGGTAGAGCACCGTGTAGCTGTACACTGTACACTGCACCACCATCACGCTCACATCAACACTCAGACACTGTACCACCATCACGCTCACATCAACACTCAGACACTGCACCACCATCACACTCACATCAACACTCAGACACTGCACCACCATTACGCTCACATCAACACTCAGACACTGCACCACCATCACGCTCACATCAACACTCAGACACTGCACCACCATCACGCTCACATCAACACTCAGACACTGCACCACCATCACGCTCACATCAACACTCAGACACTGCACCACAATCACGCTCACATCAACACTCAGACACTGCACCACCATCACGCTCACATCAACACTCAGACACTGCACCACAATCACGCTCACATCAACACTCAGACACTGCACCACCATCACGCTCACATCAACACTCAGACACTGCACCACCATCACGCTCACATCAACACTCAGACACTGCACCACAATCACGCTCACATCAACACTCAGACACTGCACCACCATCACGCTCACATCAACACTCAGACACTGCACCACAATCACGCTCACATCAACACTCAGACACTGCACCACCATCACGCTCACATCAACACTCAGACACTGCACCACCATCACGCTCACATCAACACTCAGACACTGCACCACCATCACGCTCACATCAACACTCAGACACTGCACCACCATCACGCTCACATCAACACTCAGACACTGCACCACCATCACGCTCACATCAACACTCAGACACTGCACCACCATCACGCTCACATCAACACTCAGACACTGCACCACCATAACGCTCACATCAACACTCAGACACTGCACCACCATCACGCTCACATCAACACTCAGACACTGCACCACCATCATGCTCACATCAACACTCAGACACTGCACCACCATCACGCTCACATCAACACTCAGACACTGCACCACCATCACGCTCACATCAACACTCAGACACTGCACCACCATTACGCTCACATCAACACTCAGACACTGCACCACCATCACGCTCAAACCAACACTCAGACACTGCACCACCATCACGCTCACATCAACACTCAGACACTGCACCACCATTACGCTCACATCAACACTCAGACACTGCACCACCATCACGCTCACATCAACACACACGCACTCAGACACTGCACCACCATCACACTCACATCAACACTCAGGCACTCAGACACTGTACCACCATTGCACTCAAATCAACACTCAGGCACTCAGACACTGTACCACCATCGCACTCACATCAACACTCAGAAAAGCTAAGAAACAGCTAGGTAGCTACACAGCAAGCTGAGAGAGTTCTTAAAGACGTGCTACGTGCAGACACAGCAATTGTAAGAGTGCATGCCCTGCAGCAGTGCTACCCTACAGATAGGGAAGAGGGGCTTAGGGAAGAGGGGCTTAGGGAAGAGGGCCTTAGGGAAGAGGGGCTTTGAGAAGAGGGGCTTAGGGGAGAGGGGCTTGGGGAAGAGGGGCTTAGGGAAGAGAGGCTTAGGGGAGAGGGGCTTAGGGAAGAGGGGCTTAGGGGAGAGGGGCTCAGGGGAGAGGGGCTCAGGGGAGAGGGGTTTAGAGAAGAAGGGCTTAGGGAAGAGGGGCCTAGGGAAGAGGGGCTGTATCACTAACCCAGCCTGTATGGCACCGGTCCTCTTCACCTGCTGCAACAGGACGTCCCGGCTCTCCGGGTGAACAATCCAGAGGGATCCCTTTGACGACGACTGTAGAGAAGAGAGTAAAGAGAGGAGGGGGAAAGAGGGTGTCACAAGTCAGAATACAAAGGCAGTATAAGCTTACCGCTTTGGTGCAGAACGTTTTCATTTCACCAACAGCAGGGAAAGCAAGTGAGCGACGGGGTCGCGGCTCTGTCAAAGCGGCTTCATTGCTGGCCACCAAGCTGTTGCCGCTCGGTCCGGGCACAGGGTGAACTATGCCGACCGGGTCACAGAGACACAGGCACTCAGATTGAGATTTCGGGATAAGGGTTAACTGATCCCTTCAGGAGTGCGAGTAGCACGGATTGAGAACTAATTGAGAACTACAACAAATTGCTGTCGGTGGTTGATCGAAGCCCAAGACTGATGACTGGCTGCTGGTGTCAAGGGATGGAACACTGCACTAGAGCCAACCGAGACACATGACATGATGTGCTCTATGCTTTGAATCGGGTCACTGTGCCATAGCTTACCAGGCAAAGCCGCGTGACAAGTGCAACTGGAAGCATCACAATTATTTGCTTCACAGCGACTGCCGGCAGAAGCCAGAAACAGACAACGACCGTCACCAGACGCCAGATTCTGTCAACACCGAGCATTCAGCTACGCATTGCGCACCGGCCATCAGTCCACCATCAGAGAGTAGCGATGGTGTTCTGGAGTCATTCATGATAGTGCCTGTGGTCTTCAGTTGTGGAGGCGCACATGTTGAGGGCACAGCACTTGTGGATCCTGCCTACGCTATGTAAAGCAGTCAGTCGCCACAGCACTAAACGCACATGGGCCGAGAAAGTGACTCTTCACCTCTGTGGTCGGTGGCAAAGAGACACCAGCAATGCGTGAGCATGTGACGATCGATATAGAGGCACAGAATGGCACCACCAAGGCTAAGCTGAGTGTGTGGGTGCTACCCGCAGTAACATCATAGTTGCCTCATGTTGACTGGAATGCCCAGAAGAGTAACTGGCCCTATCTGCATGACATCGACTTTCCAGAGGTCACTGGTAATGTCGATGCACTGACTGGCCTCAACACTATTGATCTTCACCCTAACCTGGAGGAGAGGCATGCAGAGGGCCAGGGAGCTCCAATCGCTCGCCTCACCCACTTGGCTGGGTATGTTTCAGCCCAGGAAGCCAGCAGCACCAGCCGGTGACAGCAGCAACACAACCATCATCGGACGAGCGTTTGGTAGAAGTAGCCGGGAATTTCTGGAGTGTCGAGTCAGTGGGCACCAGCAACCCTGAAATGGAGACCCCATCAGCTGATGACCTGAGAGCTGAGGCCATCACCAGCAAATCGATATCCTCCGATGGAAGCCGTGTAACTGTCAGTATTCCATAGACCCACCCAAGTGCCAAGCCCCAGGTGTTGTCGAACAAGTCACAAGCTGAGCAGCGGCTACTCAGCCGGCTGCAGTGTTCCCTGGCATCTCGACCTTCACTAACGTTTCCGCCCAGGGCCTTATTACGGGCTTATACAGTATTGCAGCCAAGGATACTGGCTCAGCCAGCTCCTATGGGCTAAACTGAAATCAGAACCAGGTCCATGTTCGACATTTGGATCAGGCTTCAAGCAGGCATCAAGCCAATGGCGCATCTCAGAAGAATTCAGTGAATCTGATACAGCAGACCATACATCATTCTCCTTTGATCTTGAACTACTATCGGCTGATGCTCACAACCATTTTGCTGGAGGCTCTGACATCTGTAAAAAAAACATGCCTTATTTTTCCTCAAATGGCCAGGAGCAGCAAGCTCCAACAACCATGCATCGTAGTCGCTTCACATCAGGGAGTACTTCAAGTACTAAACTATCGGTATTCACTACTCCCTGCTTCACACGCACCCAGCGCCGCCACGTACAATGCACTCGCACCTAGTGCTCATGACGGACTCGAACTAAGCCCGGCTGCTGTTTTACGCCGCTTGCAAAAAGGTACCAACAATGGCAACATGCACATGTACATGTATGAAGCACCAGCACAAGTCCGGCATGCGCATTGACACATGCATTCAATCACGTTGCGATACTTTTTGTCCTGGGGTCGGGCGTTTTAATTAAAGGGGAAGTTAAGGCTAAAATCAAAATTTCACCAGTTGAAGTCTTCGGGGTGCTGAGTCGAATGGTCGTGGTCCGAGGAAGCTGAGACGCTCCCTTGCTACTTGAACCCCAATCGAACTCGCACACTTCCACCGAAACTGGGCGACTGCGCCCTACTAGATGAGGATTTGTATGCAAAATGTCACTAAAAGCGCCATTTCGTTCTTATAAAAGCACGGATGACCGCTATTGGCCCATATGTTGTAGTCTTTTGGACGCTGAGTCGACTGGTTTTGGTCCGAAAAGGCTGCGATGCAGCGTTCCTCCTTTATTCCCAATCGAACATGGTTGAACAAGCGGTCACGTGCTCCTGCGTATACCAGTCACCTGGTCACCGTGCCTGCAGGGTACAACTTACTAGCCTGTTTGACCTTTTTTGGGTGCAGTCCTGTCACTCGAGTTGAACCTTGGTGTGAAAGTTGTCGCCTGCTGGCGTGGTGACCAGGTGATTTGGGCACCCAGGAGCACGTGACCGCTTGTTCAACCATGTTCGATTGGGAATAAAGGAGGAACGCTGCATCGCAGCCTTTTCGGACCAAAACCAGTCGACTCAGCGTCCAAAAGACTACAAACATAATTATGGGCCAATCGCGGTCATCCGTGCTTTTATAAGAACGAAATGGCGCTTTCAGTGACATTTTGCATACAAATCCCCATCTAGTAGGGCGCAGTCACCCAGTTTCGGTGGAAGTGCGCGAGTTCGTTTGGGATTCAAGTAGGAAGGGAGCGTCTCAGCTTTCTCGGACCAAGACCATTCGACTCAGCACCCCGAAGACTACAACTGGTGACATTTTGATTTTAGCCTTAACTTCCCCTTTAAAAGTTTGCGATACAGTGATACAGCATTACGCGCCTGCAGTGCAAGTACATGCATCAGTAAAAAGTAAGATACAGTCAATCAGTCCATAGCAAACAGGGGCACTAGTTTGTCCAACTCAGCACTACTCACAAGGAACAATGAGGTTGAAGTGTCAGATTGTCACAGTATGACTCAGCCAGTCTACATGACATGTATTACTAGTAGCTAGCCTGCACTGTGCCTTTGGACTCAGGCAGGCCAGTGTACGTACCACTTGAGGTGGCAACCAGGTGAAACCTCCAAGGCTCCATGCACAACCATCCCAACGGAAATTGCATAGCGCGTCTCCTCACAACAAGTGACAGGTTGGTGAGAGCTGGTACACATGTGGCGTGGCCAGGCCAGAAACATACTCGGATCGTACACGTACGTACACGCGCCGCTTTCAAAGCCAAAGGTGCCGAATTTGCGAAGCCAGTCCCACGCACTCTCTATCCACTGAGTGTTCACGTGTACGTGTAAAAGCCGGTACAAAGCACTGCATGCTAGTAACTGCTTTCTAAAATGCACGGCTAGGCGATAGATTTGCCAAGTATTAGTGAAACGCACTAGATCATAGAAGGGTGCCTAATGGCACTACTTAGCAACTATGTTACAGTTTTCTCACCTTGCAATCAGCATCATCACCTTTCTTCTTGAAGCATTTGTTCAGCGACAGGTTGTGACGAACCGAGTTCTTCCATGCCTGTTGGGCGCTGCGGTAGTAGGGGAAATGGGCCACGATCCACGTATAGACGTCTTTCACTGGCAAGCATTTGCTCGCAGATGCTTCAATCGCCATGAAAATAAGCGAGGCGAAAGAGTATGGGGGCTTCCCGCTTGTATCTTGCGTACTGCGTTTGCGAGGAGGCTTGCATTCCAATTTTGCAACGTCCAGCTGCTCGACCAGGGGCTTATCCACCGTGTCATCTTGTTTTTTCGGTTTCTGCTTACTGCTGGATGCTCGAGGTTGTTTTCTTGTGTCTGATGATGTGGCTGTGGGTGCGGGTGCGGGTGGATTGGTGTCGATATCTGGCAAAGCTGGTAGAACCGGCACGGTGATATTCTGCAGCCAGTTGAGACTGGTCAGTTCTGTTGCATCTCGCCCAGGTTCTGGACGCTCAGCGCTAGGACTCAGTGGCAGTGTTGTAGAAGCAGCAGCGTCAACAGCGCCGTCTGCAGCTGGCATTTGCAACATTTCGCTTGCACGTACTGAACAGCCCTGAACGGAATGAAATCACAAGAATCGCACATACATACTTAGTGTTCAGGACAGGTTGTATCGTCAGCAAACATTTGGCCCTGACAACCAACCTTTCTGACAGTTTCAGTTGTGTCCGCCACGCTGATCAAATCGACTACGATATACGTATACGACGCGATCGTCCTTCTCACTGTCACAACAATTTGACAGCCAGTCTGGACTGCTTGCAGCTCAGCAGCACTTGATTTTTTCAACGCATAAGAGTTAGAACTACTTGGAGAGAACGACAAGATAATATTTCAGCGACACATACAACGGAACGTCATGCAGACCAAAAAAGACACGATCGTTGAACATTGGCACATGTGCACACAAGGCAAGACGGTGCTTTTTTGTTGTTTTGAGTTTGTTTGTTTGTGAAGATGATGGCAGTGCTGCCACGCCATCTCGCTGCCCCACACAGCAACCTTGTTGCTATGGCTCAGTATGGGTCGGGCGCGCACGCATCATAGATTAGTGTACCATGGTGTACGCAGGGTACTAAGCCCACGTGGACGACTCCCACGATCTCGTACAGCATGCAGCAGATCAGACTATACTGTAGTCGACTGTACAGGCGACTAGTCCGGCACCATGCATGCATTTGTGCGGGCATAATCATCATAGACTGCAGTATTTCGTCTACGTCAGATCATGGTCACACTCACAGATCAGGGGCCAAATCAGGGAGTGGTAAAAGCCGGCAGTTTCCCGACTCCCACAGTCCCAGGGCCAAACCATGCCCTTCAGCCACATGCAGCATGATAGGTTTACGGAATGCACTGCACAGCAGCAAGAGTGTGGAAGCTGAGCTTGCAGGGAGCTTATCATTCTTGCTCATTGCCATACCGCTGCGGGCTTTTTTAAAAAGCGTCGCCTTTTAAAAACAGCCTGCACGGTCTCGGCGAGAAAGAGCATATGGCACAAAATAAACTGTCTGTGCATGGATCGCTGCGTCAGATGCACACGTGAGCTTTTAGCTGAGACTCAAACTGAGTGCCACCACACGGTACCCACGCCACGGCCTGGACACACACCACTGCATGTTTTAAAATCGGATGATCGTGAAGCCGCAGAGTGACATCCGATGAGCACAATTCTAGTCATGGCTCAGCTGTTTGTCATTATTAGTTTGCGGTCAGTAGTGCACGCATGTCATGCAGGCCAATTGCAATGTTACAACTCGCCTGCTGATGGGTGGCCAAGAAATGTACAATGATGTACCTGTACTGTTCTAGTGTGGTGTACTACTGTTGTAGCTTACTAGTATCAGTAATCACACACTCAGTAAAGGGTTCGCATTCGAGTTATTTGTTGATCTGTTGTGGTGGAGTACATGACCAGTTAGGTACTCTTGATAATACTAACTGCCATGTCCGCTTGCCGTGTCTATGGCTGATATGCACATGAATTCTATCTGGTAGAACATGACAGACCAGGTCAGCGTGACGACAGCAGGAGCAGGCAAGACTCAACAAGTTACTACCGTAAAAAAGGCTAGGATCAAATGGGTGTGCCTAGAGACCCGTCACTGGCAGAGGCATGTGGAAAGTGATATTAAAAATATTCCTTGAAAGCAATTTTAAAACTGTTCAGAGAGGCTAAAGTAAAAATCTGAATTTCCCCATAATAGGAGTATAGTAGGATAAACTCAATAACTCATTTCAAGCAAATGTAACGTTATCAGCAAGCAACAGCGCTAAGCATGCACAGAGTCACAGACCCTGGACCACAGGGCCAGCGCAACGGGCACTATGTACGTACATGCAACAGCAGCAGCAGCAGCAGCAGCAGCAGCAGCAGCAGAATGTGCATGCACGTGACAAGAACACTGTCAACCTGCTACAACTTAGTACAAGGCACTACTACCATGACAAGTAGCATGTCACGTTGAGTGCTACAAAACACAGCGTACTTGACGACATTGTGTGCAGCTGAAAGAGTTGAGGACGATGACAAGCAGTACAACAGGAGCAACACTCACACTGACCTCAGTCTCCTCCTCGCTGCCAATGCTATCTGCACTCAGCCAGAAATTGGTCAACGGCATTCTGAACATGCTGCTCACGATCACTATCACTCGTAGCAGCAGCAGCGTCCAGTGGAGGTTGAGCATGTGACCATGGTACTGGACCATGATGTTGGGGCATTGCTTGTTGGGGCCCTGGCCAATTCTGTGGTGGCGCTGGTTGTGGTGGCCCTGGCCAATTCTGTGGTGGTCCTGGCTGCTGTAGTCCCGGCCAATTCTGTGCATGTGCTGGTTGCTGTGCTCCTGGCCAATTCTGCGGTGGCGCTGGTTGTGGTGGTCCTGGCCAATTCTGTGGTGGCGCTGGTTGTGGTGGTCCTGGCCAATTCTGTGGTGGTGCTGGCTGCTGTGCTCCTGGCCAATTCTGTGGTGGCTGTGTCATGGTGTCTGGCCGTGCAGATTGTGCTGGCTGCCACTGTGCATGTGGCCCAGTGGTTTGCTGTGCGTGCTGGGTGGGACCTGCATAGGGATACGAGTTCAAAGCAGGTGGACAGTTGGAGCTCTGTGGATGGAGATGTGAGTTGGCAGCAGGAGATTGCTGCAGCATTGGTGCTGGCTGGTGAGCTGGCATTGCTGGTATACCGGGAGTAAGCATGGATCCATTCTGCATGTGAGCACTGCTGGCGGGTGGCATTTGTGCGTGTGCGGACGGTCCTTGAGAATTTTGAAACTGTGCGCTGTTACCTGCGCCTGGCTGGGGATAGTAGTGTGGGCTTGCCGTGGGAGGTTGCCAAGTTCCTGATGAAGGATACGGCATTGAAGGTGATGGTTGTTGACTATGCTGCGGTGGAACGCTATGCCTTGTTGTTTGGCAATCTCTCTCTGGCACAGAAGCCGCAGGAGTAGCTCGGGAACCACTGCGGGCACCGGACTGTGCAGTATCACCTTCATTCTGGGCAACCGTGTGACTGGCGGCTGTCTCTGCACTAGGCGGACTTCCATGAGCACAAGCTTGTGATGTCGGTGCTTGTTCAGTTTCTGACGGTCCACACGGTTCCTTGCCACTATCAGCGTTCTTCTTCACAGATGGCACTGGCTGGGCCTTGTTCTCCTCGGCTAGCTGCTTCAAAACATCACTGAAAGTCCGTGCAGACTTCTTGGCCTTGACGGAAAGATCGGCAAGCGATCTGCTGGAATGACTGGCGATGGTGGCGCTCTTCGGACGCGAGCGCGGCGGTGCGTAAGCGGAAGGCGGTGCAAACTCCTCGTCTCGTTCGTCGTCCTCTGCGCCTGCAGGCTTGGTAGCTACAGGGCATGGACAAGGACACAAAGCAGGATACACATACATGTATGTAAGAGTGAGTAGCATACAAAACGCCCAGCCTTACTGAATTTCAAACCTACTCAGTGAGGAGAGTTCTCTATGCGGCGTGTGCCAAACGCTACTGACTAGAAATGAAATCCACACAAGTCGGTGGTGATCAGCACACTCATTTCACTTGAAACTGCAATTCTTATATTCGAAGTACATGTGTCGGCATACAGAAGTCAATTCAACAGCGTTTTTAGCATTTCATGACAACAACACACAAATTCACAGTGTACCTACACGTCACAAACATGCAACACAGGTGTAGTTCATTCATGAATGAAATCCTCAATACAAATACATGTTGTGGCTAGAAGAACAACACTACCCGTAGTAATATTTTTCAACTTGCAGCATCTGGAGCCGAGGGATAATTTTAACACATGGCAAACCATTGTAAACTCTATTGATAAAATACCCAGGCAATTTCACTCACTGGAACGGTCTTTCAATCCTCTCTCCCATTCCAGTGTGGCTGCTTCTCGGCGTTGCTCTTCCAGGCGCCGAGACTCGGCAATCTCGTCGGCGGTCCTAGCAGCAAGCTCTGCGTCATCTATTTCTGCACTCTTGCGCTCTGCAATCTCCTGCTTCAGCTCGGCTTCAGCGTCGAGCTCTCCTTCTTCGGTTAGCTCCACTCCAAGTCGTTTTGCCCGTCTTGCCTTCACTTTCTGTAGCCGAGCTTCCATGGCAAGTCGGCGACGATCTTTCAGCTGGTGATGTCTCTTCCTCTGCTCCAGAGTCTGACAGAGCAGGACAACAATTAACGAAGAGTATGATGTACTTGATGGTGTGTGACTGAAGGCCACTTCCAAAGCATAAAGAAACAGCATCGAACACCAAGTCAATCTGCAACGGCTTGCATCCACTGCTAACTCTACACAGAGACAGTCCCAAACAAGGAAGGTTTCTGCTCAACCTGCACCACTTCAAAGAGGTACATTGTGAACAGAACGGAGAGCCGCATCATCAAGTTGAGGACAATCTTGCACTGCAGTTATGGCAAGTGAAATCTGGACTCGAGCACAATGTCAGCGCTGTGAGTCAAATTTTATTTTTGTGTACTGTACTGTACCTTGTGTGCGAGACAATGTAGCCTTTGGAGCTTTAAGTGCACATCGGTCTGGACTTTTCACTTGCCACAAGTGCAGAGAATACCTTGCAAAGACTATCATATCCCAAATCAACCACAGTACATGTTTTAGTGCTAAGAGGAATTTTTAGCGAACATACAATATTACAATTCAACAAACCTGGTTGCGTAATGTCTGCAGCTGTTCCATCTGCTCTTGGCGCTCTGTTTCATCCGTAGAGAACTGATAGTAACCGACACCCATCTCACGTGCCTCTGCACACATACACAAGATATGAGAACACACACACACATACACACACACGCACGCACACACACACACACACACACGCACACGCACACACGCACGCACACACACACACACGCACAAAGCAATACAGTCTGTAATGATACTTCTTACAATGACTTTGCAACAAAAGAACAGAATATTTGAACAGCTATTCGTCAGGAATTCTTGCGTGAGAGTTTTCCACCACAAGACTAACTGCTATCTAGGAGTTGGTGTAGATACAAGGATCATACACAGTGCAACATTCGATACACTGCACTATTGTAGAGTTGACTTCAAAACACATGCATACACTCCCCTCATTCCCTTGTGTGCAATGCACTGTTCCAAGGAACTGCGTGTACACGCCCCGTACCATTGAAGCGGATGTCCTCGAAGTGTACAGGTCCGGTGCGTTCGGCCAGTTCCCTCTCCTGCTCTTCCCACTTCTGACGCCGTAGCTCCTTGTACATGTCCTCGGACATCAGCGTTGCGTCCTCCCTATCAAGGAGCACACGCATACAACATTTCACAAAAAAAAGAACATATTCCTTAGTTTAGGGTTTAGAAAATCAGTTTTGATATGGTCAGCTATGCCTATATAAACTGGAGTTGGCTTGATAGTGGAGCATTGAAAAAATAAAAGCACAGTCTCCAATAAAAGCACAGTATCTGATAGTAGCGCAGGTTGAGCTGTCACTGAAATAACAAGAACCCCAGGCTCTTATTAGAGAAAATACGGTAGATACATTGATGGAGAGTGATGCTATTTTACCGGTTGTTATCACAAGAAATGAAGACTGAGCAACAACGCAAGAGGCCAATAATATGCTGGACCCATTGAACGCCAACCTTGCCCTGAGATCTTTGGTCTTTGATCACTGTGTGGCAAGTTGGAACTAGAGACAACTTTTCCCGTACGCGACAAATTCCCGTACGCGAAACAGAGTATGAATCAGGCTTTACTTACTGTATCTGCGCCATGATCCCTGAGGGAGGGGGGGGGGGGGGGGGGGTGAGGGCGTTTCCACCAGTGAGGAAAACTCAGTCTAACTGACTCTAACGAGAACAGTAAAATATTTTATTTTATTTATTCATTTACAGAACAGAACAACAAGAACACGCAAGGCTTGTTTGCGGCGACTTGGAGTTTCATGCTCTCGCAATCATCAGGCAACATCCTCCGCCATGGTGTTGAGCACTGTCAGCACACTGGGTACACCCTCCGGTATTTATTCATTTATTTTGCCCCTTGAGCATGGAAAACGTCTTCAAGACCGCTGGAAATAGACTGCGCATAATATGTGGTCCGGAGCTTCACGGATCTAAAGCAAAGTGAGAGCTCACACCCATTCAGTCCTACTTTAATACCCCCCCCCCCCCCACACACACACACACACACGCGCGCGCACACATACAATACAAGATCTTACTTCAGCCATGGAAGGAGAGCAGAGCTGGCTGCTTTCTTGGCATCCGGCTCATCTGCTGCAGCAGTAGTTGCTCCCTCCGGTCTGCCTGAGAGATCAGCATCCATTGCTTTTAAGTCAGGAAGGTCCTTGCGAAGGCAGCGCCTGCTCCTACCCAGTGAGTCAACATAGTCAACCCTAGCGAGAAGAAACGAATCAAGAATGACAGTCACAACACTCACAACACTGGCATGCATCAAGTACCGGTAGACAACCCCCTGCCCCCGACCCTCTCCCCCATGTCCATGTCCATGCAAGTACCGGTAGACAACCCCCTGCCCCCGACCCTCTCCACCATGTCCATGTCTATGCAAGTACCGGTAGACAACCCCCTGCCCCCGGCCCTCTCCCCCATGTCCATGTCCATGTAGATCACCAGAGTGCCAAGGTTTGAATCACAAGCGCAATGAAAATGTGCCGAGTGGAAAAAATCGCCTTTCTACAATGATCCTCCAAGCACTGTAACTAGTTTGAGCATGGCCAACGGGGTGATACAGAACGAGGGCACACTTCCCATACTTAAGGCTCAAAACAGCAGGAGAAGAGCGAAGGAACAATAGTAAATCACTGTACATTCATACCGCAGTTATCTGGACACTGAAAGTTACGGAACGTCGGTCCACCGGGAACCTTTCTTGGGGGGGAGATTTAGTGGATATACTCGTAGTAACAACTGTTGGGTCAGGTTGAATTGGTGATTTTGTAATGTACTAGTATGCCGCCGCATCACTGGCCTTCCCCCAACCAACTGTATATCATTCAGAGTTTGGAAATGTCAAACTTCCGGGCAGTGTCAGGGCCCCGCCCAAACTGCCTGGATAAACGATGTATGAGTGTGTTGGCAGAGGCCAAACGTGGCAAGACATTGCAAAGCATCATCACAACACATAGCTGTGTTAAGCTGTGTGCTGCAGGCAGCAGCCTCTTACCAGTCATTGCCATCACCAGCTACTTTGCCGGCTCCTTTCGATGTCTCGCCAACAGTTGCGGGTGCCTTATGAAGGAAACAGCAATACGAAACGCGACACGTGCACACACACACGTGCACACACACACACACACATACATACATACATACACACACGTGCAGTGAAAAAGTCAAAGGCCGAGTTGAACACCGGGCATTGGACTCGCTAAAGGCTGATTCAAACGCACCACCAACATCGGTAGCAGATTTTCTTTCCTCTTCAACTGGCGGGATATAAACTAAGTTATTCAGCTGGTGCGAAAATGATACTCTACTCCATACCAGTATATTCGACGAGGAAAGCCACACACAGTATTGAATATTCTAATACACAGCACTGTGTGTGTGTGTGTACGTGTGTGTGTGTGTGTGTACGTGTGTGTATGTGTGTGTGTGTATGTGTGTGTGTGTGTGTGTATGTGTGTGTGTGTGTGTGTATGTGTGTGTGTGTGTACGTGTGTGTGTATGTGTGTGTGCGTGCGTGTGTGTGTATGTGTGTGTGTGTGTGTGTGTGTGTGTGTGTGTGTGTGTGTGTGTGTGCAGTTGGATCCCGGGACGGATACCCTGATGCCGTCAATCCTTTTTCTGCACCTTGTCCTCACCCACTTACTGAGGTGTGGTGAGCCCATAAGTGGGATCATTTCAAGTCCACCCTATTTTGGGGATTTCAGGGGGTGTCGGCCGTTGGGTGGTTCAATGGCCAATTGAGTCATCTTTCCAAGATTCCTTTTGAGTCTCTCTCCCCTCTCCCGGGGAGACCCACGTGACCAGTTTTGGCAGTGAGCAAGTACAAGTACACTGTACAAGTACAAGTGTGTGTGTGTGTGTGTGTGTGTACGTGTGTGTGCGTGTGTATGTGTGTGTGTACGTGTGTGTGTGTGTGTGTGTACGTGTGTGTGTGTACGTGTGTGTGTGTACGTGTGTGTACGTGTGTGTGAACGTGTGTGTGTGTACGTGTGTGTACGTGTGTGTGTACGTGTGTGTGTGTGCGTGTGTGTACGTGTGTGTGTGTACGTGGGTGTACGTATGTGTGTACGTGTGTGTGTACGTGTGTGTACGTATGTGTACGTGTGTGTGTGTACGTGTGTGTGTACGTGTGTGTGTACGTGTGTGTGTGTACGTGTGTGTGTGTACGTGTGTGTGTACGTGTGTGTGTACGTGTGTGTGTGTGTACGTGTGTGCGTGCTACTTTCAAGCAAATGTAGCACTACCAGGTTACTACAAGTAGAACTCTTCTCAAATGTTATACAAGAACTCTGTAAGGGCTGCTGATAAATAAGTCTTCCGCTGGCTGCCATTCTCCGGAATATTGTATTGTATACACAATGTCTCAATGTCCACAGGCTGTAAGGTGTACTCACTGTATACAGCGGACACAGCGAATAAAAGGACGGCACATGGCAGTGGACAATGGTACACGCGAGTCTTTCTTTCCAGTACCTCGAGAGTACGCTGTTTGGTGAGCATTTTCCAACACGAAACTCTGGGTAGCAGTTAGCTAAGAAAGACTTGCTGCTACTGTACTGTTGAAGTGTGCCAGATCTCATGTACTGTATAGAAGCACTATTAACGTGTGCCCATGCTTCATTCCGCCCAGACTTAGTGCCACTCACCTCATTATCATAGGACTTCTTCTCAAAGTCAACAAGGAACCCTTCTTCCGTGTCATCTTGATGTCCGACTATACACGCAAAGAAAAGACAAAGTATTCAAAAGAAAGATTAGGAACAACACTCACACTCGCACGCACACGCACGCACGCGCGCACACGCGCATGCACACACACACACACACACACACACACACACACACCTGCACACAGGCCTACTTTACTTGGAAGAAGCAACACACAAGTCCCAACAGAATCCGGCTTCTGATTCCGTTGACAAACTCTCTACATGCACATATGCTAACACAGGGATACGTTCTCAGAGGTACACGTACTTGAATTATATTTGCCATCGACTGAAACAGGATGGATACACGTAGGGAACCCACCCACCCACAGCAGAGGAATCTAAAGCTTACCCTTGGACAACTTCTCGTAGAGAGCGGCTTTCTGATGCAGGATGGCCCTGAGTACAACACACAGATGAGCACATCAGCGTGTTCATGCAAGCTGATCACCAGTAGCAAGTCATGCACTGTACGTACGTCCTGCACACATGTATTTGTATTTTACTATTTAATCAACATTTCCTGGCTCGTCAAACGACTGCCAATGACAAATGATTGTGAAATGAAGGGTGTGACTGTGAACACAATCAATCACGGCCACACTATTAACCAGCCTACAGCAGAGCTCTGGCAAAGTGCAAGCTCTGCTAGTGGTTTATACACCACCTCCCTCTCAGACACTACATGTACCGCAGGTGATTGCTTGCCTACTTTGACTTTGCCAGCATATCCTCTTCCTCCATGGAGACGACGGCTGTCTCGGCTACGTCCTTGGCATTTCTTTTGTCAATGCCACTATTGCGTTTGGCCCAAATGGCCTTCTTCTGCATGGGGGACAGACAGCATATTCATCAGCAAAAGAAAGCGCAGACACGATCAGATGCTTTGTTTCACACATCAAAAAGAGTATGGGTATAGTGCTATGCCAACTACAGACAGAGTGGATTAGAGACATGATCAGCAGAGCCAGAGTTTTGCCAGCTGATCAGGTGGCTAGCTGCTTGCTTGGGTTCTGACAAGAAAGGTTAAGGCGACTGCAAAACCGGAATACTAGTGCAGACGATTTATACGGGCACCTGAGAACCGTTGCAACATGCCCCAGAGCCAGGCTTTTAATACAGAAATAAGCCAGCTGTGCCGAATTCATGACTGCATACTGGTAATGACTAACGGGAGAGAGAAAAGGCACCTTGATCTGAGAGACTAACATAATATGATATCAGTAGTAGTAAATCTACAGCAGCAGCAGCAGCAGCACAGTACCTTGCTACGTAGGTCCTCCTTTGCTGGTGCGATACCAGTGGCTTTGGCACGCTTGACAGCACTGGCTGTGCTGAACAAAACCGCCTTCAAATCCACCATCTGACAACACACACACACACAGGTACATGACGGGAAGGGTAAAAAAAAACATTTTGAAAACAGAATCTGCACACATATTGACTCACAAAAAGGAATTGGCATACACCAAACTGGACTGTCACTTTTCCTTTTTCCTTTTCCCCTATCAGAAGACTAGATTCTAGTACAGCCATGTAGACACATGGCACAGTGTGCTGTCTGCAAGGCCACACTGCCTGTTGGTTTCTGCCAACCCAAGATTCTGCAAGTCTTTTCTACAAGTTGTACTGGCATTAGATAAACCTTGTTTTGTTGAAAAAATGTTGTTGGTTGACAGCATGTAACAAGGTGGAGGACCACCGTGTTCGGAAACAGTGACCTTTCTACAACCATCCACAAGACCGGGGCTCTGCCGACTGTGGATGGCTGTAGTAAGTAAGGTCACTGTTTCCGAACACAGTGGTCCTCCACCTTGTTACATACTGTCATCCAACAACAAGTTGTACTGGCCCATAGTAAAGGGCTTTGGCAGCGGTATTGATCAAACAAACAAAAATAGCTTCTCCTGGCAGAATAACAAACACGCATTGAGACACACTTACGGAAGATGAATTGATCTGATTAGCTGGCGAGTCAGCCATTGTCCACTGCGATAAAACTAACGCGTATAACTGCTGGTGTGAGGAAGTGTCAAAGAGTTGCAAGAACACTGCGGGTTTTTTTCGAGCAGGAGTAAAGCCTATGCGAAGATTCTTGCCTGATATGACTCTGAGTGTTTCCCAATGCAACACTTGAATATGGGTGATTGCTAACCCAGTAATGGCACGACAATCAACATCAAAAATTAATTTGAATTCAAATCTATACTCAAAAAAGGATTTATGCCGATGGCAATGACCAGATGACGTAATCATAAACAGCATGCGCTCGTACGGTATCTATGCAGTCGATGCGCCAAGCCAGCTGAGTGGGTCTTTTTATTTTTTTCGCGCGAAAGTTTATGTGGTGAACTGTGTTGGTAAAGATGAAGATGTCAGTCAATGAAATTTGCTATATTTCTTGTGTCTAACCAACCCTGTATGGATCGAACTGACGATTCCCGAGTGCGACAAATGTCCTGAAGTCTGCTCCTATTAGCTAGGTATCTAGAAATTTCAACTTGAGTGTCAAGTGAAGACTTTGCCAGTTGCAGACGAGGGAATTCTCGCTTCACGATTTTCCTGGTGTGTGGAGATACGTCGGAATGCCGACCCACCACACCCGACATGATGCTTCGGCCGGAATGCAGGTTGGTGCAGATAATTGCCTAATAATATATGTCTAAGCGTGTATACCTTTCCTTTCGTTGCATGCTTGGTTAATCCGACGGCACGAAATTATAGACATTTCGAAATTAACTTGAATATTATTTGGTCGTTGTATGTCTTAGTATTCCCTGTCAGTTTGTGCCTTTTTGTCGCGCTCGCCGACTGTATAATAAATTATGATCTAGCGACATTGGTACATGGTGGACAGTTAGTCATAACTCGTAACATTTTGTCCTTTTTCTTTTTATCCATGATTACATTGGCTCACCATCCGAGTTTATTTATATATTTTTGATAGGGCAATATGTAATGTACACACACACACACACACACACACACACACACACACACACACACACACACACACACACACACACACACACACACACACACACACACACACCTTGACCTTTGACCTTTTGACCTTTTGACGCCCATCGCCGGAGGCGATGATAGCAATGCTACGGCAGAAGCCATAGCAACTTGTGCTGGGATTGCACCATTCAACAGCTTCACACACACACACACACACACACACACACACACACACACACACACACACACACACACACACACACACACACACACACACACACACACACATACATACATACATACACACACCACCCACACACACCACCACACACACAGTGACACACACACCACACGCACACACGCACACACCATCACATTACGACAAATTCAAGGCAATGCCGGCGAAGCTCTATAATTTTCTTGTGCCGCGTGCTAGGAGCATAATGGCATTGTCCGATAATAGCACTTGGTGTAAATGGGTTCCCATATTTGTGAAGTACATGTATTATTCGGTTGCTGGCTATCAATTGTGCTGTGAGCATGGCAGAGTGAGGTCTTCCAGCTTTGTTGGTGTTTGCTCTATCTTGTGTTTACGCTCTGCAGAAAGGATCATATGTAGTGCCTTCTCAGCATTACATTACATCCATTGCGTAGCAGCAATGTGCCATCCTTCCGCGACTTAAGTGGAATGACGTGCAAGTGGTGCTCCAGGGTCAACTTCAATTTGCCGAGCACGTATGCCGCTGGCTTGGGGTCAGCAGCTGGGTGCAAAGTCTCTGTATACAAATCGTGCACTGTCGTCAACAATATGGCATCCTTGTCCAGCAATTCCCGTCCTGTAGCGGCAATGACTATAATATTGGGGAAATCACTCTCTGCACCTTCCGTGCTGTACTGAGAGATGATGCTTCGCAATTGGTGGTCTGTGCTTGGTGCATTGTCGGCAGGGAGCATGTCAATTTGCTTTTGGTAGCAGCGTCTACAAAGTCGACTCTCGTCTGAAATCCTGACATGGTGCATGCTACGCAACACATGCTCTGCAAGCTGAAAGTTTGGTGACTTCCACCTGTGTTCTGGTGTGAGTCTCGACTTACACCAAGCACATGTTGCATGGCCCACACACTGCTGGTAATGGGGTTGGGCACAGAAGCGGTTCGCACTGTTCTTTCAGACTGTGCACGCGCAGTTTGTCTGCAGGACAGTGTACGGATGCCGCTCCGCTGCAATCATGTACACTGCATGTGCTTTGGCTGACTGGTGGCTTATTTTCTTTCGCTGCTGTGCATACTTGGCGTCGTAGTGCTTTGACGCACTTGCAATAAATGCATTGGCCCGACGTGATGGATGTGCATGTGTGTAGCTTTTGCCAATTTTGCCAATCTGACAGCATTAAGTCATGTGTAAATCGCTTGTCAGATGGCACTTTGGAGCAAATGCTTCATTCTGGGCCACATGGTCGTCAAGTATGTATGCTTGTGCCAGTTGTGGCATTGCTGGGTCTTCCTGCCGCTGACATCTGTGCACACATGCATGGAAAATATACGTAAAAACACTAGTTAGAAATCACGTCACCAGAGGCATGCCCTTTTTTCGGCCAGAACATAACTTCCGCTCCAATGTCACAAAGACTTACTCTTTCGATACGTCCAGCATAGAAGCAGCGAAATGCCTGGTTAATTCGGTGGCACGAAATTATAGGTCGGGCGACGAAATTTCGACGAAAAAAGGAAAAGAGACAAACCGACGTGTAGCGACACCAAACTACAGAATTTCGTCATTCTTGAAGAACTCATAACAGAAAAAGGTGAAAGGCGACTACTGAATCCTCGAGTGTGACGAATAACTCCGAGAAAGCGTGAAACTGGCCAGCACGTACATACATGAAAACGATCGTATGTTGAGAATGCCTTGAGAAAAGTGCCCAAAAAGGGTGCATCTGAAAAATAGAACTCTGCGTTCCGACGTGATTTTTCAAATCTGGCGCATCGACTGTATGAGTATGACTATGACTGTGAGCAAGAGTACATAAACTACGTACTCTTGCTGTGAGCAAGAGTTCATAACCCCATGGGGGTTATGAACTATGGGGGTTATGAACTCTTGCTATGAGTATGACCAAGAGTAGATAAACAAGAGTGTGCAACTCCGGATGGATTGGCCCACGGCGGAATTTTTTGTTGACGTAATCTTTTCGACGACGCACGCGCTGCGAGCCTTTTGGAGAGTTTTCCCTCGTGCACTTGGCTGGGCTTTACACTACAAGGTCGGTGCCCAGCACGTGCTCTCACACTGCTCTGCGGCAAAGCCGCGTTTCTCTGAAAAAAGGTGACGTAAACAAAAAATTCCGCCGTGGGCGCGGGGTATCTGCAGATTGTGCAGGAGAGATCCGGAGTTGCACACTCTTGTTTATCTACTCTTGGTATGACCAAGAGTAGATAAACAAGAGTGTGCAACTCCGGATCTCTCCTGCACAATCTGCAGATACCCCGCGCCCACGGCGGAATTTTTTGTTTACGTCACCTTTTTTCAGAGAAACGCGGCTTTGCCGCAGAGCAGTGTGAGAGCACGTGCTGGGCACCGACCTTGTATACATGTAGTGTAAAGCCCAGCCAAGTGCACGAGGGAAAACTCTCCAAAAGGCTCGCAGCGCGTGCGTCGTCGAAAAGATTACGTCAACAAAAAATTCCGCCGTGGGCCAATCCATCCGGAGTTGCACACTCTTGTTTATCTACTCTTGGTATGACCAAGAGTCCATAACCCAAGAGTATGCAACTGTGATCTCTTTTCTATGGGCCAGATGCGCGGCGCGCTGCCTTCATTACATCATTCAGCTGCAGTCCGCGCACTGCGGAAAATCAAACACCGCACTTTCCCTCCAGTTTGAAATGAACTTTCGTACGGAACTGGAGTTCACGCGCCAGAATTCAGAGATTGTGTAGGTACTGGAACGAATCGAGCAAAAACGGATGGGCTCGTGCGAGAAATTGAGAGTTTGAATGGATGCTTTCAGAGCGTGATGAAGGCAAGTTACGTAATGAAGGCAGCGCGCCACGCATGCAGGCATAATCACAGTTGCATACTCTTGGGTTATGGACTCTTGGTATGACCAAGAGTAGATAAACAAGAGTGTGCAACTCCGGATCTCTCCTGCACAATCTGCAGATACCCCCGCCCACGGCGGAATTTTTTGTTGACGTCACCTTTTTTCAGAGAAACGCGGACTTTGCCGCAGAGCAGTGTGAGAGCACGTGCTGGGCACCGACCTTGTAGTGTAAAGCCCTGCCAAGTGCATGCACGAGGGAAACCTCTCCAAAACTGCAAAAGGCTCGCATGCAGCGCGTGCGTCGTCGAAAAGATTACGTCAACAAAAAATTCCGCCGAGGGCCAACCCATCCGCGAGTTGCACACTCTTGTTTATCTACTCTTGGTATGACTATGATGAGTATGAGTATGACCAAGAGTACATAACCCCGGGGGGTTATGTACTCTTGGTATGACCAAGAGTAGATAAACAAGAGTGTGCAACTCGCGGATGGGTTGGCCCACGGCGGAATTTTTTGTTGACGTAATCTTTTCGACGACGCACGCGCTGCGAGCCTTTTGGAGAGTTTTCCCTCGTGCACTTGACCTATCTGCACCGCACAGCGTGAATATTGCACACATAGTGCTATTTGTGTTCCGATATCGTTAAGCCAGGATACATGTACTAGTATCCTTATACATGTACCTGGTCACTCGATAGGCGATGCCGACTGTACTAATCTTATCCATATTACCCGACAGGCTATAGCACACTGCGTCAGATCACTATGCAACAAAACAAGAGCTTTGCCCGGAGCGAATATACACTGAAGCAAAGTAGGTTTCAACGGTACAGCACTAGTCACGATGAGGGGAGTTACGAGGATGGTTAGGCCGTGACACATAGATGATGATTGTTCATGATTCATGCACAGTGGAAAATTACCACCAATGGCGATGATATTGCTTTCACAACAATGACATCAGTAGGAGCAGTGACACAACCTTACTGCTCCAAGTAGGCTTTACAAGCGAGTGAAGGGAGAGCAGACTGGTCTAATAGCAGACCGGGTCTAAGCAAGGAAGTAATCGGCATCAGAGGTGAGCTTGCACATCAGAAAACAGATGATGATCACCAAACACAGAGAAGTTGGCTATGTGTATGTTTGTGTCACTGTATGTGCATGTGTGTGTGTGTTTGTGTGTATGTGCGCACATCTGTGTGTGAGAGAGAGGCAGACAGACAGATAGCATATGGTGGGAGGGATCAAGGTCTGACCTCAGAGTTAAATGCTGACGGTGTGGAATAGCAACGGTGCGAAATCGGGCAGGGTGGTTAATGGCCCACACTGGAGCCGAGTAGGAGCGCCAGTGGTTGAGGGCTAGCACAGGAGTAGCAGCAGCTCCAGCCTAGGAAGATCAGCTTCTGGATGAAAATCTCCCGGACACAGTAGGTACCAAGCATCACTAGCAGATTGCCGGCAGGGGTGCACGGCGAGCACCCGTACATCCCTCAAGCCACCAGAGCCGCAGTACTTGGAGACGATCCCGCCAACAATGCTGAGAAGGCACTGGAGCCATACAGGAACTTATGATCGAGCATGACCACAGACTTGAAATACAGGGTCCGGCGTTGAATATTGAGACAGCGACGTCTCCTCCACAGAACACCATTCAGCCCCACCATTGCATTATTTTCGCTTTTTCATGATTTTACAATTGTGTTAGAGCACACAGCACTCGATGCAACATTTACCAGTGACTAAATAACTCCGCGTCTCCGACCATAACTGCAGCGTTCCCGTGAGCCTGTTGGATTTCCGTCAGCCTGTTGAGATTGTTATGGAACTTCAGTCACGCAGGCATGCACGCCAACTCGACCAACAGGCAGTACGAAAGTAACTAGTTGTTATTCAGGGAAGAACATTTCAGAGAGAGAGAGAGAGAGAGAGAGAAAACAAGTTGAGAGCAAAACGACAACATAAGAACTACTAATGAACTCATGGCAAAGAGTTCCCAAAAGGCAACTGGGTACAGCCAACTCAGATGCATATGGATTATCGGGCTAGAGCGATACTGAGTGCGGTGGTACGACTTCTACGCACAGCACGCAAGACTCGCAACAACGCACTATACCGGAACTAACGATAGCATGATAAGACTGAAAGCGTGCATACAGAAAACAATGCAAAACAAAGGAAACGCATCCATGCATCGTGTGCAGCAGACCACGATGATTGATGAAAGGGCAAACTGTCATACTGGGTGAAACACTACCCATGTAGGCTTACAGCATGATCAATGAATAGTGAAGCAATAGACAGATAGATAGGTTCAGTTATATATACATTACACCTCTCCCCTTGATGACATTAGTCACGGAACCGCTGAGGAGGACGGATTGCAGCCCGGCGACGAAGTCCGTAGGCTTGGTCAAGCTGCGGATCCATGTCGATTTGGATGATAGCAGGGATGTCATCACGATCATCAGCAGAGTCAACATCTGCATCTGCGGCAACGGGGTGAGGGTCGAGCTTGATCAGGTCGACATTCACTACTTTCTCAGCATTGCGACCACGTACAGGTTCACACCGTCGAATCACCACAGTCGAGGGGGACAGAACACGAATGACTTGCCAACCAGGTTCATACATCGGTAGACGCTTCTGGTGACGGTCAGGACGGCGGAGAAGAACGTGATCACCAGTGTGATAGACAGGCACAGTCTCCTCTTGGATGCGATCAGCGTCGGATAACTCGGATTCCACGAGGTCGCGCAGTCGAGCACACCGAGCAGGGTGATCCCGAGACCAGTTGCTGCCATCATCCACAGTCCGATCTGGATCAGCGATCAACTGGTGGGGTGTCCAACCACAGATGGCTTCCATCGGCGAAATCTTGGTTGCGGAATGAGGTCGGTTACGATAGAAGTACAGCAGTGTGTTCAGATCAGCATTCCAGTCAGACGATTCGGATAGGACCTTCCTCATCAGAGGCAGCAGTGTCCTGTTGAATCGTTCAACACAGCCCTGCGATTGGGGATGGCGTACTGCTCCAGTTTGGATGGTGACTCCAAACATAGCAAACACAGAGCGGACGATAGCGTTGATGAACTCAGTGCCATTGTCGAGACGGACCATATCAGGGGGCCCCCAGCGAGTGCAAATCTGCACGAATGCATCAGCCACGGATTGCGCATCGTGACGGCGTAGCGGAGCCACTTCCACCCATTTCGAGAACATGTCGATGCAGACCAGAACGGAATGGAACTCACCAGATTTACTTGCGCCAAGTTCCAGGGTGTCCAGCTGGATGACACTCCAGGGTCGGTCCGGCAGTACAGTGCGAGTCGGAGGAGGAATCTGACCACGGCGAGGGTTAGCACAGCAGCACTGCGCACAGCAGCTTACGATTTCTTGGCAGCGTTCAGCCATTCTCGGAAAATAGCAGTGTCGGCGGAGAGTGCGATACATGGACTCCCATGCGCCATGCCCAGTGTTGTTGTGCGCCCTGTCCAGTAGCTCATCAGTCAGTGATTCGGGAACCACCGGCACTTCAGCGATGTCACCATCGGGCAATTTCACGCTTCGGCGAAGCAGGCCAGCCTTCACGACCAGCTGAGCAGCAACTCTCCGGTAGCATGCAGCCGACACAGGAAGCCCATTGGATACCTCGTGAATGGCAGCCAGAATCGGTCCATCATTCTGCTGCGCTGCGCGGATAGTGGCAACAGCCATGGGCGGGGCCACGGCGGGGTTAGTGGTATCACCAGCGACAGCACACATCTCAGACTTGGCACGGCAGAGCTTCAACCATGGAGTGGGTACTCTTGTCAGCCGATCAGCCAAGTTGCGTTCAGAGGGCACCCATTCGACCACGACAGACAGGCCGGTGAGGCGGACAAGCTCGTCAATAGCTTGCAAGCGGCGTTGGACGAGCACATCATACAGACCGCTGGTCTTGACACGGCGGATGTCATGCAGCAGGTTATACAGCCAACCATGCACGGTCTTGGAGTCGGTCAGGAGGCGCACACTTGTGAGGCCGTAGGCGGTAGCACGCTGAAGGCCACTCATCACCGAATCAAGTTCGGCGACATTGATGTGTGTACGATCATCCTTCGGACGCAGCCAGCACGCATCCTCGATAACATCTGCACCGCATTGCACCACAATTCCGGTGGCAATGTTGGATGCGTCGCACCATACTGACCATTGTGCGGCAGGTGGAGCGGACCAGGCACCGTGTACCGGATCTTCTCCTTCAACGCGACCAGACAGCTCTTGGCAGAGGCTTACTACTTCTGGTGGTACCTTGGCGTCCCAGCCTCCAGGAGTGAGCGAGTCAGCCAATCTCTTCAGGTAGCTAGTGTATGGCCTGAGCCAGGAGCACACAGGATTGTGGCCAAGCAGGCGACCACACCAGCGGAACACATCACGCTTCGTTGGGCTCGCTGGGCAGCAGAGGTCGACATCTGTGCGTCGTCGCCACTGCAGGACGTCGTTCGAGCTGTGAAGCTGGAGACCAAGGACGCGGGCTGATCGCAAGCATTCAGCAGGTTTGGTGGGTAGGCCAAACTTCACCATCTCGTCTTCCACCGTTGTGACGAGATCATCAGGCACGAACAAGTCGTCAACATAGCTGTCTACAGTAGGGTAGGGGCCAGTGACGTACTGTACGATCAGGCTCATCAGCTTTGGCGCAATCCCAAGGCCGAAGCCCATGCGCATCATGACGTACGGCTTGCCCTTGTAAATGACGGTCTGGAACCTCGCCAGCGACGGATCAAGACGGACCTGCAGGTACGCCTTCCGTATATCCAGGATGTGGAAATTGTCACCAGCCTGTCGCCAGCTGCGTAGCTTCTCACCGCACACAGGGGTGTTGCACCCAGGGTGGTTGCGGATGAGCTGGTTCAGCCCACGGTAGTCCAGTACAGGGCGAACCGGTGTTGAGGCCTTGTGCTCTTGGCACTTCGCAATCAACGGGAGGATGGCGCCCGGTGGTCCGTGAACATCCGCATCGTGTGGTACCAGCCAGCCTTGCTGGATCCAGGCATCTACTTCAGCATTGAACTGCAGCTCCTGATCGGCGGTGAGTTTGGCGCGGGGATATTCGCCAATCCCTGACCCAATTGGTTCAGCAGGTGGCATGTTGTCCCTCCAGTGCCACTTCATGCTCCAGTAGCCGGCGGCTGCATTCCAGTGCACCTCGCCATCATCAACACTTAGTGTGACATCGTCACCAGAGTGGTTGACCGTGACGTGGCGGGACAGCTTGGAGGTGCGAGCAGTACTGTCAGCAGGCTTAGGTGGCACATCAGTGGCAGCACTAACAGCAGCAGACACAGCGGCACAGCCAAATGAGACGGACGACAGACAGCCGTCAGCGTATTGCAGGTGCATACCTCCAGCGCGGGTCACTACATCGTTGCCGACGACCATGTCGGTGTTCAGGACACTCAAGTCTGGGACAACCAGCACAGATACGGCAGTCAGTAGGTCCAAGTGCACAGGTCCGTCGAGTCGACGGAGGTTCAGCAGGACGCTACCCAGTATCTTCAGCGATTCACCGTTGAGGGCGAGCATGTTGTCCGGACACTGTTCCATGTAACGCAGGCCATTGCACTTCTGGAGTGCGGCACGGCTGATGAGAGAGCGCGTGCACCCAGTGTCCACCACAGAACTCAGGCGAGTCCACTCGTCGTGTTGTTTGCGGCAGGCATCGACGTACACTCGGATGAGGGAAGACGATGATGTAGTCAGGGCCAAACAGCAATCGGTTTTTCCTCCTGGCTGGTCAGAAACACCAGCAGACGCAGTGCCCCGTGTTCTCCTGGTCGGGCAGTTTCTCCGGATGTGGCCTAGCTCGTGACAATGATGGCAACGAACTCGGCTGCTCTTCGAGGAAGATGGGCCTGCTGACGAGCTCTGCGTGGAGGGTTCCCAGTTCCCAGCGCGGCAGGTCTTCTTGACATGCCCTGTTTTCCCGCACGTGTAACAATACAAAGACTTCGCTGGTTCGGTGGCAGCAGCGCCAATGGCATGCGATGATGCAGCGCTTTCACGGTTGCCTCCTTTTTCCTGTCCGCCTCCGCCATGGACATGAAGACTTTGAACGCCTGGCCATCTAGGACCAGGGGCAGGTGCTGCATCCGTTTTTCCTCCGTGTCCCACTTTTGAATATCCGCCAGGACACGGAACTTCGACCAAAACGTCTCCAGGTCATCTCCTTTTCCGCGGAACGTCCGCAGGAATCCATCGAGTTTCAGCGACATTATTTCCAAATCAAGGCCCACCACCAAGCGACAACACAGTCGCACCAGGTATCAGCGGGTTTCGGTACCAGATGTTATGGAACTTCAGTCACGCAGGCATGCACGCCAACTCGACCAACAGGCAGTACGAAAGTAACTAGTTGTTATTCAGGGAAGAACATTTCAGAGAGAGAGAGAGAGAGAAAACAAGTTGAGAGCAAAACGACAACATAAGAACTACTAATGAACTCATGGCAAAGAGTTCCCAAAAGGCAACTGGGTACAGCCAACTCAGATGCATTATGGATTATCGGGCTAGAGCGATACTGAGTGCGGTGGTACGACTTCTACGCACAGCACGCAAGACTCGCAACAACGCACTATACCGGAACTAACGATAGCATGATAAGACTGAAAGCGTGCATACAGAAAACAATGCAAAACAAAGGAAACGCATCCATGCATCGTGTGCAGCAGACCACGATGATTGATGAAAGGGCAAACTGTCATACTGGGTGAAACACTACCCATGTAGGCTTACAGCATGATCAATGAATAGTGAAGCAATAGACAGATAGATAGGTTCAGTTATATATACATTACAAGATTATCTTCATCTCGTCACATGTGAGCCTGTGTGTTTCATCCGTATCGTGGCACAATTACACAGACACGATTTCCAACTCAGGTCGGTTCCGTTGCTCGAAGGGTTGGCGGTAAGAATTACTACGCCGTCTGTGGCTGCATGGGAACTTGGCGCCCCCGTCGTCTTTCTCCATAAATCCTGATCGTCACGCGAACAATAGCCACTATTGCCTAAAAACTACGACACAACAGTATCAAGCTCGCCCCAGCAGAAGGACACGAATGACGAGCGCTAAGACGGAGAAAGAGAGACAGGGTTAGCGAGAGCTGACTAGTGCAGGTACGCTGTCATCTCCTGAGGTGGTGGGCGAAGCAGCGAAGTGAAACGAAGGAAGATAGAACTTATTAGAAGGCATACGGAGGCACCAAAACCTATTGCCTGTCACATACTAAGTGCCATTTAGGGTTGACAGCTGTCAGCTGACAGCCTCAAAAATTTGAAAATCTGCTCAAAAAACTCTCGATCAGAACTCTGCGCACTCTCAAATGGAGCGCACAGTAAAAAACTCGGCGACGAAGAACGCTTCGTATCGACGCCCTGGACTGAATTCGGCACGTCCAACAAACGGAATAGTGTTCTCTGATAATTATATTCTCTACGTGCTGGGTATGGTCGCGTTTAGTTGGAAGCTCAGTGCATCACCACTTTCGATTTTGAGACTTGGCCGATGGACTAAAAGTGGCGAAGGACTAAAGGGACCGTCACTTAATTTTTGCCGACTACCCGCCAAAAAAATCTTTTCGTTTCACGTGTCAGACACGTCCGCGAGCGCGTGCGACTCGCGGGCGCCCGCGCCCGCGCTACCTTACACGTCAGGCAATCTGTTCACGCCACATGGCTGGATAGCGCGTACATGCAAACATGATTGAAGACTTGCAAAATCAATTTTTTCCAAGTCCAGGCGCTAGGCCTAGGCAGTACTAATGCCTAATGCCCAGGCAGCTGACTTTATTTTCGGAGAAACACTACTCATTGTAGTAAAAAATAACAATGAATAGCGATATCATCTAGGAAGGATCGCTACCCTAACGCGAAGGAAAGGCCTTGCGCGGCTGCTCTACGAAGTGTTGAAGAAAGACTCAGGCCTTGGAGAGCGAACGCGAACGCGAATTTCGTCTTGCTAATCCTCCGTAATGAATCGGATGATGCTGTTCTTCGTGGCGAGCGGTTGAGCGTTTCTGGGCTCTGATATTGGAGGAATTTCTTGGAGGAATTTCTTCGAGTTTTCGACTTTTCCAGTGCACTAGGGCATACTGCGCCTACGAACGGAGTTGTTCGGGGAGTTTACTCTCCCATAGCATGAAGGACTTGCTGGAGGTCTTGGAATCTCGTTGTTTCCCTCGATATTTCTTTTTACGGAATCACTTTCCCTCTCGAAGCACCATGGAGTTGTGACTCTGCATTCGGATTCAGCCCATACCGTGTAATGGTCACAGGTGCCACGGCGGTGTCCAGACCGTACACGCGTGATGGAAGACGATGTCGATATCCAATCTGTATGGGCGCAGGAAGCGTCAAGACGTGAAGCAGACGCGCTGCGCAGCCGTGTACGCCAGCGGGAGCGAGCGAGGGGCCACAGCGGACAGGTGGGGTGCTGTCGCTGCGCTGCAAACGGTGACCTGTGCAGAGACTGTAGATGCTGCGGCCTCAAGCAGCCCTGTACAAACTGCAGGCCAATGATGGATGGGAAATGTCGCAATCCGCATCCACCTCGAGCTGATGATAGAGGTCTTGTGCCGATGGCGGCGCACTCCAATGCCAATGGACCAAGCGACTGTACCACAGTGGTTCATGGTTCCTTGGGAGGTGCTGACTCCAGCTTGGCACAGCGGCGGGGTATTCCTGCTTGCCCAGTGCCGGTTCTACCTGGACATGAACCAGTGTCGGGTGATCTCATTCTCTCTTCTGCTGGCCGGCTGGATAGGAGCCTCGATGCACGGTCTTTACCTGTAGCTGACAATGGTGAAATGGACAATACTAGAAATGACAAACAAATTGAACCCTTTAAAACCGGAGCTGATACCAACTTACCTGATGGACAGGAAGCGGTTGATCCGCATTCCGCTGTCGACACTTTTGCTCCGGTATGCTCGCCGGGCGTGTATGACACCGGGTCCTTGCCTGGGGGACCTGTGCGTGGTAATTCGGTACCAGCCACAAGTGACTTACACTCTGCTTCCCGGGAGACCAGGGGGCACACGTCCGGGGATGCTGTTGAAGTGAATACCGCTATGTCGACCTTGCGTGTGCAGGGCTCAGCTGATGTCCGGACCGGCTTGGATCTGCCCCAGCCGGAACCCATAGCTAGCTCCGACCCGTCGTTCAGGCTTGGTGATTTGTCTGCAGCGGAGACAGCTGGAGCCATAGAGGCTGCATATAACAAATGTGTTCACTTTCGCCCGAATGCTTTCTCTGTGCCGTCTGGAAATATTGGAAGACGATTTATCACTACCTTGACATCGTTTTATTCCTGCTTCGGAGATGGGGGATCGTATGAAATGATCGCACTCAAGATTGCAGCCGTCTACCAGATGCTAATGCTGCAGAAGCCGGACTGTGACAATAATAAATATGGTAAAATACTTGAGCGCCGCATGGACCAGTGGTCGAAGGGAGATTTTGCAGAGCTGCAACGGGAAGCGGACACCATACAGACCTCTCTTCTATCGTCCAAGAACAAACATAAACGTGATTCAGTGGGTCCGTCGGTTGACCCTGCTAGACGTTTTGCAGATTATGTCACCGCGGGCAAAGTGGGCAAGGCGCTCCGTGGCTTGACAAGCGGTGATGATGGAGGCGTGCATCAGTTGGACGACGAGATTGACGGACGCACTGTCCGGGATATCCTGAAAGACAAACATCCACCCGCAGAGCCGATGAGCGAGGACGCCGTTATTGGTGGTGATCCACCTGCTCCACCTCATCCGATCTATTTCAGCAGCCTTGGACGTCAGTCGATTAAGAGTGCAGCGCTCGGTACGCAGGGTGCTGCGGGGCCGAGTGGTGTTGACGCCGAGAACTGGAGGCATTTTTGCGCTAGTTTCTCTGACGCCTCCCAGGGCCTTTGCGATGCACTAGCATCGTGTGCAAGGCGTTTAGCCTCCACGTACGTGCACCCAGCATCTTTGTCGGCTTTCACTGCGTGCAGATTGATAGCGTTGGACAAGCAACCCGGTGTCCGGCCGATTGGAATAGGTGAGGTCGCTCGACGCATTATAAGCAAGGCCATCCTCTCCGTCGTAGGCCAAGCCGTTCAGGAGGCGGTTGGGTGTATACAGCTATGCGCTGGCCAGGATTGCGGTATAGAGGCGGGAATACATGCGATGCAGCAGGCCTTTGAGCTGGATGACACCGAAGGAATTCTGATGGCGGATGCAAGTAATGCGTTCAACAGACTAAATCGACAGACTTGCTTAAGAAATGTTCGGCACTTGTGTCCATCACTTGCTACCGTTCTTATTAATACCTACCGTGATCCAGCTCATCTCTACGTGGACGGTGAAAGTATCCTGTCGCAAGAAGGGACAACACAGGGTGATCCCCTTGCAATGTACATGTACGCGTTGGGAATAATGCCCTTGATACGTTTGGCTGATGAGGCGGGTGCGGTGCAGTCATGGTTCGCGGACGATTCATCCGCTGCTGCTCGTCTTCGCAGACTCCGTCTATGGTGGGACATAATGGACAAGAGAGGACCGGCATATGGA